GAAGAGGAAGAAGAAGAAGGAGAATGCTCAGCTCGGACAAGAAATGAAACTCGTTTCCTAGAGAAAGGAACACCAACAGATCCGATGCTCTGTAATCACAGAGCCTAAGGTTATTGTTAGATATGGAAACAGACAACCGACAACAATTCACTTGGATTGGCGATTTTGAAGAGGAGAGAACCTTAGGGACGGAGAGTGGGGAAGAAGGCGAAATCTTCAGAGAAGCCATTGGCGACTTGCGGAGAAAAATAGTTGGAGATTGATAGAAAGTTCCTCGGTTTTGTTTTCTTTGTGTATGTGGTGGTAGAGACTAGAGACTAGAGAGAGAGAGAGAGAGAGAGAGAGAGAGATCTTCTCCCTCAGTTTATCCACTTTGAAACTTCCTGACCTTTTAAAAATGTTTAAAAAAAAACAAATATAAAAGTGAAATTTGCAGATAAAACCCCTCTAAATAACCGGTCTTTGTAAGATAACTCCTGAACTACCGAAAAGTGCCAAACCATCCTTCAACTTCAACAAATGGAAATTGGAGTTGTTGATAGCTTTCCGTTCCTGAGGTTATAAAGTGTGGTTACGTCCAAGTAATTGGATATGTTGAAAATCAGAAACCAAAAGGATTTTCTGTTGGTCAATTCTATTTCTATATGTTTTTTTTTGTCACCTGTTTGCTTCCTCTCAGTGTCGAGGCACTAGAGACTTTGACAGTTGGAGCAGAACAATGACTTAAAACCGAATCTGCTTTTGGTGCCTGTCAACTGCCAGTTTGGCCCATGTAGTGAACGAATGCCATTGAGTATTAAAGTATGATGACTGAGTATCATTAGCTAGGTTATGTCCTTGATAGATCATTAACACATAATTATCTGGTTTTACAAAGAAACTAAATATTACTAACAAATAAAAACAAAATTGACAAATAAAAATTAACCAAAAGTTAATAAATTTGGTATTAGATTATTCTTACCCAAGTAAATTATCTTGCTTGTCAACATAAAAAGCTCTCATGGCTTTTCCTTATTTATTAATTAGTTACAAACTTAGCAACGAACATTACACCTGCACGAAAGATATTCAGGAACTTCTTCACAAGTGCATTGAAAAGCAGTTTTCTGATCCCTCTCACGAAAAGCTGTTACGCACTCTTGATTGCGTGCTTTCATGTCACCTTTACACCTTCAAATTCGGTCCGAAAAAATGCCTACGTCTTTGCACACCTTCGTCTTCTGAGTCTCCGCCTCTATTAAATGATAAAAGAACAAGATATTTACATAAACAAGTGAATATACAACAAGCAACATAAACCATGCTTTCAGACCGAGAAATTTTATAAAATACATCTTTTGAGGTGCAAATTTTCAAAACTACACTTTTCTCCAATTTTAATATATATGTTTGGGTTCACTAATCCTATATTAGGGTTTAGATTTTGGGGTTTAGAGTTTAGATTTAAGGGTTCAATGTTAGATTTTAGGGTTTTGGATTTATATTTTAAGATTTAGAGTTCTTTTACTAAATGAAAAAAGTGTAGTTTTGAAAATTGACACCAAAGAGGTGTATTTTTGAAAATTTGCACTTCAAAAGGTGTACTTTTGAAATTTCCCCTTTTAGAATCACTCTCTTTTCTTTTCTACTGTAGCATTATTTTGGTAAGTTTCAAATTTCCCTAGTAACCAATCAAAACTAAAAAAGGGTTGGTATGTTTACCTTGAACTTGGCTCAAGCCGAAGAATATGATAACACAAAAACACATAAAAAAATGCAGCGGATATCATGATTTTAAGTGTTAAAATATAATTTTTTGCCTTTCTAGTCTCAACAAAAATATATTTTTTTCACTAATGATGGTATGTATACATACAGTATATATCCACACTCATGATAAAAATAGTATACTACTATTAATTAAAAGACGAGTGGAGTGGTGGACCCAAGCTTACACCTTTATAACTTTATTTAAGATTACGAAGAAGAAATGTAGATCAAGTTTTGTAAATAACCAATCAAAAACAAAACTAAAAGAGTGTACCTCGAACCTGACTCAAAACGAGGAACATGATAAGACAAGAACACATAAAAAACGTAGCGGACCTCATGACTTCAAAATACGTTTTCTTTTTAACTAATCACAACAAAAAATATTGTATTTACTTTTCACTAACGATGGTTATATATATATATATATATATATATATCCACATGACCACACACATGATAAAAATAGTAGTTGATACTATTAAAAGATAAGAGTGGGGCCAAGTCAACACTTTTATTTAGGATCACTATTATAAGGGTGAAAGTAAGGGAATACATTGGAGATGGTATAATGTTTGTATATAAACCAATCAAAAATCAAAACCAAATAATGGTGACGCAGTACCTTGAATTAATGTTTTCATAAATAAGGATACTAATAAACAGTTTTCACGAATGTGTTTTTGGTGCCTGTCAACTGCCAGTTTGGTCCATGTAGTGAGCGAATGCCATTGAGTATTAACGTATGATGGCTGAGTATCATTCAGTTATGTCCTTTTAATACATCATTCACATAATTGTCTTGGTTTTGCAAAGAAACTAAAAATTAACAAAGAAAAAAATGTTGACAAATTAAAGTTAACTAAAAGTTAATAAATTTGGTATTGAATTATTCTTACTTTGAATTTTTTTATCTTGCTTGTTGACATAAAAAACTCTCATAGCTTTTCTCATATTAGCAACAAGTATTACACTCGCACGTAAGTAATTCAACAAACATATTCTTCACAACTTCATTGAAAAGCAACTATTCCTTTCCTTTTTTTTTTTTTTGAATTGAATGTAAAATTTATTCTAACTCAAAAACGTCGTTTGTTACATCATGTGCATCGTAAAGTAGAAAGGTTTGAAATGTGATTAGAAAAGATTAAGAACTTGTGGATTAGCACCGTGACCCAAACCAGGCTTGAAGCACTCCTTCATATTTGGTGTCTCCTAGTGAAGAACTATTCCTTTCCTCTCCTTTAAAAGCTTTTAAGCACAAATGCTTTTTTTTCTTCCACACCTTCATTTTCTAGAGTTTCAGTCTTTATTATTTGATAATAAGAACCACAAAGGTTTACATAAACAACCGAATACATAACAAATTTAAAATTAAACTATGCTTTATAACCACTGTTCTTTTTTCTATTGCAACATTTTTTTCTATTGCAGCATTATTTTGGTAAGTAATTTTGCAGCAAAACTTAGCAGCGAGTATTACAATCACACGAAACATGTTCAACAAATTCTTCACACTTGCATTAAAAAACAGTTTGTTGATTCCTCTCACGAAAAGCTTTTATGTACTCTTGGTTGCGTGCGTTCATGTCACCTTTACACCTAAAAAAACGATCTCCAAAAATGTCATTTGTCTTGCACACTTTCGTCTTCTGAGTCTCCGTCTCTATTGTTTGATAATAAAAACCACAAGACATAAACATAAACAATTGAATATACAACAAATTTAAAATTAAACTATGCTTTAGAACCAGTTTACTTTTTTCTAATGCAAGTTTGCAACATTGTTTTGGTTAGTTTCAAATTTGGCTAGTAACCAATCAAAACTAAAAAAGGTTGATATGTTTACCTTGAATCTGACTCAAAACGAGGAATATGATAAGACAAGAGCACGTAAAAAACGTAGCGGATCTCATGACTTCAAAATATGATAAAACGTAATATTTTTCTTATCTAACCATAACAAAAATTATTGTTTTAATTTTTCACTAACAATGGTGTGTGTATATATATCCACACACATGATAAAAATAGGGTGAATTTGGTTAATAATCATATTGGGAGCCTAAATTAAAGATATAGCCATAGCACAGAAAAATTAGGTACCATGTTATGAAGGGGTGTAAAATTACAGAGGTATCCTATTGACCTTATATGGGAATTTTTTAGACAACCGGTTGAGTAACTGATTTGACCACATAAACTGACCATAACAGCTTCGTCAGTAATTTTAATGGGTATATTCCATTTTATGAGGACAACATAAGCTCCAAACAAGTTTAATAGTAGTAACTATTCCATATCTAACACAAGCATACTATACCATATTAAAAGATACCTTACCAACAAATTTGCATTGAACAATGAACAAATAAATAAATACTCTAAACTCTACATATAAACTCTAAACCCAAAAGACTAAATTCTAAATCCAAAAATCTAAACCCTAAACACTAAACCTTAAAATCTAAACCCTAAACCCAAAAATATTCATCCCTAAACTCAAAATAAAAATCCTCAACCCAAAATATTTAACCATATTCATATTTTTTTGTTTAATTGCAACCTCGACCAGTTACCCAAAAATGAAACTTCCAATTTTAATTTAGGATGATATTGGTAAATACCAATGGAAACTTTCAAAATTAAGTTTCTACCCATGACTATTTTTAAATTAGGTAGTTAGGAAAGAGAAATAAAAATTTAACCCTTAATATCCTTTTTCATTTTATTTATCTACAAAAATGCCATTGATCTGAAACTGTTCATTTGCCACCGGATTACACTGTTCATCGATCCGTTACACTGTTCATATAAAATCATCGACATTAGTTATCTAAAGATAACTATTTAATTATCATATTAACAAATAAAATATCATAAAATTTGCTAATTTATAATAATATTATATAATTGACATGCTAAATTAGTTAGCACATTATTAAAATACTGTGTTAACCAAATTATCATAACATAAAGTATAAAGATTTTAGGTATCATAATTATCATAGCAAGAGTTATCATGTTAATTAAGTTATTTTATCATAGAAAAATATGAAATTACATGCTAATATAAAAAATATCATGTTAAGGTGATTAGCATATAACTAAAATACCGTGTTAAACAAATTATCATGATATAAAAAAATAAAGTGATTTGATTAACATAATTATCATACCAACAATTATCATGATAACAAAGTTATCATATTATAGAAAAATACGAGATGCAAATATGTATAAAAATATCATGCTAATGTGATTAGCATATTATGAAAATACAGTGATAGACCAGTTACCACCATCATCTTCATCACCTTCAATTGAGAGTCATTGTTGGCTTCTTCTTCCTCCTCCTCCTCTTCTTCCTCTTTCTTCTCTTCCTCCATTGCTGGCTCTTTTTTTCTCCACCTCGGCTGACATTATGACAAATAATTTGAATTTCCATAGCTTTTAATAAATCCAATTGAAAAAAAAAGAAAACAAATTTGTAATTAAAATCACAGATTTGCAAATAGGAGTTCCATTGGACAACCATTCCGGAGAGAACCCACCATCATCAACATTAGCACCACTGTCTCCGCCTCTCAACACCGTCGCCGACATCCTCATCCGCCGCTTTCATCACCGTCATTACCTGGCTCTTCAGTAGAAAATTCATCTCCAACAGTCGCCCCATTTTATGATTCTCTCTCAACTAGTTGCTCCAAATCCTAGCAGGTTGTTTTCTTGTATGAATTCTCCTTCTCCTTCTTCTTTTTATTCTTCGTGAGTCTTCCATGTCCACCGCAGGAGAGAGAAAGAAGAAGAAAAAAAGTTCAACTGTCCACCGCAGGAGAGAGAGAACACAAAAAGGGGTAGAGAGTAATTTGCTGTAAAAAATACTGTAGAAATAGTGTCTCATTTGTGTCAGTTAATTTCAGAAGTATTGATGGGTAGTTTATGCTATTACTCTTTAGTTTAACCCATTAACACACAACCGGTCACGTTTTAAAACATTCACCATTTTCTCTCTCTTAATCCAAGGTGATAGTGGGCATTTTTACAGAAAATATGAGATTTATCGTAGCCAAAGCCACAATATGGCTATTCCATTAATTCCCTTCCCCAATATGATTATTGGTTACAATTTTCCATAAAAATAGTAGTTGATACTATTAAAGGATGAGGGTGGAGGCAAGTCAACACCTTTATTAAGGATTTACTAAGTATAGAAGTAGATTTTTTGTGTGTGTGCAAAATACTGATTTCATTAAAGGATTAAAGTAGTTGATACTATTAAAGAATATATAAGGGTATAGAAGTAGATTATTTTTTGTAAATAACCAATCAAAAATCAAATCCAAACAACGGTGATGCAACCTTGAATTTTTTTCCACAAATAAGGATATTAATAAACAGTTTTTTGGTAAATTAAAATAAGTTTTTCTAAGATTGTTCCTCGTATGATATGATAGTGCAGTTTGTGTGTTTATCAAATATCAACAGACATAAAGGAGAAACCAAGTATTGCGTATTGACAATGATTTTGTTGCCTTGTGGTTTTTGTCGTAAATATATATATATATATATGTAACGCATATCACGGTTATCACCTAGTATAAAAGATAAATATCTGGAAAGATAAGTATACTACTACTTTATGATAATATATAAAGTTGTCTTTTTGTCTCAAGATATTGTCGATTCCTTAAAATTATAAGGAGATTATTAATTGCTGCGGACGTTTTCGCCATACTAGAGGTCCGAAGTCACCTAGTTAGTCAAATAGTCATACCAAAAAGATGCAGCCTCTCCTCCATTCCCAATTTCGCAACGAAAATACCACCAAAGACATGTTTGAGTTGAAGCATGCTTCTTAACTATTTAAATATTGTAAACAATTTCAAGTCTTGTGTTTAGGACATAAACAACAATAATTTTATACTTAATTTTAATCCATGCCCTCTATAATATTCATTGATTTTCGAATTCGCTTTTATTCTTTTCTTGTACGTGAAGATTTTGATTGGTATCTGATACTAATCAATATAATGTATGAATCGATAAATTAATTCATTTTGAATGGCGGCATGGGAAGATGATTAGGGTAGTTAATTAAGAAACGGTGCATGCATGGATCAAACCTATATAGTCTATAGAGTTGACAGTAAATTAATTTATTGACTTTTGTTTATTAGAAAGGTGTCGACTCTTGAAGATGACATCATGTATAAATGGGGAGATAACAAATTACCACGGTAAGATAATTAAAAATAAAATTTAAAACTAATCACCGACTAATTCATTATCATACTTCGTATTTTATCTCCTCTCGTGATCAGCCGCATCTGCCTAATGTAATACTTTTCTTGGTAAATGGTGAATTGGATTTGTTATTCAAAATTACTTACATTCATATGTTATGGCTATTTTATTGATTATAGTTTTTTTTTCAAAGAAGAAACATGTTTCTTTTTGGTAAAATAGAAGAAAACATGTTTCGTGTACTAATAAATAAATCAAAACTAAAAACTCTTTAGATTTTTTCTCTTTCTTTAATTACCATTGTCATCAAAACAAATATATAGAGTGACCAAAAGATGATAGAGAATATACCTGAAATAAGCAGATATGTATAAATATTATTGAGCATAACACATAAATGATTAATACACTGGGACACATGAACTGATTTTTAAGAATGAGCTCACAAATTATTTTGCAAAAACCAATAAAAGGTAAAAAAGAAAAAGGAAAAACAATTAAACTTGATATGGTTTCTTCAAAACAAAAAAAAAAAGAAATAAAAAGAATCGTATTCTTCTCTTATTTATAAATGGGATATTTTGGTTGTGAAACTATAATACTCCTCAACAATAAAAATTACAATAGCAAGAAAGACCAGCGTCGTAACCCTCACTACAATAACACTGAAAAACATTATGACGTTTTTCTTCTTTCGCAAAAGCTGCTACGCATGTAGCATTTTGGGTATTTTTGTCACCCGCGCACCTTGGAAATCCAGGCCATGCAGCATGATCCCAGCACACCTTCTTCTTTTGAGCCTCCATCTCTGTTATTTTATACGAATCATAAGATACATATTTTGGATCAGATGATAATATCACAGAGTGGATGCATTTTTAAAATTGTTTTTTTCTTGTTTTTTATTCTTTTTGTCCAATTAAACATATACGTCAGGTTTGCATATTCTTGTAACTTTATTTTTTCATTTCATATGGTATTAAGTTATAAACAAATAACACCCCTGCCACGAAAAAAGCTATAAACATCTCCAAAAGCCGATGAGAAAAGGACATTTATATGGATTCGGGCTCCCCAAAGAAGGAGAAAGGCTATCACACATAAACAAAAAAAGAAAATCCAAGCTTCGCCAGGACCCTTTTCCACCGCAAAGACTTGGGATTCTCTCAATCCATCTCCCCCGGAAGTACAGTGGCATAAATCGGTTTGATTTGCAAGGAATATACCCAAACACTCCTTCCTAATGTGGGTGACTGTTTGGAATCGCCTACCAACTCGGGATCGTTTGAGAAGATGGGGACTTCAGGTTCCCGATTCCTGCTTGTTATGTGGTTTAGTTGAGGAAACCAGAGACCACATTTTCAGAGTCTGCCCTTTCTCCTTGACGATTTGGAATTCTTTATTCCACCATCACACCTTCTCGCTCCCAACGTCTTTGGAGGAGATTATCTCTTGGATGCGTAACTCTGCTTCTCGACCAAATATTAATCTTATCTGTAAGCTTACTTGTCAAGCGGTGATCTATTTCATTTGGAGAGAACGAAACTCAAGACTTCATCTCTCCCCTCCAAGGACCTCCCAATCCTTGGTGAAGGAGATTCAACTTGTTTTAAGGGCAAAGTTAGCAGGATTAGATAGAGAGACCTTAAGATCCCACTCTTCAGTCTCTTCGGAATCTCTTCTCCATTCCTGGTTTGAATTTTTTCAATGTTAGCCTCCTTCGATCCGTTCCAGCACACGAGTTTCTCTTATTTTCTCTACCTAGTATTGCGTTTTTTTCCTTGTTGTTGTTGTTTCCTTTGTTTGTTTTATTCATCTTGTAACAAATGGTTTCTCCCATGGGAAAAGATGAATAAAGGAAATTTAAAAAAAAAATAATAATAATAATAAAAAAAAAAAAATAGAAAATCCAAACAAGTGGTTTTTTTAAGTAGCGAGAGAAGCTATGAAAGCTTAAAGTCATAACAAAAAAAAAAGGATGAACATCAAGGCAAGGTTTGTCGCGACAATGCGTCATTCCAATAAGTGACAACGGATAACGAGACTATTTGGGCGAACAGCCGAGTTAAGATTATAACTTAATACCATATGAAATGAAAAAATAAAGTTACAAGAAAAAAATATATTTTGAATAAACAGTTCAAAACACAATGTTTTTAAAACTAAACTATGGTCGAAAACTCTTCTCCTTTTTCCTTTTCTCATTGCAGTACTACTTTTCGTATTTAAAATTCCAAATTCCGTTAGTAACCAACCAAAAAGAAAAATAAAAAGATATATTACCTGGAACCAGATTCAAAACGAGGAACATGATTACACAAGAAAGAAAAAGTAACTTAGCAGACTTCATAACTTAAAAAGTGATTAAAGATTATCTTAATCTTATTTTTATCTTCGTTGTATATATACTTTGTCCCACAAGATAATAGCTAGCTTGTCTTATATATCCAGACACAATGATAAAAATAGTTGATTCTATTAAAAGCCAAGGGTGGAGCCAAGTCAACACCATTATTTGCGTTTACTAAGAATAAATTTAATCAAATTTTGAAATAATATATCAATCAAAGTACCAAGTTATAAATACTGAAAAAAGTAAATAGAAATATGTGATCACAGCCAGCCTGAAACTGTTATTTAATCTCTTTCATTAATTCCTAATTATTAATAATGTAGGCTAAATACGACAACCATGTCAAATAAGTGGGATTAGGCATTACCAAGTGTTTGGTGTATGATCAGTTTTTCCGTATATCACATACTGACATACCACTAATCAAGGTGTTTGGTGTATGATTAAGTTAGTATTAGCCTATTAGGCATGTTTATTTCGGACGTGTTTTCGGAATTGGCTTGTACTATATAATCGTACTTGTTATAATATGTATATGTGTGCTACAACTTAATAGTACGTTATATTTTAATGAACAGGCGTATTAAATATGGTATGGGAGAGCATTTGTGTCTAGTTATCTAGTACACAAATTGATAGAACGATTTCAAAGTCTAAATCTACATATACAAGTAACATCATTAAATAAGCTACAACAAAAGTAACAAATTAAACTTTAATAAATGCTAAAGTGAATAGTTGCTTTCTCTTAGATTTCACCTCTTTGGATTTCGTTTCCCTTGACATCCTCTCTGGTTTTTCTCTCAAGTTTCTTCTCTTTGGTTTTCGGATTTGATTTCCCTCTCGTTCTTTACATAGAAACATGGTTACATCCAATGCTATGCATTTCGTTGTTGTCATAACTTTGCTTTTCAGTGGATTTTAAAATCTTGCAACAGCATGAAGCTCCACCATGCTGAAGGTACTATATACTCCTTGACCTTATCTATCTTATACACATTTTTAAAATTTTATATTAACTATGAGTAATCCAACATTTGATGTATTATGAAATCGGTTAAAAATTGGGAAGTGAAAGCACTGAAAGAGATCGGAAAGAAGATGGAGAAGGAAGATTGGGACTTTAGCAACGATCCATGCAGTGGAAAAGGAAACTGGAATGTTTCATTTAATCCACTTATACGGAGCAGTCTCACTTGTGACTGCTCGTTTCATCCTCCCAATTCATCGTGTCACGTCATCGCAATGTTAGTCTCTTTTTCCACTTATTTAGGTTTTGATACATCAATCCAAAAAAAAAAAACATTTTTAAATTTATAAAATATTCAGTTAATATATTGGTAAACAATGTTTTTTTTTAGTAATGAATTTCCTTCGCGGTTGCTAATAATTGAAGAAGAGTCCAAACTTTTAAACAAAGCTTCCCTGCTTGTATATATATAGCTTATCCCCCAAGAAAAATGCTTATTAACAGAGTCCATCCTTTTTGTAGGGTTTTGACGTCGCAGAACTTAACAGGCATTATCCCCCCAGAGTTCTCTGAGCTGCGTTATCTGAAATCTCTGTGAGAAAAGAAATAGACTTAAGCTTAATACTAATTTCTCAAAATTCAATTGTTAACGCATATACCGTTTTGGTGCAGGACCCTTAGCCGTAACTGTCTTACTGGTTCAATTCCAAAGGAATGGGCTTCAATGGGTTTGGAAGGGTTGTAAGATCACTGTTTGGTTTAGCTTCATTTTTAATTCTGTGTGATTAAATAAATTTATACACTCAGTCCACTAAGTAATGGTTGATGTCTTTGTTGGTTCAATGGACATATCCAGATCTCTTTTAGGGAACAGATTGTCGGGTCCATTTCCGGAAGTGCTAACACGTGTCACGTCGCTCCGAATTCTGTAAGACTTTACAGAATTTTGATTAACTAATGAGCTTTAACTATGAAATTATCTCTTCTTTGCATACTTGTTGATATGTATAAATACTTGTTCTGCATACTTGTTGATATGTATAAATACTTGTTCTTTGGTTCTCAACGATAAGTATGATTTTTATGGCTCTGGTAAATTCCATCATTTGAAATTATGCAGAAACCTTGAAGGAAACCTATTTTCAGGACTAGTCTCTCCTGAGATTGGAAAGTTGGTTAATTTGAACGAACTGTAAATTTCTTTCTCTCATGTCAATTTCTAAATCTTGTATATTTTCATTGGTACGTATTGTTATTATACCCTGTTATCTGGTTTTGCTGCAGATATCTCTCTTCCAATTCCTTCACTGGCCCTTTGCCAGAACAGTTCGGACAGCTTAGAAATCTGTCTGTTTTGTAAGGATAAGTTCTAACAACAAATGAATAAATTTATTCCATGTTAGTTTAACGTTTTTGTTATATTTTTATTGTTGGTTCAATGTTTCTAACATAGTTTTATTTCATGTGTGGTGTGATAGGACGATAAGCGACAATAATTTTACTGGACGAGTACCAGATTTCATTGGAAACTGGACACAGATACGTACGCTGTAAGACTACTGCCCTTGTTTTATAATTCCTCTTGGAAAGCATAAGAACTGAAAAATGGTTTTGCACGCAGGGAGATGCTTGGTAGCGGTTTGGATGGTCCATTACCTTCCAGTATTTCGTCCCTGACTCGCTTGAACAACCTGTATGTCACCATCAGAAAACTTAATTCTTTTCAATCCGTTTCCTCTTGAAACAACGTAACCTTGCTTTGTTTTGCTGTATTTCACAGCAAGATTAGCGACTTAGGAGGCAAACTGTCTTCCTTCCCTCCACTGAAAAGTTTGATATCTCTCAATACATTGTGAGTTCAATTACGATGCATCGATCAGCTCTGTTTTGCAGTAAAATACTTTATCCTGGAAAAAACATTTACAATTTGATCTTGGATGCAGGGAGTTGAGGAGATGTAACATAAACGGTCAGCTTCCAAACTATATCGGAGACATGACGGGCCTCAAGACACTGTAAGACATCAAGGAAATAAACATCATTAAGTTAAAATGGATATATATATATATATATATATATATATATATAAGCTTAATTCATTATGTTGATTTTGCTTGTTATGTAGGGACCTCAGTTTTAATCTGCTGACCGGCAAGATTCCTTCATCATTACCAAATATTAAGCTTGCAGATTATGTGTAAGAACCTCATCACAGGAAATAAAGTATCTGTTTAGAATTTATATCCATCTATATATGAAGAATGAAGATAATTTTAAATAATTTCTCTATCAGTTATTTGTCAGGAAACAAGTTCACAGGGGATGTTCCAAACGATTTTATCGAAAGAAACAAAAACATGTACGTATGTTGGAAACATAAAGTATAATAGCTAACTTTCTAATATGCTTAACAAGATATATAAGACTAATTTTTGTTAATTTTTATTTTTTTTTGGCAGAGATTTATCTTCTAATTATTTTACCGTCCATGGCTCACTTCCTACTAGTGACTGTGACGAAACTCACAATGCGTAAGTTTTCACAAATCTCTTATATAATCATAACACTTTGCTCACACGTTCACAAAAATGATAAAATTTTATTTTCTTGTCTAGGAATTTGGTGGAGAGCTTCGCTTGGAACGAATCGTAAGAAATCATATTTCCAATAATGACAAATGCTTTTTCTAAACATGATTGTTGTTTATGGCTAGTTATTCGTCTCTTTTTAGTATATTCTCTGATTTTTTTGTTTGTTTTGTTTTCAGGTATAAAGGCTTCTCTTGTTATGTACAACATTTCCCATGCTTTTTGCCTAAAAGAGATTGTAAGCCAACTGAAAAAAAACACATTAATTTGTTTGTTGTTTTTATGTAACTATATATTCTTATAAGATATTAAATTTTATTATTCTTCTTTGCAGATAAGTATAAGCTGTATATAAATTGTGGGGGAGATGAAGTGAGAGTTGATCCAGAAAAGACATATGAAGCTAACGTAGAGGGCCAAAGAGCTTCTACGTTTGTCTATGGCCCTGACAAGAAATGGGGATTTAGCAGCACAGGGAACTTCATGAACGAGCTCACGGAAGTGGATGATTACACCGTGTCTAACACCTCTACACTATTGGTCAATGGTCGATGCTGCGTCTCCCAGTTCTATGCTTTACAAGACCGCTCGGATCTCTCCTCTGTTGTTGACCTACTATGGTATCTGCCTGGGCAACGGAGAATACACCGTGAGTCTCCACTTAGCAGAAATTATATTTACCAACGACAACACCTTCTACAGTCTTGGGAAACGAGTCTTTGATATTTTTATCCAGGTACGTACGTTCTATATGGAATTAATCGATTTTCTTTCTGAAAATGTAAAAGTATATCATAACAACTGAGCTCTCTCACTTATTTATCTGGCTCACAGGAGAAGTTGATGATTAGAAACTTTAATATTAAAGAAGCTGCTGGTGGATCGGGGAAGCCAATCATAAAGAAGTTTGTGGCACACGTTACCAATAACAGTCTAAAAATAAGCTTGGCCTGGGCTGGGAAAGGGACCACTTCACTCCCTATTAGAGGAGTCTATGGCCCAATGATCTCCGCTATTACAGTGGAACCTAGTAAGTGTTGTTGCTTTAAAGTTTAAATCTAATATTTCACTTTGATCAATCTTTTTTGGCTGAAAGTTGATGTCCTTGGCTCGTGACAGATTTTAAACCACCAGAGCATCATGATCATGGCAAGAACAATACTCTACTAATAGTAGGAATCGTAGTTGCAGCAGTAGTCGTCGTCGTTGCGCTTATTGTGGTGGTTTGCTTATGGAAAAGAAGGCGTCACAAAAATGCCATGGAAATAGGTACAAACTCTAGGCATTTCAATTACTGTATTATTGCTCGTTACTTGATTTATTTTAAGGGTTTTGTGTGTAGGATATATACTTCTTTTATGTGTACTAATGCTTTTATCTCAAATCACCTTGTGACCAAACAGAGCTGAAAGGTTTAGATCTTCAGACTGGAGTTTTCAGTCTTCGGCATATAAAAGCAGCCACTAATAACTTTGATGCAGCGAACAAGATTGGTGAAGGTGGATTTGGCCCTGTTTACAAGGTAACCACTCTCCCTAATCAACTTTCTATATATGTTTCTCTACATTTTGAGTGACCAACTTTGTGTGGGTGCAGGGTGTGTTATCAGAGGGGAGAAGGATTGCTGTGAAAAAATTGTCTTCGACGTCAAAGCAAGGACGCCGAGAGTTTGTGAACGAGCTGGGGATGATATCATCTCTACAACATCCAAATCTTGTGAAGCTGTATGGATGCTGTGTTGAAAAGAAGCAACTGATTCTCGTCTATGAGTACTTGGCAAACAACTGCCTTTCCCGCGCGCTATTCGGTCCGTTTCTTCAACTTTTTGATCACCATGCAGCCATTAGTATATATCTATATATCTGCTCTTATTTGTGGGATTGGTGATTTGATCCCCGCAGGAAAGGACGAGAGATCGAGAATAAAGCTAGAGTGGCCAACAAGGAAGAAGATTTGCTTGGGAATAGCTAGAGGACTCACATTTCTTCATGAAGAATCTGTGATAAAGATTGTGCACAGGGATATAAAGGCGAGCAACGTGTTGCTGGATGAGCATCTCAACGCCAAAATATCAGACTTTGGCTTGGCGAAGCTGACCGATGAGGAAAACACACACAGCACCACCCGTATTGCCGGAACATAGTAAGGCATTTTCTGTGTGTTTTTCTTAACGTAAATGAGTTCTACGTAAAGTTTGGCAAGGGAAATCATTTTTCTGTTATTTTCTTATTTCAGCGGCTATATGGCTCCGGAGTACGCAATGCATGGTCACTTGACTGAAAAAGCTGATGTTTATAGCTTTGGTGTCATTGCCCTAGAAATCGTCAGTGGAAAGAGTAACTCAAGCGTCAAACCTAGCGATGAACTGGAGTTTCTTCTCGATCACGTAACCAATTCCATCTCTTTAATCGCATGTCACTAATTATTCTCCTAAAAGAAAAATGAAAGAATAAACCGAGTAACAGTTTGGTTTCTCTCTTGTTTTGCACGTACGTATAGGCCTACGTTATGAAAGACAGGGGATGCCTACTAGACCTGGTTGATCCGGTGCTAGGTTCAGATTTCGCAAAAGAGGAAGCAATGCTGATCTTGAATGTGGCGCTCATGTGCACTAACAAGTCCCCGGGGTCAAGGCCAAAAATGTCGCAGGTGGTGAAGCTCATCGAGGGAAAGACCGCAATGTCGGACCCGAAGTTGTCAGCAGCGACCTCGAAGCACAAGGCTTTAACTTTAAGGACATTGTTTTGGCAGAGCGAAGCCTCCACAAGCGGACCTCGCACCACTGACTCTGATGATGCTCAGGAGAACACATCAAAAGACGAAATAGTAGAAGAACCAGAATCTGAGTGTGAGTAAATTAGTCTCTACACTAAAAGTAGCATTTGAGATTTGACTACTTTCTTTCTCCAAAAACAAGACTCGATTCCCAAAAAAAACTTGATAACTTTGTGTAAAGAATTTTTCACCAAATCTTGTTTAAATTCTAATAATGATATTATGTAGAATAATCTACAATCTTATCTTTATTTGTGTTCAACGTTTGCTAAAATTGTTTTAACTCTGGTCAATTCATGTTATTCAATATATGTAAGAAAAGAAAAACATATTTATGGGCCAGAGTTTCGTAAAGCCCACCCGCGAGCCCATATCTTGGCCGTATCGGAATCATTTCATTAGGGTTTATTCTCTTTCGACGGTCTCTGGACTCTGGAGAGGTTCCGTCGTCACTTTGATGAATCGGTGAAGATGGTGCTGTCGAATAAGAAGCTGAAGCAGAAGATTCGAGAAGATGTGGTTAAATCTCTATCGGTCGCGCTATCCGAAACCAATCCAGACCCCGTCCCTAACTCGCAACCTCACTCTCTCAAAGAGCTCCTTGATTCAGCCAGCCACAAGCCCCGATTGTCGAAGCGAGAGAAACGAAGAAACAGCGAAGACGAACCCAATGACGGAATCCGAGAGAAGAAGGAAGTTGAGAATGTTGGGACAAGCGAGAAAACTAATCAGAAGAAGAGGAAGAGAGACGACGCCGCTGTGGAAGGCGAGTTAGGCGATGGAGATGAAGGAACTAAGGAAGGGGAAACTCCACAGCAGAAGAAGCCGCAGAAGAAAAAGAAGAAGAAGCAGAAGAAGAAACGAAAGGCAAACAAAACGCCAAACAAGGCTGAGGAAGCCAATGTAGAAGAGAAGGTTAAGGTTGAAGAGGTTCAAGCTGATACAGAGCCGTAAGTTTCTTCAATTCCGACTTTTCATCTAAGCTCTCTCATGTTGTGATTATGTTTACTGATTGATTGCGTCGTCTTTGTTGTTTGTTTCAGTAAAGAAGAAGATGGGGTTGTTCCTAGGAAGCTATACGTTGGTGGAATCCCTTATCAGAGCACAGAGGATGAGATTCGTAGCTACTTCAGAAGCTGTGGGGTCATCACAAAAGTTGACTGCAAGATGCGTCCTGAAGATGGCGAATTCAGTGGGATTGCTTTTATCACCTTCGAAGTAAGTCTCGCTGTTTTCTCTTGCGTTATACGTTGCCTCAGAGTCATGTTGAATTGTGTAGGACACTGATAAGCTGCAGCATTTTGTATTGAATAACTCAAGTCTCTTTCTTTGTGGGTTTTATGCTTCACTGAAATATAGAGAGATTGATTAAGTTGTCTGTGTGTTAGACTTTAGCTGTATTGAGATCTTTATCTGTTTCTCTTTTACAGACTGAAGATGGGGCTAAACGTGCTTTGGTTTTAGATAGAGCTGCAATGTGAGTAAATCTATAGTCTTGACTGAAATATTTAGGACTTCTTGTTCACTGTTGATATTGTGCTGAGTAATCTATTGAACTTTGGTGGTACCAGGGGTGATCGATATTTGACAATCCAGCAGTACGTGAAAACCACACCTTCGATTCCCAGAAGAAGAGAATCTTCTGGCTTCGTTCCAGAAATGGTGGATGGTTATAACAGGGTATACGTAGGGAACTTAGCCTGGGACACAACCGAGCTTGACATACGGAAACTCTTCTCTGCCTGCGTAATAAAGTCAGTGCGGCTGGGGAAAAACAAAGAAACGGGGGAGTTTAAAGGGTATGCGCATGTGGATTTCAAGGATAGCGTGTATGTGGCCATGGCGCTTAAGCTGGATCAGCAGGTTGTCTGCGGAAGACCTGTCAAGATTTGCTGTGCTCTTAAAGAGAGACCAGCAGGAGATCACAGTACTATTCCTACACCTGAGGAAACGAACAATGTTGATTCGTATAACATGGAAGAGACTTATGCTGCTGCTGGTCCTGTGCCTAGTGAAGCCAATGATGGGAACTACTTTACAGCCACGGTTGGGAGCGGCAAGATCAAGAGGAGGGTTTGTTTTGAGTGTGGAGAAAAGGGTCATCTTTCTACATCCTGTCCCAAGAAGCTTCAAAATGCTCCTGAGCAGGCATACACAAAGCTGGATCAAGAGACGAGAAGCTATGATCCAACTCCGGCTTTAGCTGTGCCTAGTGAAGTTTATAACGGAAGCTACTTTACAAGCACGATTAGCAGCAGTAAGGACAAAAGGAGGATCTGTTTTGAGTGTGGAGAAAAGGGTCATCTTTCTATAGCATGTCCCAAGAAGCTTGGAAATGCTCATGATCAGGCAAACACAAGGCTGCATCAAGAGACTTTTAAGGAAAGACCAGCTGTGGGAAGCTATGATCTTCCAACGAGCGGTGGTGGTGCTGCTGCTACAAATGAAGCTAATAGTGGAAGCTTACCATCCGCTGCTAGCGTTAGTAAGGTCAAAAGCAGGTCCTGTTACGAGTGTGGAGAAAAGGGTCACCTTTCTACAGTTTGTCCCAAGAAGCTTCAAAACGCTAATCACGCAAACTCTAAGCTGGATCACCAGACTGTTGAAGCAGGACCGGTTCAGGCAACAAGCTATGCTTCTGTGAACAATGGTGCTTCTTACATGGATGAGACATATGCTGCTACTGATCCGATATCCTCCGTTGCTGCCACAAATGGAGCTAATGACGGAAGATTAGCATCTGCGGTTAGCATTGGCAAGATCAAGAGGAGAATATGTCACGAGTGTGGAGTAAAGGGTCATCTTTCTTCAGCTTGTCCTAAGAAGCAGCAAAAATAGAGCTCTGAATCCACACAAGCTCGAGAGAAAGAGAGCTTAAACATTGTAGCGATATGTTTCATTTTACGTTGAAGGAAGATTTGAGGACTTGGACCACTTGGTAGGAGAGTGGAGTTTTGGCCATATGTATTGTTTTATCATCTTGTAGAATGCTCTAAACCAAAAGCTACTTTTTCCATAAAATTCAATTTATGGTGGCTTTGTTACAGTGTTTCTTTTTATTGCCAAATTACAGTTGTTTGTTATCACCACAGTCCATCTTCTAAAGTTTTCATTTTATTACCATTGAATTATTTTGGATGTTTTTTCAGAAAAAAAAGAGTAAAATATACTCCGGTCAACTGTCAATTGTAAATTCAAAATATATTTTTATTTATTTTAACCGTAATTGTAAAAACCACCTAAATTGTATCATTAAAATTCGATTTTGAAACTTTGGATTATATAAGCTCGGTGTCTAATGTTTTTAATTTATACCCTTTTTCACAAAACAAGTGGCGACCAAAAATAAACAAAAAATCAAACCAATGAGCCACGTTTTAATATTAAGCAAAACCCGAAACACAAATCTCTCCTCTCGTCTTTAGTACTTTGAATCTCTCTATCGCTCTCTCTATTGCATGCTTAAGCACGAAAACCCAAAACGCAGCAAATCTCTCTACTGCTCTTTGACAGTTTCCCAAGTTTTCCGATTCAACTGTTGCTTTCCCCCAGAAGAGTCTCGTTGTTCAGATTTGATGGGACCTATCAAAACGATAAAGAAGAAGAAGAGAACAGCAGAGAAGAAAGTTGATCGCAACGTCCTGCTCGCTGCTGCTGCCGCCGCCGCCGCCGCTGCTTCTCTTCCTGCCGACGACTCGTCTCCGCCCGTGGATTGGTGGGATGGATTCTCTCGCCGTATTTCTGGTATGCCTTTTTTATGTAAATCTCGTTTCTCTGTCTCGGTGTGTGATTCGCTCGGTCGTGCATTGGCGTCGTTTGAGCATTTTCCGAATCTCGCTCTCAGTTTCGAATTGCGGATGTAGGCTTACGTTAATCTCGATTTCATGGAACTTGCGTTGGTGAATGTTGATAAAGAGCAATTTGATTTGGGTTTGGTTCTTCAGATGAGAACATTTTGGAGGATTATAATCGCAAAATTGAGTTTGATGGAATGTAATGTATGATTAGGGTAATGTAGGCAAGAGATGTTCCTCAATCACACTTTGTACATTCGAGTATGGGACTTTGTGGTTTTGTTTGCTAGTTTCTGGGTTTGTGAGTGTGGTCATTAAACTAAAGTGAGCTATTTGATCCATGGAAGGTGTTTTAAGTGGAGATTGAGCTTGTTCTTAGGGCTTTAATGCTGAGTTTGGAGCCATGGATCAAATAGCTCACTTTAGTTTGGAGCCATGGATCAATTTCCTGCTTACTGCTTTTCCCCTGATATGACTCTTTACGACTATGAGATTAACAGACTCTGACTTGACTTGTGTTTCTGTATCCATCCTGGAAGATGATTCATTTTCTGATGATGACCTCTAGATAATTCGATGGCTCTGTCAGTAATATTCTGGTTATGAATGTCGAACTAGTGATAACCATTTTGGGTCTCTCCTTATGTAAATCGTCTTGTAGGGTCGATGATAACCAATTGGTAGGTGCAAGTGCTTTTTTTTTGAAGTCTTCGTTTAGTTTTTGGAATGTTGGTTTTTAAACTAGGCCAATGTTGTATGACCTGTGAAGTGATTTGAACAGTAATGGATACGCATATTTCTTTTCACAAGCTTAGTCAGGACATCAACTATATCACAGTCTGTTCATATGTTGTTGATTTGTAGTTACCTTTTTTTGGAATTTCCTTTTTAGGTCCATTGTCAACGGATCCGAAGACATTTGAGTCAGTTCTCAAAGTATCAAGGAAGTCATTTGACTACATTTGCTCTCTGGTGAAAGAAGATTTCACAGCAAAGCCTGCAAACTTCAGCGACTCAAATGGGAAACCTTTATCTCTCAACGACCGTGTAGCAGTAGCCCTAAGGAGGCTTGGCTCCGGTGAGTCTCTCTCAGTCATTGGAGAGTCCTTTGGGATGAACCAGTCAACCGTCTCCCAAATCACTTGGCGGTTTGTCGAATCAATGGAAGAGAGAGCTCTCCACCATCTCTCCTGGCCTTCGAAATCCGACGAAGTCAAATCAAAGTTTGAGAAAATCTCAGGTCTTCCAAACTGCTGTGGCGCAATCGACATCACGCACATTGTCATGAACCTCCCCGCCGTGGAACCGACGAACAAAGTCTGGCTCGACGGGGAGAAGAACTTCAGCATGGTGTTGCAGGCCGTAGTAGACCCGGAGATGAGGTTCCTCGACGTGATAGCTGGTTGGCCTGGAAGTTTAAGCGACGACGTTGTCCTCAAGAACTCTGGATTCTTCAAACTCGTTGAGAAAGGGAAGAGACTGAATGGAGAAAAGTTTCAGCTCTCGGAAAGAACAGAGCTAAGAGAATACATCATAGGCGATTCGGGTTTTCCTCTTCTTCCGTGGCTTCTCACACCATACCAAGGCAAGCCCTTGTCGCTTCCTCAAACCGAGTTCAATAAAAGACACTCGGAGACGAGAAAACCGGCGCAGATTGCATTGGCGAGGCTTAAAGACCGGTGGAGGATAATAAACGGAGTAATGTGGATGCCAGATCGAAACCGGTTACCGCGGATAATCTTTGTGTGTTGCTTGCTGCACAACATTCTCATAGATATGGATGATCAGACTTTGGATGATCAAAGTTTGTCACGCCAACATGACGTGAATTACAGGCAAAGAAGCTGCAAGATTGTCGATGAGGCTTCGTCTGTCTTGAGAGATAAACTCTCTGATCAGTTGTATGGGAAAATTTCTTCAGCTTGATGACTCTGTCTCTCTCTCTCTCCAGGTTCTTCTTGTTTTGTAAAAGTTTCATTTCCTTCTGTTTTCTTCTGGTGATCTTGTTTAACATTACATTTTTCGTTTGGTTTATTGAAATACTATTATTCGCATATCCTTTCATAAAATGAGGGCTTTATCATAACGAGTTTCTATTTTCTTCATACATGCTTTGTGATTTGTTTTGTCATCAAACGTCTATGATGAAATGACATTGTTAATTGGTTTGTGATTTCAGTACATTCGATTTGTTATTTTAAAGTGACCATGTTTTTTTAATTGACATGAAAAAAAATGGGATACATTGGAGGATTTGGTTTGCGTGAGAAACAACAAAAGAAACACATTTCTAAAATCTCTAACATACAAAACATTTTTAAAACAAAAGGGGAATAAACAAAGTTATAAACCGATACAGAGAAACCAAACATCTTCTTCAACCTTATTAAGAGCTTTTAAAACTAACAAGAGAGTGGAGAGTCACAACAATGGCTTCTAAAGGAATGGAGGTAATATCACCCATCTTCTTGGATACTTTGGTTTTCCATCTTTTCCATCAAATATCTGCAACACCAAACAATCCACAATAAGAACCAAATAACCAAAGCTTTGAGCTTTTATCAAAAATCAAGCCAAAAACAAAAGCTTTTTATTACCTTTCTAAGACGGCTGTGCTTTCCAAGAGCCCAATTGGTCATGATAAGAGCAGCAACAGCGAGGAAAACGTATCCTGCAACGGTCTGCGTAGCGATGTTGAACCCTAGCCATTGGTAAATCTCAGTAGTGTAATTGGCACATGTAACAATGTTGAAGAGGAAGCCGCGAGGGATCTGGTAGCCTCCAGAGCCACTGGGGTCTCTAAGATTCTTCAGCAAAATGTGACAGTAAAAGTTTGCAACTTGGCAAACCAAACCAAACCCGAAACCAATCTTCATCTGAAGGTCACTGACAGGCGTGTACAGAGGATGGTTGACGTAATAAGCAATGAAAGCACCAAAGCTCCAGTAGTAAGCACAGTTCCTGAACACATTCGCTATAGGCGAAGTCGCGTGGCTGAAGCGATGCACGAAGAAGGTCTCTAAGATCCGTTTGAAGTAGTGGAAGCACCAGTAGTACATAGCGTAGGTCTGCACCGGATGGATCACACGGTCTTCTCCATAGCCAAGGAACTTGTAGACAGGGAAGTAGTAAAAGACCGGGTAGATTAAGAGCGGGCCAAGATACTCGAAGAAGAAGAGCGTGCGGTAGGAGACTTGTGGCCCCAAGTCTTTGAAGACTACGGTTAAGGAGCTACTGTTTCCATCAGTGTACTCTTTGAGTGATTTCTTGCTGTTGAGGACAACAGGTTTGTCCTTCGTTCCAGGAGCCACGGGAAGAGTCAGTCTTTGCCTCGATGGGTAAAACTTCTTAGCTGTTAAAAAACATCAAAACCCAAATCACACCAAATGGCAATCTAAAGTGAAAGCATTTGAGCCTAAAAGGGACGAATCCATTAATGAGAAAAGGTTGCAACTTGTAATGATTAACCCTAAACCCCAAACTGGGTTTATACAAGCTTAAACAACCCCAAATCAATCCATAAGCTTCCCCACAGATCTTGACTATATAAACCATCAGCATCAGAATTATGAAGGAGAACCCAACACATTAGATCAACACTAGCTTATACACTCTGTTTATCAGATTCGATCTATTTCAACATTCTTTAAAGTCAATTTACTAAGTAAAAGTGACAACTTTACCTCTCTTGTGAAACGCTTCCTGCAGATCAGCAACAGTCGCCTGCGGAAGAACAGAATCGAATTAACAACAACCCTAAAATCTAAAATCAGATTTATCAATTCTCTTCCGTACATTTTGACCCCCCAAAGGCGAAATCGAGCAAAGCAAACTTAAAAACAAAACCAACTAATCAGAAGAAACAGAGACGACGAGAAAGTACCGAATCGGGGAGGTCGAGAGGACCCTTGAGGACTTCTCTGCCGCTGCGGGAGACGACGGTGACCTTCATAGCTTTAAGCGGAGAAAACGAGGAAGACCCAGATGAGGAAATTGACGGAATAAGCGAGAGATGGATAGAGAGAGAGAAGGAAAGTTAAATAGAGAGGAAGAAGACGAGATTGAGCATTGAAGAGGTGTAGTTGGGAGTAGGATAACTAACTATCTCCCAAACTTATGAATTCTGGACCCATTTTGTTGCCACCGTCGTCATTTGACTCCATCCTTTTTGTTTTTTAGTCCCAAGATCTATTTGTTACAATTTGGTCCATACCAAAATATTGTTTTTTTCTTCACTCATAAATCTTTAGTTTGCAATGGTCTCTGAAACCAATTTATGGTGCGAGTAAAAGAATTTGCTAGCACTAGATTAAGGATCGGTACAAGGCACCGTCCTGCCCATCAGTGGAATTAAGAAGCAAAACTTTATGGCAGAACTAATAAATTGGTTGAATGTAAAGGTGGGTACTATTCAAACACATTCAAGGGTCAATAGAAAGCAATCAATAACCAATAAAAGGGCTAGATATTGAGATATTGTTGTTAGTTAGAAGTGGAAGTATGTACTTTTAATATTCGGCAAATGAGTCAAATTACATCGTTTTCATAGAGAATGTAAATTATGTGGCGTATGTTTAGTGTTTGATTGTTGAGTTTCGTTACAAACATGTTCAGGTTGAATTATTATGATTTGGAGAGTGTTGTATTATAGTACTATTATCTAAAGTTCCATCTGTTTCGTTATATATTTATTGTTTGATCGCTTTCTTGTTTAAGTATTTTGCTTATTTCTCTTTTGTTTAGTCTTTATCTTGTTTATCACTCTTTCATGCTTGGTTTGTTGCCTTTAGACCAGTTAGGAGAGGATTAAGAAAGACTTTAAAACATTAATCATCTTAAATTAGGAAGTTTCTTGCTTATTCAGCTTGTGATTGCTTCTCTTCTGGTTCGATCCTCTAGTTACTCTTCGATTTCCGTGTGCTTATCTCTTAGGATTGAAAACTTTGACAGCATCAACATGTGATTCTTAAAACTATATTTATTTTTATTTTTATTTTTTCAATTTTGTTAAGATTTAAAACTTGATATTTACGATGTACAAGTATACAATGCGACAACATGCAATCAAACTGCATATTTGAATGAGTAAATAGGTACAACATATTCGACTTAAAAAAACAAACTTTTTCCAGTGTGTAATTTACCAAATCTATACCACAAGTTGATCGCTAATCTCTATTTTACTCTACTAGCTACTATGGCTTTAAATAGGTGTACAAGTGGCAACGTACCATGTCTAGCAATAAACACTTGAAGCAGTAATCAGAAAACCGTATGCCAGTCAAATAGATTACGGTATCTTTTCGACTAGATATCAAATATTGCAGCCTTTCTATTATAAAATGGAAATGCGCATGTTCTTGTTGGAATCTAGGAATCTTCTACTAAAGAATGGCACGTGACAACGATTTCCATCTGATCCTATATCGATTTTTCCTACTACTTTTTTTTTTTCCTTTTGGAACTAAGAGCAAATTATATGAGTATATTTGTATCATAGCTTATAATATAGATATTGTGTGTAGATGTGGAATATGGATGGATGCAGAAAAAGCTGTAAAGAAGGTGTTGCTTTATTACCATGGATATGGGCACATGAGATGTGTAGTAGATATAGGAGAAGATTCTTTTTAGTTGCATGAAAATGAGTTATTATAATACAATAAACACATGCATGTATCTGTAAAGACGGACTTCTTCTAAATAATAAGCTTCCATAGAAGAAGAGCAAAAGAGAAGTGCTCCTTTAAAAAATAAACAAGAACTTCTAGGAGAAAATATCCATATATTTCAAATTGTATAGTTTTCACTCTAATTTTTCATACTGCTTTTACTTTATTTTCGAACTTATGAGATTAACTAATAAATGTAACAATAAACAGTTTCAAAACCCTCATGATTCAAGTTAATACTCACTCTACGAAGAGCAAAACGTAAGAGGCCATACTTCTACATCTTAGCCAGCAGTTGTTCTTCGTTGAGAAACTATCTTAACGATGTTAACAATGTCTGAAACCATTAGTGGAAGTTTTACGTGCTTCTAAGTAAGATTTGTGCTCTTTGAGTTTAATAACCTCTCGTAGTGCGGATTAGAGTCACCCTTTCCCTTCTAGTACGTAATTTACAAAACCAGTATATAAGAAATATATAGTACAGTGTGAACTTTTTCTCTTTAGCTTTTATATTGATAAATATTTCTTGATTCTGAATTATATCGTTAGCAATGTTTTGCTGTTATGTGTCCTCATAGTATGGTCCATTAAAAAGGTCTGATATCAAATTTGGACCACAAATCTTTCTTTTTTACAAATCGCGGACTGGGACAACTTCCTACAACATGTCCGTCTTCCTAATCTTACGTATCACTCACATTTGTAAACATAAATCATCAGATATATACAGCGGCGGATCTATTTGAGATATATCTAGAGAACCCATCAAGACTGAAATTTCGGAATCTAAAAGACTATGTCCATGCAGGGATAATTATTTTTATGTGACAAAAACCACAATGACAATAATGTTAAGTATAATACTATGGAAAAACGAAAGTTGGGTCCTACCTGAGGAAAACAAAGGTACACTCGATTGTGACAACTCCACCAAAGACCACCCCACTACCAATTCACCTTTATTTGTTTCTTTATTATTTATTCAAAATCTTTTTATCTTTTAACTAATTTAATCGTTGTTTTTGACCCTTTTAATATAAAAATGAATCGAGGAGGTACCTAGGGTTTCTCTCTCTGCATGGCCACTCTCGCTCTTCACATCTCTTTTTGGGCACCACAGAAACGTATGCAAGGGAAAAGAAGAAAAAAAAAGCTTACATGCTAAGAAAACCCTCTTCCTTATCGTTTCTCTCGTAAAATAAAGGGATGTTTTAAATAATATTGATCCAAAAATCATCGTTGCTGAAATACAATTTTCTTTCATAGAACTGAAACAAATAAATTCTAATTGAGGGAAGTAAGTCCCAATACGGACCCGGGTTCGAAACCACTTGGCCACAACGGATTTAACATCCCTTCTGTTGGGGCCCTGGACCCCTTTCGAGGGGATAATCGGGTTTTCCGTTCGGATTAGATCCTCGGAATAACTGAATACAGCTGGACAAAGTCCAGACCATCGGTTTGGGCCCCAGAACTGGTCGGTGACTGTTCGGTCGACTCCTCAGACCCGGATACCAGAGATACCAAAAAAAAAAAAAAAAAAATCTAATTATGTTAATTGTGATCCGATCGGACAATGAGTGAATTATAATCAAGTTATAGATGATCACTGGTCTTTTGCTCATTGACAAATTAGTGTACACAAAGCACATGTGATATAGGTTCTTCAACCAGATCGATGTTGTAGTGAAGTTATTTGATTATAAATTCATCCAATTACAGATCTCCCACTCCCGCAGGCCGAATATTGTTTTTTAGGGTAAGTAAAAATATATTAATTTATAATTTGAGATGTTTATGTAAACGATTGTATTTAGAAGAAAAATAACTATAATATATAAAACAGGTCATATTTGATCATTTACAGAGTGACACAACCAATAAAGAATGACGTAGATGATTGACTTGCGAAAATAAGCAAACTAAAAGCTTGTTCAAATCCACACTTAATTCCAAAAAGGTTATAAATAAGAAGGTTTTGATGAAAACAAAAAGAAATAAAGAGCGTAAGAGAATGATGAAAATTGAAAGAAAAGGAAACGAGAATTGTTGTAGAAAAAAAAAAGAGGATTAAGAAACACAATAAATGAAATAAAAAAAATTCATCTCTTCTTTTTATTATCTCATTCAGCTCCTCCCCTTTCTCTCTCTTTATCTCCTCTCAGTCTCTCTCCTCTCTCGATCAACTCTAAATAAAATTCTCGATCAACTCTTTCTTTAAGTGATGTGATTTTCCACCATATCTGCAGACTCTTACTAGAAAGCATTTAAAAGCTAAATTTCAAGATGGTTTTCTCTTCTCTTCCAGTGAATCAGTTTGATTCACAAAACTGGCAGCAGGTAATCAGTTGATGATACTATATGTTCTTGATAAGTTTCTATATTGCTCCAAGTTCGATCAAATATATGAAAAAACTGAGATTTTATTTTTGACAAAATTGCTAGCTAGCATCTTCTTCTTCTTCTTCTTCTTATTTGTGGACGTTCGTATATACTTATAGATATTCTCTGGTTGAGAAAACCTTTTTTCTTCTTATCTTCCCGAATATACCATAACTCTATAAATATGACTTATTTGGCCGTTTTTATTTGAAGACTCCCTTCTTCTTCTTTATGTTATGCCTATTTTTCTCCCAGCTAAATCTCTGATATAATGAATTTCTCTTTGTTTAGCATCTACCCTTGTATCTTCATCCACTGAAATAAACGAAAAAAAAAAATCTAAAAGTTACTACGACTTTAATCTATGTTATTAATCCATCTTCTTTTTGCAGCTTTGTAGAAAAACTAAAATAAATCTGATACATTTTGTCAAAGTAGATAAATTTTATTTTCTTTTGTCTCCGACCAATGTTTTAAGCTCAAAATTCTTTCTTCTAAAAAGCGTTTCTGCTTCATCACAATCCTAACAAGTATGTATTATGCAGCAAGGGAACCAACAACAGATAGACCGTGTCACAACTGACCAGAACCCTAATTTCAGTTTACCACAGTTCTCATCACCGCCAGCTTCTCAGGCTGGCTCGAGCCAAACCAGAGTGAATTCAATGGTGGAACGTGCTCGGATCGCGAAAGTCCCATTGCCTGAAGCAGCTCTAAAGTGCCCTAGATGTGACTCCACCAATACCAAGTTCTGTTACTTCAATAACTACAACCTTACTCAGCCTCGTCATTTCTGCAAGACATGTCGCCGCTATTGGACACGTGGCGGTGCCCTGAGGAATGTTCCTGTTGGAGGAGGCTTCAGAAGGAACAAGAGAAGCAAATCCAACGGAGGAAGTGGCGGCGGGAGATCCAAACCTACGGTTGTGATCTCGGCTGATAACAATACTAATACTTCGTCGCTTACTTCTCACCCAAGTTACTCAAACCCTAGCAAGTTTCTTAACTACGGCCAAATCCCGGGATTTAATTCCAACTTACCAATCGTGCCTCCTCTGCAAGGCCTTGGAGAGTACAATTCAAGCAATATTGGATTGGATTTTGGCGGAATTCAGATAAGCAACGCCATGAGCAGGATGAGCTATAGTAGTGGGATCTTGGATCCATGGAGAATGTCTTCATTGCAACAAGGTCAACAATTCCCTTTCTTGATGAACACGACAGGCTTGGAGCAATCTTCAAATGTGTTATATCCATTACCAGAAGGCAGTGGAGGTGTTAATCAAGCTGATCATCAACAAGAGAGTAGTGAGTATTCCAATCAGCTAAGGTCAAAGCCCTTGATGGATATGGCTTCAAGAGGGGATGGCGCTGGACAACCGAGAAATGTGAAGGCGGAAGAGAATGATCAAGTTCCGGATAGGAATGGGAATGGAGTGAATAACTTATCGAGGAACTTTTTGGGGAATGTTAACATAAACTCGACGGGGAATGATGAGTATGCAACATGGGGAGGTAATAGCAACGTTAGTAGTTCTTGGACCGGTTTCACCTCCAACAACTCAACAGGCCATCTCTCATTCTAAGTACTCAGCAGTATTCTTGATGCATGATTCTTTTGTTGGTTGGGGTGTACATTGATCGCTTCTCATGGGAGTTATATATCACTGAGGAGAGATCAAACTATATATGGAGCTATATTAAATGATTCGAACACTGAAGGCTAATTTTGGGGCTCAATGGAAAGGTATGGTTATATATAAAACTCTTTTTATCTATTAGAATCTTTAAAGTGTGAGTATGTTAATTGGTAGGCTTCTTCTGGTGATATTTAAGTTTATCTAAATTTGGTGTTATTGGCTATGCTACATATATATAAAGTACTTATGGGCTTGTACGAGTTAAAACATTGGTAATGGGAACTTTTTGTGTGTTTATCGAATTCTCAAGTTCTTGATTATATAGCAAGTAATACATGTTAAAGGTGTTTGATTAATTAAGTCCAAGACCAGAAGGAGAAACGATATATATGATTTTACCTCCTTGGTCCAACTTTTATATTCTGCAATCTGCATCTTTATTTTCTTGAAGATCGTCTTCTTTTTTCTTTTTCCTTTTTCCTTTTCACTGGCAAAACATTTGAAAAAAGAAAGAAAGAGAGGGGCTTTTGAATTTTCATAATCCACGAAATATTCATTTGTTATCATGTTCATTGAACGGATCCAATGTAACATATATAGGATTATAGATTGTATAAAACGCAATTGTTTTTAGCATTTGCATTTATATATCAAGCGAAAAAATCTTCTCATGTAAACAAACAATACCAAATCCATTTCTTTACAAAATAGTTTTACAAATTGTTAACGCAAAAAAGAGTTCTTCTTCAGTTTACGTGTGGTTTTGCGTTTATCATTTCTACTGAAATTTTAGTTAGAACAATAAAAATTCCGTAGGTTCATTGGAAGAAACATGCTATTATGTATGACTAAGGATACATAATTTAGCTAGGTGGATCATTTATCTCATGAGCTATCTAAACTTATTTTGGTTCCTAGATACAAGGTATGAAATAACAATAACAACTAAAGGTTAAGAGTTTTCGTAACACCTTAAACGTACGTGGGAGTTTTAAAAATGCTGCGATACCATCATAGAATTGACATGTATATTAAGCTATTAACCCATAATTTTCTTAAAATGTGTGTAACATAAAAAAATGAATACATGGGATGAAAATTCATGGTGATTTCAAAATCATTTGATAAATTAGACGCCAAAAAAGAGAGTAAAGTATCGATCATCATATCATTCCAAAAATGATTCCACTGACCGAGCGAAGACCGAAAATGGGGAGGCCATATACAATAGCCAGCCATTGAGAATATTGCATATACGAGCCAGTTGCATTCGTTACTTGATTACGATCGCATAAAGCTAAGTATTTGAAACACTAAATTCGTTAGTTCGAGAAGAAAGAAAGAAAAGCAATGATTACGTGATGTGTATCGTTTGGCAAGAGGAAAGAAGTGTGAGATGTGTAAAAAAGAACCAAAGAAGACCAACGTAAGACCAGCACGCAGTTTCATGGATCAAAAGCACGGACATATATAGGTACATACATCCATATACACACTTATACAGCATTCCTTTTCAACAACAACAACAAAAGAAAATGAATATGATTGTACGGATTCGGGAAAACAGTAAGATGTGTAGAAAAGAACCAAAGGAGTGCTGTAGCAAATTATTTTCACTATTTTCCGGATTTGCTCTATTTCATTGCATCTGAAATTGCTATACAAGTTTGACATGGATAGCAATAGCAATGCAGTAGTCGTTGAATTTGAACTATCTTTTTAAATGAACCAAAGGAGTATTAATTTAACACCTTACAAGTGAATACAAAAATATTTGTATATAATTTTCTTTTGTAATAGAAACTTTTACGAGTTTAAAGAACAGCAGTCAAACGTTACACTGTAGTATCAAATTGATTTTATTTTGTGTTGGTTGATTAAAGTGAACCAAATTGATAATCAGTGGTAGCCTAATGAGTGGCAATCTCCAAGGGATTGTGGAATATGGGCCTCTTGGACCTGCTTTTGCAATAACCGATGCCTTCAAAGTTCAAATAAAGTGTTTCTTTCCCAAAATCATTTTAGTCTTTTTCCCATATCCATTAGCATTAGACTTAGATTAATTATAAAAAGCATACACTCATATTTACGCAGAACATAACATAAAAATGGGAAGGTAAAAAAAAAAACATAAAAATAGGAGATAGATATTTAAGAAATGTTTCGGATAACTTAAGTACAAAAAATAGCAAATACATCACAGAAAGAAAAAAACTAAAGAAAAAAAGAAGAATTATACAAATTCAAATCTCGTTCTTCATACTACTTTATTTCTTCTTCTTCAACATCTTTTCCATTTGAATGTACATCTCTCCATATGATTGAAAATCTGAGAACGAGTGAAAACTAAAACTGGCCAAAATACAATAATGGCGCAACCGAAAATGAATCATTGACAATAATTATGTTGAAGGAATGAAATAACCGACTGACCATCCTTGAACCGAATGTGCTTATCTCTTCCACTCAGGATCACTGCTTAACCGATTAAGGTCCTTTTGATCACGGAGATACAATCTTTTTGTACCAAACTAATCAAATCTCTCCAAAATAAGTATCATATCATTCGAATTATCTAGAATACAAAGAAAAGTATAATTGTTACTGAAAATCAAATTGTGCATATCTAATAGTTATGGGAGATTTTCTTGTTTTTTTTTTTTTTTTAATCTTGCCATTGACAATATTTTTCCCTTTTTCCATAACACCTCCATTAACATTTCCATTAAATTTTGAAATCAGAAAAGATAAATTTCTGAAAAAAATATATATAAGTAGACACACCGCCCTTAAATAATTCCTGAAACAACCCTAAAAGTAGTAATTTTTATTAGACGGTTTCGGTACCACCATCATCTATATCAATAATCTCTCCTTCGTTCCCTCATCTTCCTCCCCGAATCTAGCTCTCTCTCCCTAATCTCTCTCTAGCTCTATCGCCGGTGGCTTGCCATGTCGAAGAACCAAGCAAGCCTTCTTCTGCAGAAGCAGCTCAAAGGTGCCCTATCTCTTTCTTCACTAATCAATACCCTTGGTCGAATCGTCTAGGGTTTTTTGTCTCGCTTAATCCTTCTCGATCTGGGTTTATCTTTCTGATTTTGAATTTTGCTCTCGCGTTTTGATTTCGCTACTGGTTCTCTCGAGTATTGAGCTGAATTTCGTGAATTCTCTTTGGTAATTGATTTTCGTTTCAGATCTGTGCAAGAATCCGGTTGATGGTTTCTCTGCTGGGCTCGTCGATGAGGAAAACGTTTTTGAGTGGAGCGTCTCCATTATCGGTCCTCCTGATACTTTGTAGTGAGTTTTCCTTCAATTGAATTTCTCTTTGCGTCGCTTACTTAGCTTGTTGAATCATCATGTTCCTCTGTTTTTGTATATAGACTCTCGATATAAGCCTGCAAAGATATTTTTGTGATCAAAATTGTAGTTTATGACATTAATCTTTGTTTTGCATCGGCTGAATTGGTTCAATTGTGCTGCGTATAAGTTTGATATGAGCTTGAGCTATTGGCATTGAAAACTTTTGTTCTGTGATTGCAGTGAAGGAGGGTTTTTCAACGCAGTGATGTCGTTTCCAGAAAATTACCCAAATAGTCCACCAACTGTGACGTTCAAGTCGGAGATGTGGCATCCTAATGGTGAGTGACTGCTTATTCTGCATAGAAGAAGCTCTCTCTCCATTCTCTGAGGTTTTAAGATTGATTGAGTCTTTCTAATGGTTTGTATTACTCTTTTGACTGCAGTTTATTCTGATGGGAAAGTTTGCATTTCAATTCTTCACCCTCCTGGTGACGATCCTAATGGATACGAGCTTGCCTCTGAACGTTGGACCCCTGTCCATACGGTATGTGATTTAGCTCTAGTGCACTGACAATTTGTTAGCTGGTTTAAGTGATTAATGGAGTTTGAGTTTCTTTGGCCTGCTATATAACTTGACATTCTTGGAATACAGTATTGTGTCTGATAAGGTCATAGAAAGAGACTGGTTTTGTTTGATTGTATGCTTGTACACTGCACTTGTGTCACTCACTTGCTTACTCAAAGCTCTTAGAAAATGCAAGCTGGGAATTGGAATTACTCTGCAGAATGGTCTGACATTAGATGAAACTTCTTTAGTAAGAGTGCATATGAATTACTTTCTGATGTTGTCTCTGTTTGAGATCTCTCCTCTTTACCATAGTGTTTGAGCTCTCTTTCTGATTAGATCATATGATTGATTGGGTTATGTGTGATATCAGGTAGAAAGCATTGTGTTGAGTATCATCTCTATGCTCTCTGGCCCGAACGATGAGTCGCCGGCGAATGTGGAAGCTGCAAAGGAATGGAGAGACAACAGAGCAGAGTTTAGGAAGAAAGTGAGCCGATGTGTTCGAAGATCGCAAGAGATGCTATGAAGAACGTCTCTCGTGCGTTTGCTGTGTTGTAGAAAATTCGATTCTAAGTTAAGAGAGAGCCTAAGAAGAACCATCATCCTCAAGCAGCCGTCTGCTCTAAAGCTTTTGTTTTTTCTTTCCTTTTTTGGTTTTTTGGTCGTTTTTAAGGTTTTCGAATATTATGGTGGAATAAAATCCACTCCATATTTTAGGATTATACACTCGTTAATTGTTAATGGATTCGTTTTCACTATCTCATTTGATTTTAGTTTGATCTTGCTATTGCTCTTTACTGCTGCTATGGTTATATGACTTGTGTGTTCCAATCATGGACTCAATTCAACAACGTATCTGGACAACAATGCGTTGATAATCAAGTGAATAAACAATCCTTTGGTATGAGTCTTCAAAGCTGATCTCGATAAGCTAAGCACAAGTCTTCAAAGCTCATCTCGATAAGCTAAGCACAGATGAATATGTCCATCAAAACAATTTCGATTTGGTTTTCTTTTTTAAGGTTGGAATAATGGTGGAATCAAATCTCCACACTTTGAAGATTATGTGTTTTTAACACTCGTTAATGGATTCGTTTTCATATTCGCTCTTTGATCTGATGATATTTATCTTTCTACTATAGTTATTAGTGGTGAGCCCTAGACCATTGTGATTTGTGACAAAGAGGAATCATGTTATTGTGAGTTTATACTATTAAGTAGACAAATACAATAGGGAGACAACATTTTAATTCGAATTTATTTATCGTTATTCGTGAAATGGAGCGTTGTAGCCTTGTAGGAGATATGGAATGGCTCGAACGTCATTTTCACACTTTCTTTTTAACGACTCCGCCATTAATTATCCAAACAGTTTCTGTTACAAAACATTTAAAAGAGAGACAAAAAGTTTGGATTTATTGCCTTTGTGTACCTAATCCAATCTTTTTAAAAATCATAATACAAATATTGCTTTTTCTTTTTTTTTTATTCTCCTTAATGATAAGTCAGAGATGTATAGTGTATTGTGAAAACCGGGTTTCAAATCTTCCAATATGCTGTTTCTTCGACCTCACCCGTTTGGTCGAATCCTAGTTCTGACCACTGCACAAAAGAAAGCTCTTTGCATTAATTATTTGGGACCGTTACACCGTCTGAAATTTTTAAAATGGTGAAAAATATTTACAAACAGCAAATTAACTTTTCTACATGTATACATGTTTACAGAAGAAAATGTATTAAGCATGTGATCTACTATGTCTATGCTCATGCAAGTTCGGGGTATGGCCAATGGTAACCAACCGAACCGCGAACTTTAACCAGACCAATTTAAAATTGGACATTAAACCGAGCCGGTTATCAAACTATTTCTCTTTACTGTATCACTCTCTCTCCGTCTCTTTTTGCATCACTTTCCCTCTCATTCTTCTCTCTCTTATCTCTCTTCCTCTTCCTCTCTCTCTCTCTCCCTCATGCCTCGTGACTCCAACCAGAGCTCTTTAAAACCGCCGCACTTCTCATGAGTCTTCGTCTCTCTTCTTCAGCTTCTTCTTCACCACCGTTAACCGCAACTCATCTCCTCTGATTTTCTCTCCTCCGCCATGCGCTCGCCGCATGCCTTCCGTAACGGCGAATCTCCGACCTCGAGGGACCGCACTCACTTCCACTCAACCGTCGCAGCTCAGAAACTCCGCCGATTCAACTCCCTGATACTCCTTCTCCGCCTCGCCTCTTTCTCCTTCTCCCTCGCCTCCGCCGTCTTCATGCTCACCAATTCCCGCGGCTCCGGTTCCCCTCACTGGTACGACTTCGACGCTTTCAGGTTCGATTCTCCTTCAATTACTATAGCTCCCTCTCTATCTTGAACGAAGTGCACTCAATTTTCAATTTCAAAATCGAGAGCGAATCTGGAATTGAGGTCAGAATCGGGGGTTGGGTTTTGCAGATTCGTGTTCGTTGCAAACGCGATCGTGGCGGTTTATTCGGTGTTCGAAATGGGAACCTGCGTTTGGGAATTTTCAAGAGAAGCCACGTTATGGCCTGAAGCTTTTCAAGTCTGGTTCGATTTTGGCCATGACCAGGTGAGTGTGAGCTCACTCAAATTCTTTTTTAACCTATTAAATTTCATTCGTGGTCATCATTAGAAGAAGCAAACCGTGTTTCAATGATTGCTTCTAATTATTTTATCAATCTTTTAGTTGATAGTATAAATTAATCCCCAATTAAACAAAACTGTATGACTTTAGAATTTTATCTTTTAATGAATTTTTCGAATTTATTAAATAAAGAAATCTTAACCGTAATTCAGCTAGTTTTACAAGTCAAACCCAAAATCACATGAAAAAGGAGAGGTTTGGTTGGAACTTTGATATATGAAATGAGACAAGTAAATCTAAATTGTAAATTGCTTTTAATAGATAGAGACATCATATAACATAAAATCTGAGAATTGCCCAAATAAAAATTTGCAATTGCAATATAATAAGTTGAATATTGAACTCCGCAGGTGTTCTCGTACCTATTGCTATCAGCAGGATCGGCTGCAGCGGCACTGGCTAGAACGATGAGAGGAGGTGACACGTGTACGGCCAACAAAGCCTTCTGCTTGCAGTCGGATGTAGCCATTGGTTTAGGCTTTGCTGCTTTCCTCTTCCTCGCTTTCTCTTCTTGCTTCTCAGGTTTTCGAGTCGCATGTTTCCTCATCACTGGCTCTCGTTTTCACATCTACTGATTCTTCTAACTATTAAAAAGAGGGTCTTATGTTTACATTTCTCTGTTTATGGAGCTGATGTATTAGTAAAAAAGTAAAAAACTTTACCATATATATAAAGATTTATTGGATAAAAACTATGAAGAACTTTCAAGTTACAAACAAAATTTACAGCAACTCAGAAACGAAGGAAGCTGAAGAAATCAGTTTTATTAAGATTTTGTGGAACTGGCTTAAGCTTCTGCTACAGTCTTAGGTTGCAGCTCTACTTTGACCTTAGCTTTTCCAGTTTTCTTACTCTCCTTTACCTTCTTCTCCTCTTCATTCTTCTCTGGGTTAAGCTCGATCCTTGCAAATACAGGACTCGCTTGCGCCATTACTTGCCCTCCCTTTAGCCCTCCCCACTTGGTGTCATTCTAAACAACGAAAAAAAGAGTTAAATTCAAACCGAAATTGTTAACTAAAATCAGGTGAAAGAAAATCGTTTGTTACCCATGTTATGCTATTGAACTGATCAAGTGAAAAGCCAAGCTGTGAATATATCCTCAGGCTTAAGCAAGGAGCAATAGGGGATAGTGCAATCGCTATAATTCTCATTACTTCCAGTATAATCACCAGATCCTGTAATTAATATTGGCACAAAACCGTCACGAACCATCACACTCGTAAAACAAATGAAGAGTAGTAAATCAGCTAGAAAGAAGATAAGACCTTGGCTGCAGCTTCAGCTGAGACACCACCTTGTTTGAAAAGAAGCCAAGGTGCTCGCTGATCCATGTAGAGATTTCCAGCATTTCCAATCTCTAACACAGCCTCACACGCCGATGAAAGTGACAGATTCTCGTAGTTTGTCTGAGCCTTTTCAACCTTTCAAGAAGAATGGTCACAATTTGTGATAAAGGATTTTGACGTAAAGAGAGCAATTAGAGAGAGACAAGAGATGTCACTTGGAACTTTTACCAGCTTCTCCACTGTGTCTTTCAAAGGAATTCCTTCGGCTGCAGAAGTTGAGTCTACCACTAAAGTGGACTCACAATTCTTCTTAAGAAGGCCGAGAGTACGGTTTAGTAGATTTCCTGAAGAGATATTAAAAGCATTTTTTTTCAGAAATCAGATCAATAACCAAAAAAGGCTTAAGGACTCAAAGAGATAGTTTTAGTAGAGTTGAGAAAGAAACCTATGGTGTTGGCCAGATGTGCATTGACGATACTTATAAACCGGTCTTCTGAATAGTCCCCATCGTTTCCAAACTCAACCTCACGTAGGAAGAAGTACCTGACAGCATCTGGACCAAATTTCTGAACCAACTCAAAAGGTTCTAATGTATTACCCAACGATTTTCCCATCTTCATTCCATCCTAGAAAGTTTGATAAAACCATGGAGTTAGCAAGAACAATAACTTTTTGATTTAACATTAAACAGGTAACATGCAGCAGCATCAAGAGTAGATTTTTGTACCTTTGTCAGAAACCCATGGCCAAACACCATCTTGGGAAGGGTCAGACCAGCAGACATTAACATGGCAGGCCAATAAACAGCATGAAATCGTAGAATATCCTGTACAAATATGGTATGATCAAGCAGAGACATACGTACATTCATGAATTCGGAGACTAAATAGATAATGAGTCTAAGTTATACCTTCCCGATCAAATGCAATGAAGCAGGCCAGCCTAATGAAACTGCAGTTTCAAGATTTTGTTGCTCGTTGTCATCTGTTAAAGCTGATATGTAACTGTAATGAGAGATGAAAGAATTGACATTAGAGTTTAATCTCAAAACTTGGTACTTGGATGCCTAATATAATTCTCGAGAGAAAAATAAAATATACCCAAGAAGAGCGTCAAACCAAACATATATGGTTTGCTTATCGTCATCAGGAACAGGAATTCCCCAATCTACTAATGCTCGAGATATGGAAAAGTCTCTTAAGCCACTCTTTATCCAACTTTGCACCTATTAAAAGAAGAGCCTATTAGAAAAGTACTAAAACAGAATGAGCTATAGCAGCAAATGCTACAAAGGAAGATAATTTCGAAGATTGTGTCTCACACACCTCATTTAGACGATAAGAAGGCTGCACAAAACGAGGATTCTGTGACAAAATCTCTTCAAGTGGTTTCTGATACTTAGATAGAGCAAAGAAGTAGTTATCTTCTTTCCTTGCAACACATGGCATTTGATGAACAGGGCAACAATTGTTCTCAAGCAGCTCTTTCTCATCCTGCAGAATTCGAAACAAAACCACAAACCTATAAAACTCGTGCCACTGACACAGAAAGTAAATAGCTTTATCTCCTCATTTCCAAAAATATCAAACCTTGTATTCCTCGCAGTTAACACAGTAAAGACCTTCGTAATCAGCTCTGTATATGTCACCGTTTGCGAAAACTCGAGCGTAGAACTCTTTCACGATTGCTTCATGTTTAGGATCAGTGGTTCTGATAAATTTGTCATAAGCTATATCGAGCTCTTTCCAAAGAGTTCGATACGATTGAGAGATGAGATCACAGTGGTCACCGGGATTGCGTCCATTTGCAGCTGCTGAAGTAGCAATCTTCTCACCATGCTCATCTGTTCCTGTGATGAAGATAACCTTCTTGCCAAGAAGCCTCTACAGGAGGAAAAAAAAACAAACTTGAATTCTTGAAAAATTGAAACTTTGAAGGAACAGGTCAGAGATTGATTGAGAAACACAGACCTGGAAACGGGCAATTGAATCGGCGGCGATGGTGGTGTAAGCACTGCCCATGTGGGGAGGGGCATTTACGTAATAAAGAGGAGTGGTGAGGACAAATGTCTCGGCGTCGTTTTCATGGCTGGAAGTGCAGTAGAGAGCTCTCCTCCCGGAGGAGTATTGGGACGAATTGAGCTTTTTGGAAAATCTGAAGCTGTTTCTAGAAGAGAACGGTTTGATACTGAATGGGGTATTGAAAGGGTTTAACAAACAGAGGGCGTTATGAAGCGAAGTGTTCAATTTGGCCGCCATTGATATGATGAAAGGACGGACCTTCGCCGGAGAAGCAGAGGAAGGAAATGGAAGGGAGAGACCAAAAACCCGTTGTTATCATGGTTTAGTTCGGTTTGGAGCGCAATTTAGGTCGAGGACCAAAACCGGTTCAATTAAGTAATTTTGTGTATACCAAAGCAAAATGTAAACCGATTTTTTTTTCCGGTGAAGGTATTTTCACTTTGAGACGACTGGTTGAATCAAAAAGTTTATACACCAATGAAATTCGAAGACGTGTACATGTGTTTCATAGCTTACGAAAAACGCCACTTTGACCGCCCAGAAAACTGGACTTGGACAAAGCGTCTGTTCTCAGAACGGCGTTTCACACCAGTGGGAGCCACCATATAAAATTGTTTTTCTTTAGCATAATTAAAAGTTAAAATAAAAAATTAACACTTGTTTTGTGAATTGTAAAATCCATTTTAGCATAAGTATATTCAGTTATTCACTAAATCACTCCAACCTTCTTTTTTCGTTGTAAATGTTTTCAGTTTATGGTAATTTTCTGGGGAATTTCTGACATTTCGTCCACAGAAAAATCAACATCCAATATATATATTCCTTATAAATCAGTGTTAAAATATTTAGTTTGTATAAATAGAACCAGATTCCATTTTTTAATAATGGCGTTATCATACAAAGGGGAAGAAAAGTAACCCTGCTCGGCTCTCTCCTTCCTTCTCTTACATTTCCTCCCGCCGGCTCTCTCTCCCTTCGCTTCCAGGTACGCAGCTTTCGAATTCGCTTCTTCGCTATCGGAGAAAACGAAAGCATTCTTAATCCAACATTAGTCTAAGAAACAGATCTATCATTCTGCTATTGGTGTTTTTCTTCTCGGAAAACGATTTTACTCATCAGATTCGCTGATTTCGTACTGTTTTGACCCGGATTGTTGTCAGACTTTTCTATTTGGTTATTAGATTATAGAGTCGAATCTAACGCTCGTCTTGATTTGTCGATACGGTGCTCTTGTTCTTCGTTTTTGTATCTGAGAATGATTCGAGAGATTCTTCATTTTACTATACGTCATTAACGGTTGTTGATTGTTTCATTTTGCAGTGAGGAACGACGATTGTTGAATGCGATTAGGTATTGAAGGTTAAAGCTTGGGGTTTTTTAAGAATCTGGTTGAAATGGTGTGGTTTCGAGCTGGTTCGAGTGTAACAAAGCTTGCTGTGAGAAGGATTCTGAATCAAGGTGGTTCGTATGCGTCGAGGACTCGTTCCCTTCCTTCTCAAAACCGCTGCTTTCACTCAACTGTTTACAAACAAAAGGCTACGAGTGCTCCAGTTCCTCGAGCTGTGCCTCTTTCGAAGCTAACCGATAGCTTCTTAGATGGGACGAGCAGTGTGTACCTAGAGGAGCTTCAAAGAGCTTGGGAGTCAGATCCCAACAGTGTAGATGAGTCTTGGGACAATTTCTTTAGGAACTTTGTCGGTCAGGCTGCAACGTCTCCTGGCATCTCTGGGCAGACGATTCAGGAGAGTATGCGTCTCTTGTTGCTTGTGAGGGCTTATCAGGTGAATGGTCACATGAAAGCGAAGTTGGATCCTTTAGGTCTTGAACAGCGAGAGATCCCTGAGGATCTTGACTTGGCTCTCTATGGATTCACAGAGGCTGATCTTGACAGAGAGTTCTTCTTGGGAGTGTGGCAGATGTCTGGATTCATGTCTGAGAACCGTCCAGTGCAGACTCTTCGTTCCATATTGACAAGGCTTGAACAGGCTTACTGTGGGAATATTGGGTTTGAGTATATGCACATCGCTGATAGGGATAAATGTAACTGGTTGAGAGAGAAAATCGAGACACCAACTCCATGGAGGTACAACAGGGAGCGCCGTGAGGTGATTCTTGATCGGCTTGCGTGGAGTACTCAGTTTGAGAATTTCTTGGCTACCAAGTGGACAACAGCTAAGAGATTCGGGCTTGAAGGTGGAGAATCGTTGATTCCTGGGATGAAGGAGATGTTTGACAGAGCAGCAGATCTCGGAGTAGAGAGTATTGTTATCGGAATGTCTCACAGAGGAAGGTTGAATGTTTTGGGTAATGTTGTTAGGAAGCCACTCCGTCAGATATTTAGCGAGTTCAGCGGTGGTATTAAGCCTGTAGATGAAGTTGGCTACACTGGAACTGGTGATGTCAAATATCACTTGGGAACCTCTTATGATCGACCTACAAGAGGAGGGAAGTATATCCATCTTTCATTGGTTGCGAATCCAAGTCATTTGGAAGCTGCTGATTCAGTTGTTGTGGGAAAAACCAGAGCAAAACAGTACTACTCGAAGGATTTAGACAGGACCAAGAATTTGGGTATCTTGATTCATGGAGATGGTAGCTTTGCTGGACAAGGAGTTGTTTACGAAACTCTCCATCTTAGTGCTCTTCCAAACTACACCACCGGTGGTACCATTCATATTGTGGTGAACAACCAGGTGGCTTTCACGACTGATCCAAGAGCCGGAAGATCTTCCCAGTACTGTACTGATGTTGCTAAGGCCTTGAGTGCTCCCATCTTCCATGTTAATGGAGATGATGTTGAGGCTGTTGTTCATGCCTGTGAGCTTGCTGCTGAGTGGCGTCAGACATTCCATTCTGATGTTGTCGTTGATTTGGTTTGCTACCGTAGGTTTGGGCATAATGAGATAGATGAACCATCTTTCACTCAGCCTAAAATGTACAAGGTTCGTGGCTTTTTTTCCGTTATATGTAACCCGAAAAGAATAGGCTATGGATTTATGACTTGGTGCAGTTTTCTAACTCTTTGAATTCACTTGTTGCTTTTCAATTTGACAGGTTATCAAAAATCACCCTTCAACGCTTCAAATCTACCACAAGAAGCTCTTGGAATGCGGTGAAGTATCACAACAAGATATTGACAGGATTCAAGAGAAGGTTAACACCATCCTTAATGAAGAATTTGTTGCTAGCAAAGACTATCTCCCTAAGAAACGAGATTGGCTTTCCACCAATTGGGCTGGATTCAAGTCTCCTGAGCAGATCTCGCGTGTTAGAAACACTGGGTGAGTAGTTTGTCTTGATAAGTTTTTATTTTTACTTCTTTGTCTTATTTTCTCACAAACTTTACACTCGTCTGCAGCGTCAAACCAGAGATACTTAAGACTGTTGGCAAGGCGATTTCGTCGCTTCCAGAAAACTTCAAGCCTCACAGGGCAGTCAAGAAAGTTTATGAACAACGTGCTCAAATGATTGAATCAGGAGAAGGAATTGACTGGGCACTTGCAGAAGCTCTTGCTTTTGCTACCTTGGTTGTGGAAGGCAACCATGTCCGCTTGAGTGGTCAGGATGTCGAACGAGGAACCTTTAGTCACCGTCATTCTGTCCTTCATGACCAGGAAACTGGAGAAGAGTACTGTCCTCTAGATCATCTCATCATGAATCAGGACCCTGAGATGTTTACTGTCAGCAACAGGTATCTTTAGCTCCATCCTTCTCCTCAAAGATTTTTGTGCTCCTAGCTTGTTTAGACAAGAAACGCCTTAGCTCAGATTATGCTGATATATGTTTGTTGTTATTTCTGTGTGTAATAGAGATTGACCATATATGCCTTCACTAAATTTAACTAATTTAACTAAATCCCCTTTGTTTGTTACTTGCAAATCAGAAATTTTTCTTGTAATAGATTCGCTAAGAAGTTTTTGCTTTGTTGAATGCAGTTCTCTTTCAGAATTCGGTGTCCTTGGGTTTGAATTGGGTTACTCAATGGAAAGCCCAAACTCGTTGGTACTATGGGAAGCTCAGTTTGGAGACTTTGCCAACGGAGCTCAGGTGATATTTGATCAGTTCATCAGCAGTGGAGAAGCCAAATGGCTGCGTCAAACCGGGCTTGTTATGCTTCTTCCCCATGGTTATGATGGTCAGGGCCCTGAACATTCAAGTGCGAGGTTGGAACGTTACCTTCAGGTAAACTTTATTACATCTTATGAGCTTACGATGTTGGATTAGTGAAAAAAGTAATCTCATTTGTATCTTAGCTGTAAATTTTCTTCCTGACTCTAATCGATGCTTGTGATCTTCTGTTACAGATGAGCGATGATAATCCCTATGTCATACCAGACATGGAACCAACAATGCGAAAGCAAATCCAAGAGTGTAACTGGCAGATTGTCAATGCCACAACTCCTGCCAACTACTTCCATGTTCTCCGCCGACAGGTATGAGCTTCTTCTTCTTCTTTTTTGTTAGTTTCTTTACCTGATTTGAGTTTCCATTTTACAATGTGTCAATGTCACTCATGTTGCAGATACACAGAGACTTCCGTAAGCCTCTGATTGTGATGGCACCAAAGAACTTGCTCCGTCACAAGGACTGCAAATCAAATCTCTCAGAGTTTGACGATGTCCAAGGCCACCCAGGTTTTGACAAGCAAGGAACCAGATTTAAGCGATTGATCAAGGATCAGAACGATCACTCTGATCTTGAAGAAGGCATCAGAAGATTGGTACTTTGCTCTGGAAAGGTATGCAATCTCTGTTCATTTCATAAGATGAATCTTGCTGGTAAGAGACTTTAGGATCAATCATTATTGATTTTGCTTCTTTGCAGGTTTATTATGAGCTTGATGACGAGAGGAAGAAGGCTGGCGCCGACGATGTTGCTATTTGCAGAGTGGAACAGCTTTGTCCTTTCCCGTATGATCTCATTCAGCGTGAGCTCAAGAGATATCCAAGTACGTAACACTATTGGTATATACTTTAGTTGGTTTCGTGTTATCTTTTTTTCTCTGACATCAAGTTTCCTTCAATGTTTCTGAAATAGATGCTGAGATCGTGTGGTGCCAAGAAGAGGCGATGAACATGGGAGCATTCAGCTACATATCACCGCGGCTATGGACAGCAATGAGAAGCTTAGGCAGAGGAGATATGGAAGACATTAAGTACGTTGGACGTGGTCCTTCTGCTGCTACGGCCACCGGTTTCTACACTTTCCATGTCAAAGAGCAAGCCGAGCTCGTCAAGAAAGCCATCCAAAAGGAACCCATCAATTAAAAGAGTCTTCCTTTTTTAATTGAATTCTCAGACTGAAAAAGAGAAAAAGGAGAATACTTTAAATAAGAACTTTGGCTCATGCAAAAGTGATAAAACAACACTGACAAAATCCTCTGTTTCTTTGATTATTTTTGGTCCCATTGATTTTGAACCTGTCTCGTTTTGCAGGTTGAAACATTAAAATCACAATTTTTTTGATATAGTATTCTTTGTTTTTCCTCTTCTTTTTCCTTTGATATATCTTTTGCTTTCTCGTATTAAAACGTCCTGGAGATGTCCAACATGACTATGGCTTCTGTCCCAGTTAAACTATAAACTCCATTTCGAGTTTTCAATCTCCAAACGAATTCTTAATAAAAAACAGTAAAATTTCCAATAGATGATGACTATTGTAGATTTGAAGCCTGCAGAAAAAAATTGTTATCCCAATCAGAAAATGGAGTTTTCTCAAAATATTCGAAGAAACAAGAAAATAGCTATTAGTAATGGAGAGTAACGCCTAGGCGAAGATAGATTTGTTCACGACATAATCAACCGTCTCCACCATAACGGTCCTATATCCACCCACTTAACAAAATGAAGTCGTTATACATTAAGACAACCAAGTTAGAACAAGCAAACTCAAATATTATTCTCTTTTTGCCGTAATACATACATCAAAGATCCCACAACAACTACATCCACTTATATATGATACGATGATGTATGTGACATGTGATATACTAATACCATATACTTTATATTATCCGTAAAATGAAAACTAATGAATCGAGGACACCTTTTGATAATGCATCACTTTAGAAAAAAAAAAAAAAATTGTGGAGCCACTCTAATTGCTGCTGCGAGAATATGCTTTTAATGGATGCACTCATACCTATCATGTGTGAGACATTTGGTACCATCATTACCAGCTTCACCATCAAATCTTTATTCTCTTTTCATTGTTAATTTTTATTGAAATTAATATTCATGTCACCCTTATCATCCATCTCTCTCCATATATAATTACGAGCAAAAAAACTTCAAACCCCATCTACGGTGAAGACGTAATTTTGTTATTGAGTTAAATTTACGTTTATCTTTTAACAAAATCTTGGGTTAGATTATTCAGTTATATATAATTTGGTACAATTTTTAGGCAGAATTATTACCTATCATAAAATTTCATTGCAGTAACTTTAACAAGAAAAAAAGAGATTGCTAGCAACTTTTCACTGTGTTGTTCCAAACTAGTTAGTTACTACGTACGGTTGCAATTGAAAGATAAGTCTATTTCAAGTAACGTTAAAGATAAATTTCCCTTGACGGTGCAAGCCAATAATTTGATGAAACATAAAAGGGGGCTTGAATGGTCTTGCATGTAATTAATGTTTTTTTCATATCATACTAGGATGGGATCGAGACCTTACCTAAATGCATTTAAGTATTTAAGCAATCCACCAAACAAACAAAACCACCTTTGAACTACTTTGATTATCACAATTTTCTTCTTAATCAACTAGTTATTCAAATTAATCATTCTAATATACTGTATAATTTACATAATATCACTAGATTCATTTGTTTTGACCGATTATTTTAATGAAAATGCTAAAGAATAAGGTAAACAAAAACAAGATAACAAATATTGGGAGGTGAGCTATGAATTTAGCAATACAGTTATTAATTAATATAGTGTCGGCAACAGTAGGGGAGAAAAACTTTAATGGTACTATTATATAATCAGATGCTACTATCGGGAATGTTATCGAAATGTTTATAGTTTTCATATACTGCGTTACTTCAGTTTAAAAAGTACTTTTCTGTTTTTTTTTTTTTTTATCTTCATATTTTTTAGAAGATAGTTAGTCGGTTTTGCAGACAGTTATCATGAAGAGACAATTAATTGTAGGGTTACTCTATATGTTTTGATCTCTAGTCTTAAACGCCTATCGATAACGATAACGATGTTCATCTCTTCGTTCCTTTTTGCTTTCCCCTTTTTTGGTATATACACAATTATTCATTTCAGTGAATAATTTATCACAACACAATCTAGTGGCAATCTGTAAATAAACACCTACTCACGTGTTGTTCTCCTTCATAAGAAAATAGTGCCAATGAAATGAAAATATTTGAGAAAGTATAAGGTTTATTTATATTTTGTCCAAGTTCGAAACCGTTACTGAATGCACAATTGGTTATTTATGGAACTCGTACTAGTTTTTTGTCAACTACGAAATTTAGCTTCAAGCCAATAGCTAGTAGTAACTTTTACAGTTTTACTTGCCTAGTTGGCTAGTTGTCTGGTGTAAGTTATTCATTATAATAATTTATATTGATCAACATGAACTCATATAAACTAGTTTGCGAGCTACTAGTAAATTTATTTCCACAAAAGTTACTTTTTGAACAAATATTCAAAAAAATTACCATGACAATGTAATATTTAAAACAAATCCAATATTTGTGTTTTTCCGAATGCTAAGTTATACTTATATCACTGTCTTACTCCTAAATCCTAATTCATGTAAGTTAAATCTATTTAAAGATCACGCACTTAATAACATGTTCACCCTAATTCATGAAAGTTATCATTTCAAAGAAAAACACATCGCATTGATTGCATTTGATGAATTGATGTGTAAACAAACTTTCCAATTAATCTGACTCGGAAACTGTCTCATGACGTTGTCATAATAATATTACAAAATCAAGAAACAACATCATTAAGAAAATAAAAAAACAAAGAAAAAAAAAGGAAAAGAAAGAGAGAGACAGAAGCTCAATCAAAAGCACCAACCAAAGTGACCAACTTCTCTTCACAAACAAAAACCAAAGAGAGAGAAGAACAAGAAGAAGAAAGAAAGAAACAGAGCAACTGTCATGGAAGAGAAAGAGAAGAAAACCAAGAAGAAGAAGAAGAAAGATAGCAAATCCTCGCCGGACATCTCCTTCAAGCCTTCCTCCGACGTTAAAGGCCTCAAATTCGGCGGCCAGATAATCGTCAAATCATTCACAATCCGAAGAGCAAGAACACTCGAGCTCCTTAAACTCCTCTCTCTCCCTTCTTCATCATCGCCTCCTCTTCTTTCCACGGCGGCGTATCTTCCGACCAACTTCACGATCTTAGCTCACCACGCTTGGCACACACTAACCCTCGGGTTAGGCACGAGAAAATCGAAAGTAGTGGTGTTCGTATTCGAATCGGAGGCGATGAGAACGGCGGTGGCGGCGGAAGGAGGAATCTGGCCGCCGGAGATTCCGCTCGGAGACGTGAACAAGAAGATGATCAGAAGGCTAAAGAACTGGGAGATGGCGAGGTTCAAGTTCAGGAAAGGATGCATCACGTTTTACGTATACGCCGTGAGAAACGCCGGGAACGAAGGATTCGCGGCGGCGGAGGACTTAAAGGTAATTTTACAGGCGGTGGTGGCTTTAAAAGATTTCATGGATCACACCGCAATGCTCGTAATGCCCCACCAGAAAGCTATTAATTACACTTCTTGCCCTCCTTTTGCCATGGCTCACTAAGCTATTATTGAAGTGGACCTCTTCTTTTTTGACTCCTTTTATATGATTACAAAAAAAAAGTTAGTTCTGATTATTTTTTATTTTTGGTTTTCTAGTGAATTGTAATGAATGATTGTTATTAATATCTTTGCTTTTTATTTTCCTTAATTTTTTGGGTAGAAAATTGGTATGAATAAGATCAAACTGTTTGTGTTGGATTGTTTGTGTTTCTGCATGAAAGCAACGGCACAATTACTTTTGTTGATCATGATCAGAATCTCCGTTTTGCTAACATTTTGAAGAATAAATCGAAAAGAGAACAAATATTTTTGTTGATGATACATACGTATGCCGATCGAAGAATTGGAATATTTGAAGGGTCTGTGCCATTTATTTCGACCTCTTTTTTTTAGCATTTTAAGAAAAGAAATATCTCGTTATTTTTTGGAAGTTGTCAATATTATGTGGTCAAGTTATCCAAAATAGTTTCATTGAAAATCTGGTGAAAACAAGACAAATCTATAAAATACACAAGAAGTTCCCATGATCTCTTATCTCGTGTAGAAAATGTCTTTATTATTATCAACACGTCTCCTGAAAATGCATAAATGATGTTTATTTCCATTACAACTCATGGTCCAAAAAGAAATACTCCCTCCGTTTCAAATTAGTTGTCGTTTTGGTAAAATGTATCTGCAAATATTTGGACGTATCTAGACATGTTTTGCATTGCAGATACATCTAAATAATTACATATACATTTTCCCAAAACGACAATTAATTTGAAACGGAGGGAATAAACATCTACAACTTAACCTATTGTTTCTCTAGTGATATTCTACTTGAATCTTATTCTTCCCTTGATTTTCTGCAATCATTTTTCAAGTTGTGTTTCTTTTGGGCAATTCTCTAAATAATGATATTCCGAAAATGGACCAAAACACAAGAGATGAGTTTAAACACACAATCTAGAAATCATGTCAACACCACTGCTGAAAAAAACGTCACAATCTTATAAATCTATGCTTAACATTTCCAAATCATGCTTAACATTTCCAAATAGTCTCTAAACATTATTCTACAGATCAGGAGAAGAATTATTTGCAGCAAAGAAGTGAAATTCCCTAAAGCAATCAAATTAAATAACCCAAATCCTTTGAAACACTAAAAAACAATTGGATTTTAGAGGATGATTTAAATAATTGTTATCATCAAAACACAACTTCTTCAACCGTGGAAGAAACACAACCGGTGCATTCCACAATCCAATTTCTCTCCCAGCTAGCTTCAACCTCACCAAACTTTCCTGCACAAAGACTCTCAGAGGTAAATCAAACTCAATTTCTTCTACTTCTTCTTCATACTCATTATCACTTCTAGCTTCAAAATGCCTAGCTTGAGATTTTCAACCTTGTTCTCCAAAAGCATAATCAACCCAGTTTGTGATTATAGATCCTCTTACCCTTCCGTAAATTGACAGCGAGAATTTGATCAACTTCTTCTTGCCTCTCTTATCCAACACTCCCTAGAGTGACTGCGCGAGCAAATGCGATACTGACACCTGTCATGGCGCTTGAACTCATTTTTTTTTTTTTTTTTTAACAACTTCTTTCTTCTTCGTTTCTCTAATTAAAAGTGGTAGAATAGATATTTGCCAACTAATTAGACTTATATGTTAAACTTATTTTAGACTTTTGAAAACATGTGTTACAATTTCTCCATATTAAAATTACACTTCGTCATTTTATGGTTGGGGAAGAAAATAAAATTCAGGTTTTGGGGGTTTTCTTCTAAGAGAAAATGCTAAGCATTGTGCTTTTTATATCGTTAGTTTTTATGCTAAAACTTGTGGTGGTTACATGTCAAATATGTTACGTGTCATGTCCACCCCAAATTTTTGGTCGTGACATGTCAAATACGTTACCCAAACGTGGTGACATTTCTTCTTCGTTTTACTGTTTTCCTCCCTATCACCACGTTTCCACGATCGTTATGCGAAGTGCTTTTGTATATTTACGAAGTAATTCAATCATATCGATCTTATTTCCGCATAAGAACATCTTAAAGATATTCAAATTCATATGGTGAACTTTAATACTTTATAGTGACGTTAGTAGTAGAAGGAAAGTGACGTTAGTAGTCAAAGGAAAGTAAAGTTAGTACATATGGCTCTAAGTACAAACCGATACTTTCCATTGACTACTAACGTTACTTTCCTTTGGTAGTAAAAGGAATCCATATGGTGAACTTTATAGTGCATATACATACGATACGAACGTTTTTAGTGATGACGTCAGGTAAGCCATTGGATCTGGAGTAGCATTCATCCGAAAATCGTGAACCCAGAGACCAAAAAGGATGGGGAGAAAAATCAATCCCCTGGCGCTGAAACGAGAGAGAGAAGAAACGGAAATTAAAACTCTCAGCTCGGATCTCGACGAGGAGAAGAGAAAGACGGAGAATCCATGGGAGATAGAATTAGAGAGAAGAGAACACGAGAAACCACGACTGCCACTACAACTCTCTCTCTCCCGTCACAAACTGCGTCGTCGATGATGATTCTCCGGTCATATGATCGCCGGTACATTAGATTGTTTCTTTAGACGCCGTGGGTTTTTTATTTGGTTCGTTGGGCCGCAAATGAACGAGACTTGTATGTATTTGGGCCCACAAACGCCGTTGGTCACGGACTTTACGGTTACGCCAAAAAGTCAATTTGATCGATTCACCAGTTCGGTTCGATGCAATCTCGGTTATTGAATTTAGAGTATCGGTTCGATGCAATCTCGGTTATTGAATTTAGCCGTTGAGTTAGAGATCTGGCAAATGGAATCAAAGTGGATATAGTACCATAGTGAAAAGACTAAAATCGAACAGAAGATATATAGGACAAGGCATAATTATTTTTGAAACACCGGATTTTAAAAATGAAAATATAATAAATTCAAAAAAAGGAAAAATCTACCGTTTATAATGTTTTGATTTGTTTTTTCAAAAAAGAAAGAAATCGGCTGACTAAAACATGGCGAATATTTTACTTCTACAAGAAATTAACCAGGACTGGGCCATATTTCGTCAAATCATTCACAATCCGACGAGCACGAACTCTCGAATAATTTGTTTTGGTTCGATTTTACATTTTAGCGGTTTAAACTTTTTTTTACATTTTTAGAAAAATAGATGTAGTCTACTTTAGTCTCGATTCTTTTTAAAACATGTTGAGGACAAAATGTGTTCGAATAAGACTATTATTTAAGAATTTTCCAATACAACTTATGGTTCAAACGAAATAAACATATACTACTTAACCTATTGTTCCCCAAGTGATATGCTACTTGACTCTTATTCTTTTGCAGTCATTTTTTCAAGTGGTGCTTTTTTCGGGTAATTCTCTAAATAAACTTTAAAAAGTCAATTCAAAAATTTGGTTGAAGGAGTCTTGAAAATCTGTTCAGATCATCCATGTGTCCATTGTCATGAGCATGACAAATGCCACATTGTTAGCCAAAATTATATAGTCCAAACATAGCTGAAGAAAATCAGGCTGAAGAAAACCAAACAGAATCCAGAGAGAGGGTCTTCAGCCGTGGAAGATCAACATCATCATCTATGAAGAGCCTCCCATCTGCCACAGCTAATTTCACATGCACAAGACTGTTTTGCAAAAAAAAAATCTTGAAGGTAGCTTATAAGGGTCACCTTGGACTTCGTTGATACAAAGCTTCATGTTCTCAACTTTGTTCACCAAGCAATACTCAATCCAACGACTGATTGGATCGCTATCCACCTCTTGTTCAAGGGTCAGCGAAAACTTAAGGAGCTTCGTATTCTCTGGCTTAGATAATGCTCTATCCACAAATGTAACGAATCGACCTTCGGCTCCAACATCTTCACCACCAGTATACAGAAATTTGAGTCTCGATAAGTCGCTCATGTTGACTTTCCACTCTCCTCTCATGAGAAGAACCGATGTTTGAACAGCTTCATCCATTGCCATAAAGGACAAGATGTATCGCCCCACTTCTGTTGAAATAATAAAGATGAGTTTACAAACTCAAATTCACATCAAACACAATTGAACTAATAAAATGCAAGAGTTTAGTAATGGTTTCTTCACTTTGTATGTGTAAACGATGAATGTGAATATAATAAAATTATAAAATTTGAATGTATGTGTGAACGTTCTGCAAATTGTTCTTGTACATGTTACAGAAAATCAAACATTCAGTGATCTCCAAAATAAATCTGACAATAGAAAATCGGAAATGACTTGAAACTTGAAAGACCTGCAAATAAGACATTAACACCTTATTATGAGTGTGAAAAGAGTCGATGGAGATGTGTTAAAATCAGCCATCGGTCCACATTAGTAATATTTAATTTACTAAATCAGACATGATCACAAGACACAGAAATAGATTAGTTTAAGCGTAATTCTGAAGCAAATTTAATGTGAAGCTCCTCCATTTTACTTATTTTATCATTCAAAAATACAAAAGAAACTCACATTAGAAAAAGAAAGGAATGAATAAAAATAAATCCTTAAAATTAGAATATCCGAATTTAAACACAAAGCCGATGGTCTCTCCAACCCAAAAGTTCCATTATGTTACTTTCCAAACAAATGAATGCTACATTAAGTACATAGTCAAATCTCTTAACAAGACCTTAGTACCTACATGCACCATTGCTTGGGTTGTTCCCTACGACAACACCGGTCCCACTGAAATTACACGACCCATCATTGCGTCCATTTTTCTGGAAGTAAGCGTTCATCACAAAAGACGCGTGCGTCCTCACACTGCTTGGGTTAAAGCACGAACCACCGGTTTGGATCGGTTTACAATCAACACCTCCCTGGCTACACACCCAATCAATATTCCCTTGCAGCTGCGCATCTGTCGCTCCCGACTTCGCCACACACCATTTACCACCGCCGGTACTAGGAGCCGGCAATGCTGGACGGCCACCTCCACCGCCTTGTCCGTTACGGAGAAGACCAACGTTGTAAACCGGGGTGAAATCCGGTCTGAAAAGCCCCCAGTTACGCTCTGCGGTCGGACCAGGCTTGTTTTCTTCGTTGAACAGACCGAAAATGTAAGTCTCGAAACGTCTGTTAGGCATGAGAGGTGTTCCTTGGCCTTGCGAACGTTTGATGATGTTGAGGTTGAACCAAGCAGCGTTTTCAAGGGAGCACCAAGGTGCGTCACAAGCGGATGGCCATCCGGTCTCGCCGACGACGATGTTGACATCTCCGTATCCAAGAGCTTTCATGGCTGAGTAAGTGGAGTCCATGAGAGCATCATACATGTTGGTGTAGACTTTGCGGGTGTAAGGGTCACGGACCGCCTTGTACGGTGTACGGAAAATGGCGAAGTTGACGTTTTTGGGGTCGAAACCGAAGTAAGGGTAAGGGTTAATCATGAATGGAGACTTGGTCTTTCGATGGTAAGCAAGGATTGGTGCCAATATGTTCTTGTCCCATACCGGTCTGAATCGACCGCTGCTTGGTGCGCCTTTCAGGTCATAGGCTATGATGTTAAGTGAGTGTGCGGTTGTGACCTGAGACCAAATTAAAACAAATAGCATATATTAGTATCAAACATTACTTATCAGGCTGTAATAAGTTACGTATGTATGATAACATCAAAATTTTGTTCAAATTAATTGATTTTCCTATGAGAATTTGTATTTGTGATGTAATAAAGCAAACTCAAGGCATGGCAGACACATTACGTACGAGTTGTTTTTGCTTTTGTCATCAAATTTAACATTCATAGGAAAGGGTTCGAATCTATAGACAACCTTGGACGGTGAGATAGCACGTGGGATGGTCTATAAGGTCCAGACATTGAATAAATATCATCGCTATAATTTTCAAAGTCTTGGAATTTTGTATGCGTGAAAGCTTAGCCTTTGGATTTCAATTTAGATAAGACTAGAAATCTAAAACTTTCAGAAATTATCAACTTTTGTTTTCCATTAATTTCAACGTTGTTCCAACTTTATATGCGCAATCAATGCCTAGTTTCGGTTAAAAACATAAAGAAAAAAAAAAACAAAAACAATGCATTTTTCACGCCAATCATCAATTTAATAACCAATAATGAGTTAATGACGCTTTTTGTTTACTTGCAATTTCAAAATTTAAAGTAGAGATCTTCAAAGTTTGTTAAGTAAAGAGCATATCAATTCTAATTAAACTTTACCAAACTAGACCCAATAAGATCTGAAACTAGTCAAATAATGACATGGAAATTATATTAAAATTTATTATTTGTTTACCAAAAATAGGAAAAAATCTAGAGATAAGGGAATGAAGAGAAAATCTGACCTTAACATCTTTGACACCAGCACGGACCAAAGCACTGTTAATATTCCTCATCGCCGGTAACAGATTCGAGATCATGTTATTATCTCCGGTGAGCAGAATCTCATTTCCGACAGAGATATACTTGATCTTCGTCTGAGGATGAAACGGCAAGATGTTTGCCGAAACCCACCGACGGGCCTGCCTTCCGTTAGCTAACGCCGGAATATCACCGTTGGGGACGGTGACGACGACGGAGATTCCAGTTCCGGCGAAGGCACGGAGGATATCAGGATTCACATCGAAGATCTTAACGCTATCGATCGTAGTCTGAGTCTTGATGAAATTCGCCACCTGAGAAGGTGGCGGGAGGTTTCCGAGCGTGCCGTAGTTCACACCGATGGCGGAGATCACGGCCGGGAGGGTGAGGAATACGGCGGCGGAGATGAGAAGGAGGAGGTTGAGAGAGAAGGACGGTGGCGCTTTGGCCATTTTTTGCTCGTTGCGGAAAATCAAACGATTCGAGTGAAACCCGTGAATCGTTTGAAGGTGTTTTTTTATGACGAGATTTAATGCTTATTGAGAAACTATATATAAGAGAAATTAATAAATAAATGGTTATGACCGTTTGTATAGGCGTATACGTGTTTTTTAAGTGTATATATATATATATTTAGTGACGAACAGCTGGATTTCTTAGAAAGGAAAAAAAAAGTTTTTGTTGTCTTTTCATTCATGTGCGTCGGCTTAAATTAGGCCGTTGTAAATTATTGAAAAGTAGATTTTGTTGTGACCGTCAAAATTTTAGTTAATTCGGCTAAGTATAGCTTTTTTTTCCTGTGGATAATTATCTTGTCATCTGTTGGTGACTTTTTGCTGTTAATACTCAAGATTTTCCATCTCTAATCTAAAAATTAGGCTTGTTTCTTTTTGTTAACCTTAATATTAGTGTCTTAATATCATCACTTTTACAGATGTCACGAATGAGCTCATGAGAGATCTGAGTGTTTTCATTTTACTACTAAAACAAATGATTTATAACATTGAAACCCCAAAAAAAAAATTAAATTAAAATTACCAAATGTATGATTAAAAAAAATATTCAATGAAAAGAAAAAGAGGAGATAGGTCGACACGGTTTCTGATAGAGTATTTGGACACGTGTGTAGGATGGAATCGTTGGAGTTTGAACACTGCAGACCAGAGTCGAATAGATTCGAGTTTCGAAGCACGAACGAAGATGTTGAGGAAGCTGATTCTTTATCTTTAGTTCTGTACGTACACTTTTGCTTTTTAATTAAATCTTAGCCATTTGTGGTGCTTTCTTTGGAAAAGAAGATCCGCTCATGTCTCCTTCTCCGCCATTTAGTTAACAGTTTATCACTTTATTGTCCTTATCAATGACAGTATGACACTAGTTACAGACTTACAGCTGATTGCATTATAAACACGTCACTTCTGTTATTGAATCCATCTTTTGTTGTCATTTTTTTATAAGGGTATTTCTCTAAGAGACTAAGATATTCTTTGAAGACCACTGAGATATTTTGATAGAAAAATGCCAAACCATTTGACAGACAAAAGAGGTACAATGCCAAAATAGTACCAAATGAGGATAACTAAAGATCACAAGGTAGGCAAAATAAATGTAATTCAGATCTCAGCATCACAAATGGAGAAAACAAAAACAAATTAGAAAAATGAAGAACAAGTTAATGGGCGTATTGGGCTTAAACCTATTTCATTATGTGCTTTAATGGGCCTAAAGCCTTATAATTACATCATTCTCCACGCCGTCGTTTACTTCTCGAAATGCCTACACCAACCAGACCTTGGGCTACACGTACATAATATTACATCATCCCACGCAATTTACGTCGGTACCCTCACCTTTCTTTATTTTCCTCCGAGAATATTCTTCTATACCATAGACATAATCGTCATTTCCATATTTCTGTCGAGTATATTTCATTTATATATATTTGTGACCCCTGCGAGAGACAACGGCCACTGAACACTCGATCTATCTTTTTCGCCTTTAGCTCTCCATCGTCGTTTCTGTGACTCCTAAGCGTTTTCTCGTGATCATCGTCTGAAACTTGATAAGATGGCCAGAAAGTTCTTCGTCGGAGGCAACTGGAAATGCGTAAGTGATGATCTTCTCCGCTTAAATCTCTGTGTACCTTTTAGTTTGTCACTGATGATCGATCTGTTTGTTTCCTCACCGATCAAGTGAAGTAGTAATCCGGAAAGCGATCGGATAGTCCCGATCTTATGATAGTTTTGAAGGTGTTCATTGTTTGTTTCTGTTGAGCTTGAATTTCAGATCCGAGTTTTGATTTAATGTTTTTGATCTAATATCGATGCTTGAGATTTGTCGATTCGACGCCGAATCTCAGTTTTCTTCGATTTTGAGCACGGATTCTTCAATTGATCTCTTGTACGTGCGTTAATGGATCTGGGCGTGGATTATTTAGGCTGTGATTGATTTTTCTTCGCCTCTGAGATTTAGATCACACTCTAGCTATTGTGCTTATGATCTGTTCTGAATTTTGAATCTGTGTAGAACGGAACTGCCGAGGAGGTGAAGAAGATTGTGAACACTCTTAACGAAGCTCAAGTACCGTCACAGGACGTCGTAGGTAAGCGCAACATACCCTTTGCTTTGATGGGACTATGGATTTTTTTGTTTTCTGCATGTATATGAAATCTTAGGGATGTGAAATGTTGCCAGCAATATCGATCTTGAAAATGCTTGAACATGACTAGCTAATAGCTAACTACAATAGTCTATGGATTTGGGAATGAAAATATTTTTCTCTGCTGTTATATAGTAAAGTTGTGGGTATATCAAGCATTTGTTGTTAGTTGAGATTTCTGTTTTCATCTACATGTCTTCTTCACATCTGCTATGGTTTTATGTAATGCTAAAAGCAATAACTATCCCCTTTATTGGCCTAATGACTTGCTGGAAATCTTTCGAATGCAGAGGTTGTGGTTAGCCCTCCATATGTTTTCCTTCCACTGGTGAAGAGCACATTGAGATCTGACTTCCATGTTGCGGCACAAAACTGCTGGGTTAAGAAAGGAGGTGCTTTCACTGGTGAAGTGAGGTGAGATTCTCGCCACTGTTGCCTACTATGAGCTGTTTTTGCCTCAGGGCTCTATGCACTTATCATTCGATGGTGTTGTGTATAGCTTCATGCCCTTATGCTTTCTGTAATTTGTGTGTGCAGTGCGGAGATGCTTGTGAACTTGGACATCCCATGGGTTATCCTTGGTCACTCTGAAAGGAGGGCACTCCTCAACGAAACAAACGAGGTTGGTGACTTTTCACAATAGAAATAAATCTGGATTTCCAATTAGATTTGAGAGCCTTGAACTTGACTTTTGACCTGTATCCTACATATGTAGTTCGTCGGTGAAAAGGTTGCCTATGCACTTGCTCAAGGTTTGAAAGTGATTGCCTGTGTTGGTGAGACTCTTGAGCAGCGTGAGTCTGGATCAACCATGGATGTTGTTGCCGCCCAGACAAAAGCTATTGCTGGTATGTATACCTTTATCTCTTTTTTATGCCGCCCAGACCAAAAAAATCTTTTGTTGGCCTTTGATTCTTATGAAAAAGCTCCTTTTTGCTGTTAATTGCAGACAAGGTAACAAACTGGTCCAACGTTGTCGTAGCCTACGAACCAGTGTGGGCCATTGGAACCGGAAAGGTCGCTAGCCCAGCCCAAGCTCAAGAAGTAAGTTATGAGCATTTTAACATTGTTTCGTATTTTCATGGCTTAATAGGATACTAATACTCTTTCTCTTACGTTTATCAACAGGTTCATGATGAACTGAGGAAATGGCTTGCCAAGAACGTGAGTGCTGATGTCGCTGCTACTACCCGCATCATTTACGGAGGTAGAGAATAATACTAAATCGTGATTTTAATTAAATACCCCCCGAAAATGAACTATGTTACTTAAGCTTGATTATGCAAATTATCATCAGGATCCGTCAATGGTGGTAACTGCAAGGAGCTAGGTGGTCAAGCCGATGTTGATGGTTTCTTGGTCGGTGGTGCCTCCCTAAAGGTGCACACAATGTTTTGCCTTGTAATAATTATTATCTTGTTTTATGTTTCAGTAAAACCATGTCTTAATCAAAACTTTCTGCAGGCGGAGTTTATCGACATCATCAAGGCTGCAGAGGTGAAGAAAAGCGCCTAATGAGTTCACTAAGCAAGTCTCAAATCCTTTGCTCTTTCTGTCTCAACTCTGATAATTTGAATAAGTTGCTATTATGATACGTTTTGCTTCGGTTGTATTTGGCAAATGTCTCTCTTTTCTCTCTTACTGTGTTGTATTGAGAACGCAAGAATTATTTTCTTGGCCATTTATTTAGCTGTCAACTTGCAAATCTCTCCTTTTTAAAAAATCTTCCCAAGTTAAGTTGAGTTTGGTGTTCGTAACCTCGGGGTATTTGATTCTGTAACATTTATCTTCTATCGCTTAATATCTTTTACCGTCGACAAACAAAACGAAATTCGAGTCATTTGACCGGATCCATTATGTCACTGTTCCAATTATGGTGTCATCCACTTTGAAAAGAACAACACTCGTTGAATGGTGAAAATTACGGTGTTTGGCCGTATCAGCAGTCAAATGTCAATGAGTGGAAGAGAGGTCTTTTTTCAATTTGTCGCTTTTGCCTATTGGCTTATCAAATTTGACATTTTTGCTGTTACAATAATATAATTTTCAACTTTATTGTTGGTCATCATGAAGAACGTCTGGCATTATAATTATTTATAAACTACCATGGAGAAAGTAAAAGAGGAACAAAAAAGTTCACCGAAGAAACTCATAATTTGGAATGTCATGTTAGATTGTAGAAAGCAACACAAGATGACGGCAAGTCTAGTAATCAGTAAAATAACTAATTAAAAACTAAAAAGTAAAACGGCTCAGTGGAACTAAAGTGAGTGTAAAATAGACGGGTAAGTCCAAAAGAAGAGCTCCGTATGTCGGAATTTTTCAAAACCTTACTAAAATATTGAACTCAATGCAACAAAATGAAAATGGATTTTGACCCGACCATGAAGATTCAACTAACACAGCGATTCATAACACACAAACGTGATTACGTGTTATTTCCTAAGTCAACCCACGTTTAAAGAGATGCTCATAAATATTTTTAACTTTCTGCAGTGTTTCACTATTCGGAGGATAGTAATTGTTTATAGATGATATGGATTGAAAATTTTCGAGTATTATATTATTTAGTTGACGTTTGACTTAGACTTATTTGCTTAATAAGCACACAATTCTGACCTCACAGAGGAAGGTTTGACCAAGTCATTGATCATTCCGCGATAGAGTATTTTGGGTTCATCTAACCGAATTAAGGTTTTGTTGATTTTAAATTAAGACCTTTAAGGATTAGCATAGGACAAACACAATTTTGTATTGGTGCTACAAACCCTTCATTTCTTACCTACTTAAATAAAGCTTTAACTAGTTTGTTGGGTAAGTAGATATTTTCTTACAAGTATTACTTTCTTACCTACTTCTGTAAACTTTTGTCTAACTCTACAAGGTAAACTTGCTTTTGTAATGCATTTGTTTCTATCGGATCAATAATACTAAACCCGAATATGTCTCATTATTCCACGCCCAAAGCATATATATAAATCGAAAATTCGACATGACTATGTATGGCAAAGATTCCAAAATCTCATGACCATACAAGTCAGGTCTGTTTAGACTTTATCTTCTATGATTCTATCCACCCAACTTATCATTAGTGATCTTTTGTACGTCTAGATTTAGTCATTTACACGAAGCAAAAAATCAACCTATAAAAAGTAAAACCAAACAAGAGGAAAGTTCCACGGATAATTAATAATTTTAATATTTTTTTGAGATCGTTTCCATCAATTAAAACCTCAAATAAACATTTTTGTTTTGGTCAAAAACACTTTTATGTCAATTTTTGTCTTTGGACTTTACTCACCCAAAAGAAAAAGACCTCTCTCCTTCTTCTTCGGTTGCCTCTCGTATCTCATCAAGATTCAACTCCACATTCTCTCTCTTTCTCACATCTCTCTCTCTCTCTCTGTACTTTTTCTCTCTTTTATTGTTCAGCTTTAATGGCTCTTCACTCTCTGTAATTCCCCTTCCCATGTTTCTTAATATCTGACGGAATCTGTTCTACACAAGAAGCTATTTATTGCCAAAAAGGGCAAAAACGAAACGAGAGCTTCTTCCTTTTTTTGTTAAAAGGTCTCGAGAGCTTCTTCCTTCAATTCTTCGTTTGCTCCATTATCTTCTGATGGGTTCTTCTCTCAGTTCTCGTGTCGACAGTACGTTCTCTGCAACTACGAACTTTTTCCCCATTTTGTAAAATTTTCCGGGAAAAGTTAGGATTTTTCTTGTATAAGAATTCAAAATTCTCTCTTTTATCAGTTTATCAACGATGGATTTGTAGAAAAGGAATGAAAATTGAGAAATTCGTCCCGTGATCTGAGTTTCAAGAATAAAGTTTCCTCTTTTTGTTCTTTCTGTCTACTCAATTTTGACTTTGGTCAACGGCTTGTTGTGTGTCTTGCAGGTAAGAGCAGTGGTCTCTACGACCTCTCGAGCTGTAAATCATCATCATCGACTGCGGCGGCTCACAAGACAGAAGGAGAGATACTTAACTCGGCGAATCTCAAGAGTTTCACCTTCAACGAACTCAAACTCGCGACGAGAAACTTCAGATCGGACTCTGTTGTCGGAGAAGGCGGCTTCGGTTGTGTCTACAGAGGATGGATTGATGAGACCACTCTCACTCCAACCAAATCCAGCTCCGGTCTCGTAGTCGCCGTCAAGCGTCTTAACCCTGATGGTTTTCAAGGTCACAGAGAATGGCTGGTACACACTACACACACTGTCCTAATCTCTTAACTTCTTCTTGATTCATGACTCTGTTTCTCATCTCTGTTTTGATTGTAATTTTTCAGACAGAGATTAACTACTTGGGACAGTTAAGTCACCCGAATTTAGTTAGACTGATTGGTTACTGCATGGAAGATGAACAACGGCTTCTTGCATACGAGTTTATGCACAAGGGAAGCCTTGAGAATCATCTCTTCACAAGTGAGCTCATTTAATCAATGAAACTCTTAATTAAGAGATATGTAGTGTTGTTTGTTTGTTCTTATGTTTTGAAATGGTTTTGAAACAGATGATGTTCAGTGCAAGCCACTCTCTTGGGTCTTGAGGATTAAAGTTGCACTTGATGCAGCTAAAGGTCTCGCTTTTCTTCACAGCGACCCTGTTAAAGTCATATACCGTGACTTTAAAGCTTCAAACATCTTGCTTGATTCGGTATATGTTAAACCCTCAAGTCTCATTGTTTAAGCTTAATCAAAGACTTAAAAGATACTGATTTTGTTGTTTTTTTGTGTGTGGTTTTGAATCACTAGGACTTCAATGCAAAGCTTTCAGACTTTGGTTTAGCGAGAGACGGTCCAATGGGTGATACAAGCTATGTTAGTACAAGAGTCATGGGCACATATGGCTACGCCGCTCCTGAGTATGTCTCAACAGGTAACATTCTATCAAGTCTTAGATATAAACTGTTACTAGTGTCTTAAAAATGTGGATTTTAAATCTTGTTTATCTTTTATCAGGTCACTTGAATGCTAGAAGCGATGTATACAGCTTTGGTGTTGTGCTTTTAGAGTTACTAACCGGAAGGAGAGCATTGGACCATAACCGACCGGCTAAGGAGCAAAGCCTTGTGGAATGGGCTCGACCGTACTTGACAAGCAAGAGAAAGGTTCTGCTAATGTTGGACGCTCGGATTAACTTACAGTATAAACCGGAAGAGGCGGTGAGAATGGCGAGCATTGCTGTGCAGTGCATCTCATTCGAACCAAAGTCGCGCCCGACTATGGACCAAGTGGTTCGAGCCTTGGTACAGCTTCAAGACAGCTTGGTTAAACCGGCCAACGTTGACCATTCCGGTAAGGATACCAAGAAACTTGAGGGGCTGAAAACGGATGAAAAGTATCAGAGAAACGGTATAAAGGAAAAGGTGTTTTGTTGCTGTTTGTAATATGATGTGAATCGTTTGGTTTGTTTGTGGTAGGTAGAGAAAAATGATGTGGTTACTTACTTACTGGTTAGGTCTCATATGTTTCCACGTCTGTTGTAATATTGGTGTGAAAGTGATTTTGGCAACACTTTGGTGGTTATATAATTTTGCTCCTGAAATATTTAATTTGGTGACACAAAATGTAGTACTGATCAATTCCTCTCTCTTGTAACATTTTATTTTACTTTGTGTAACTACTTTCTGACATTGATTTTGGTTAGTGAATGTACTTTTTGACAGTGAACTCTGTGTGTACTCCAACATGATCAACTTCATCCAAACTTATGGCACCATAGTATGAGTGATATATAATTGTCATCCTCATGCTTCACTATCACTCTTGCCACTACCAACTCCACTCACAGATAAATCTATAATAAAAGCTAGTGAAATCATTTTACAACAAAGAGAGTCATGATGAAAAAGAAAAACACTAATTTCTGAAGTTTGTTAAGCTACAAAAATGAGCATAAACTTCTTGGACTAAAGAAAATGAGAGAGGTCAACGGAAAAACAGGAAAAATCACTAAAGCCCATTTTTAGATGGGCTCACGTAATTCAAGAAAGGCCCATTTAGTAGATGGGCTCAGCTAATCGAAGAAAGTCAGCTTCTCTGTCTCTCTTGTCTTTCTCAAGAGATCATCATCAGCTTGAGCTTAGGGCTCACTTGAGATCTGTCTTCATCAGATTTTGTTCTCTGCTACTCTCTCTCAAGTTATCCCCAACTGCAGGTAAATTCCAGAATCCTCCGATTTCAAAACTTAATTTCTTAATTGAACATGTTTGAGGATCTCGCGTTTTGAAAATCCGTTTCTTCTTTGTGGAGTTATCATTCTCAGGTTGTTCTGGCGATGAGGAGATACAGTCCGCCGTATTACAGTCCTCCGAGAAGAGGATACGGTGGTCGAGGAAGAAGTCCTCCTCCTCCTCCTCCTCGACGTGGATACGGCGGTGGTGGACGTAAGGGATCTAGCCATGGAAGTCTCTTGGTTCGGAACATTCCTCTCGATTGCAGGTATTCAATCGAAATCTCTCTGATTTTCAAAATCATCTTTATCAGACTCAATTTATTTTTTTGGTTTTTGTGCTGATTTCGTTGTTTTCCTTGTGTGGAATGTGTAGACCAGAAGAGCTTCGTGCGCCCTTTGAGAGGTTTGGACCTGTGAGGGATGTGTATATCCCCAGAGACTATTACTCAGGGTCAGTCTTTGTTCCTACTTTTCTCTCTCTGTCTTCATCTTTTTTGAGCTTGGATTTGATGTGTTAATCTTTATAGATTGATTAGTTACTTGATGATTAGCATATAATGATTTCTCCAGTCTCCACCTGTGATGTGTTAAATCGGTAGAATTTGGCTTAGTGATGTTACAATTAGAGCTGTTTTCTGTCTGTTTGTTTGTTTATATTGACATTGTTGTTCTAAAACAACTTTCAATGCTCAACAATTTGTTTTGATTATTAAGAAAAAAGGTGTTTGTATGATCGAGCTAAGTTCTTGAGGTGAGAAGACACCTTATGTTTGTTGAGTTTTGAGCCTTTTTTCTTCTTTGATTGGGAATGCTTTATTTGTTCCATGGTAAAATTAAAATGTTGGACTGATTTCCCCAGGGGGTATGTTGGCTTGAAGTTAAAACAAGACCAAGCCCCACATTTGATCGAGGCATATGCCTAAACTTATTGGTCCAAAAGGATATTTTGTTTGGAAGCAAGTATTAACTGAAGATTTCTATGGAAGCAAGTTCCTTTCCTTATGAAGCTATACAATAAATTTGCTAGAAGTTTGTTGGGGAAGCTCACTTGAAGAAAACTTTTTTAAGTTTGGGATCAGTTTTTACAAGATTTCTTTCGAGTCGCTCTGCTTGAAACTGTTAAGAAAAAGACTTGGGTTAAGTAGAGCTCTGCTTTTCGTAGAAGTTCTCAGAAGCTGAAGTTTATGGTATCTGAGGAAAGGTACATACAGTTTAGTGGTTGAGTATAGGCTTGTGCTGGTAATTCCTTGAGTTTTCCTTGGTGTTGTGTGCTTTTGCTATCAACCATTGACAACCTGAAATGATAAGCTAATAACGAACGATGCAGGCAACCGAGGGGGTTTGCTTTTGTGGAGTTTGTTGATGCATATGATGCTGGGGAGGCTCAGAGAAGCATGAACAGGAGAATCTTTGCTGGGAGAGAGATTACTGTGGTTGTTGCTTCAGAGTCTAGGAAAAGGCCTGAAGAGATGCGTGTCAAGACTAGGACTCGTAGTAGGTAAGTTATCAATCAAATCACTCTTCATCAGTAATGCTTGTAAGTTAACTATTAATACTTTGAGAAACCAACGATTTGTCTCAATTTTCAGGGAACCATCAGGCTCTAGAGGTCGTTCTCATGGTAAGTGATTTTGTTTTCTGAATATATGTTATTGCTATGTGCTTTAACAGCAATATTCTATTTATGTACATCGCTTGACTATGTCTTGTATGATTACTTGTTCTCAGGACGATCACGTTCACGTTCAATCTCTAGATCACGTTCTCCTCGTCGTCCATCAGACTCTAGAAGCAGATACCGATCAAGGTAAAACGTTTATCTTCACTCATATCTATTTCTCTAACATTGTCAAGTCAACAAGATGTATATATGGATTTACATAATATACATTAACAGGTCTTATTCACCTGCACCGAGACGAAGAGGAGCAGACTATTCAGCATCTCCAAGGAGAAGGCAAGAGGGACGTCCACGGTCACCACCAAGAGGACCTCCTCGAGGAGAAGAAGATCCAAAATACAGTGGCAGGTCCTATTCCCCTGGCTTTGAAGGTGATGCTGCTGCTGACCGGGACAGAAATGGAGACGATGAGATTAGAGAGTAAGTCAGACATTACTCTGTCTTACTTTCTTTTTGCCTCTCGGGATTGATTGATTGATTGTGGCTGATATTTCTGTGTTTGTGGACATTGATTGATTGGTGTTTTTTTTTTTCCTTCAGAAAACCGGGATATGAACCAGAGGAAAGGGGTCGTGGTGGAAGAGCAGTTTCAAGGTCCCCGTCAGGATCAAGGTCCAGATCTGTGGAGGTATCTCCAAGATGAACAAACTTGTGTTAAAAAAACCTCTATCTCTCAGACAAAAACTTTGTGCAACTCTCTATGGGTTTTTGTTTCGGTGTTCTCAAGAACTCCTCCTACCTCTGGCTTGTTAAAGATATTTGTCTTGGTGATGCGATGCTACTTGAAATTGTTCTCGGATTATGGTTTCTTTTTAATGATATTTGTATGAAAAAAGATTGGTTAAGCTTTTCATTTGAGAAACCTTCCGTCGTATGAATTCTCGAATTGATGAAGGAAGTCAAGATCGACAACGGAAGATTCTTTTTGAGAATTTCGGGGAAGAAGAGAGTACATAAAAGAAGCCCATCTAGAAGTCATCATAAATGACTTGACATTAGGATGTTTTTCTTGGGTCTATTTTGGACAAGAGTCCAAGACTTTGGTTTTTCTCGTACAATTGGTTGGTTTGTATAAAATTTCCAAGGAGCCAATCATTATCATTCGTCAAACCGGTACTTTCTAGGGGTAACATTGTCAGTTAGTTTGGTTGACCAGACCAAACAGCGGAAATGGTTTTGGTTTGTTCTAAGTTTTGGAATCTCGACGCGGGTTGCGTTTGAAATTGGAAAATAAAAAAGGAATAGTGGTAAATTATGTGAAGGAGAAGGTCTGCGTTTCTTCTCTTGCTTCCGTATTTAAAGACTTTCTCTGACACAACCACTTTCATTATTTTCTCGAGATTTCATCTTCTTGTTTTCATTAACTCACACAAACCCCCAAAAAAAAAATTTCAGAAAAATTCTCTACAAAGATTAAAGATGGCTGTGGGAATCCTCGAGGTTAATCTGATCAGTGGCAAAGGTCTCAAACGATCAGATTTTCTTGGTAATTATTAATTTACTACTTTCTTCTCTCAGATTTGTTACTTGTTACCCTCTGAATTGTGAAAACCTTTTCTTGTTCTTGTAATCTAACATTTATTTGATTTTAATTTAGCAGGAAAGGTAGATCCGTATGTTGAGATCCAATACAAAGGACAAACCCGCAAAAGCAGCGTTGATAAAGGTAATTAAAGGAACTTGCTAATTTCATTCTCTCCAAATCTCTCATTCAGTTTTATTCGCTTTTTTAGTTTGACTTCTTTTGTTTCATCATGCGGCAGACTAGTTCCTCATAATTTTATTTAGTTTTTATTTACTCACTAGGACTTCAGAAATATTTTAACTCAAAATTTCATAAAGAAAGGAATTATTAAATTAAGATATACTCTTGTGATGAAATATAAACGCCACTTGGAATTGAAATGTTTTAACGCCGACGTGCTCATGTACTAATGGTTGTAGTTTCTAAGAAAGTGATGGTAATAGTTAATTGAAAACATTTTTCCAATAAGTCAACAACCATGAGCTATCAAAGCTAAGTCTGAAGTACCTTTAGATATAAAACCAAGTCTTAACATAGGATTGCACTTGCATCCATTGGTATTTTAACTAATTTCACAACATTACATGCTTAGCTTGGGTAAGCACTATTTTTTTTGACAAGAACTTTGTTAAAGAGGGAAAGTAATGGTGATGAAACAATTTTTTAACGTTTTGAAATAGTATTCTGTTTTTTTTTTACCATACGTTACGATGAGTTGATTATAAAACATAACTTGAGAAATTGAATATGCTATATGTGGTGCACATGTCTTTAGGTTTTGTGGCTATTCGGCAAAAGTTGTTCATCTCAAATGTTTCCGCTCTTTAATTATTGTGCTATTAGTCATTACATCATTTGTGTATGAGACACTTTGAGGTAGCTTGTAAGTTTTGCTTTCTTGAATGGTTTAAAACCTTAATTAATACTATTGTATAAAGCTTTCTTCTGAAAGTAGTCATCACATTTAGTGTGACTTTGTCTGGCCAACCTCATTTTTAACTAATCAGTAACCATCAGTACACCAAACTTCGTAATTAACTAATCATAAATTACTAAAGATTTGATTGGAATTTGTGTTATTTAAATGGAAAAAGATGGAGGTAGGAATCCGACATGGAATACTAGGCTGAAATGGAGGGCAGAGTTTCCTGGCTCCGGCGCCGATTACAAGCTCATCGTCAAAGTCATGGACCATGATACTTTCTCCTCCGACGATTTTATCGGCGAAGCCACGTACGTACTACCATCACTAATAATTATGCATTTGTATGGTTGGAAAAGTTGAAATATTAAACTATACGTTAAAAATGAATATAACAGGGTACATGTTAAAGAGCTATTGGAAATGGGAGTGGAGAAAGGAACGGCGGAGCTAAGGCCGACCAAGTACAACGTTGTTGACTCCGATCTCTCTTTTGTCGGCGAGATATTCCTCGGAGTCTCCTACTCTCTTATTGTTCGTTTTCTTTCTCACTTCTCTGTTTTTCTTTTATCTGTCTAAAATTTTCTTTCCTCTCTTATTGAAACACTCTTTGTTTGGAATGTTTCAGCAAGATAGGGGAATGGATGCAGAAGAGTTTGGAGGATGGAAGCATAGCCAAAATGATTAGTTTCTCGCTTCTTCAAATTTGCTGACTCTGATTTCTTGTTTCACGTTTAGTGTCAACATCATTAAGCTATTCATATTTTAATACCAAAAATGTATCATTATTGGTTTGGAACAAATCTACAACTTAGTGAGAGTTTGAGTTACCCTAATGCATTGTATTAGTTCTCACTGTATAAAACTATTTATCATTAAATTATACAGAAGTGTAAGAAGAAAAATGTCATAAAAAAGCGTTTAGTAACATATTACATTCACATAGTGATTACATTCACATAGTGGTGACATAGTTCACTTAGACCCAGATTTATCAAAATCGTCTAACCACAAATCCAGGGCCTTCTTTGACCTTACCTCTTCCTGGTCACCGGAAACATCAATCTCTGAAATTTGAATTAAAGGATCAGCTGCATCATTGGTTGTCGTTTTTTCATCACCATCACTGCTTAAATCTGAACCATTAGATGATTCAGTATCATATTCAGAAGAGCCATCCTCATCCCCTGTTTCAGAACCATTCAAATCAGCTGTGGCCTCTCTTTGTCTACCAGATTCTGACAGCTGATCATCTTCTTCTTCTTCAAACACAAAACTACATGGCTTTGGAAGAGGTTCGTATCCAGGAGCCGCGTGAAGAACTATCTGTGACAGAGATCCAGGAAGATAAAAACGATTGTGAACGGATAAAGGCGAAGAAGACTTCAGTTTTCTTCCAAAGACATGTTCCACAACATGCGCAGCAATATTTTCTTGTGATGCAACAGTGTCTTCTTCTGGTGGCTCTAATTTGCATGACAGACGTTTTTTGAGGAAACGAGTTCGATCACGAACATCATAGCTTATGTCGCATTCTCCCAACTCAAGCACATAAACCACAATCCTTTTCAACATCTGAAAGTCGTCAGCCTCTGCACTTACTAGAACCTGTAATCATGAAAGGTAATTTGAAAATTACTCGATCAATACCTTCTGAGAATTGTAGTGAAGCACGAGCAGTAAAGATTGTCATACTATAATACCTTAGCACTAGTATTAAGAATCTGTAGCTTTGTCTCTGATGCTTCTGATTTAAAGCTCCATGCAAGGTACTTGGTTATTGTGGTCAGCATCCTCGGAATGATATGACCCAGAGAGCAGTACACACCCACCATCCAAATAATGGTTGCACGAGCAGCAGCTACCTTGATTGAATCCAGACTTCGAAACAGTTGAATTATCACCTACAAAATATCAAACAGTCAACAACATATCTGAGATCATTGCAACAGCTTCTGAGTATGTGTGTTTGGAAAGTGATATCATTCAGAAGGTTAATCAGTGTACATACTTTCTCATGAGTAATGGGATCTCGCTCTATGATAGTCTGAATTGACATCACGGCTTGCACCAACACCCCAGCTTCTTCATCCACCGACGCTAGATCACCAGCAAAAGATTCTGCAACATTGAAAGAGCTACTTCAACTTAACTGCCATATAGTTTTAGCTAATGAATACAATTGAAATGAAGCATAACTGACCCTGTTTAACTAGTGCCAACAATCCATCAAGACATGTAGTTGGAATTGTTGGCAGTCTTTTTGCGCACAAACCGATTGCTGCAACTGTATCAGCTGCAAATCTCCTGTCTGGATCTTTGATATAATCCTGGAAAAAAAGTACACGGTTAAAAAATTCAGTCATGCACACATCTTTTCTACTAAAAAACTACTAAATACGGACAAAGATGACGATGCTTATCTAACAAGATCAAGTAAACTTTCTCAAAATCGAGGAGATGATAAAGTTCTATAATCGAAAAAGGATTAAGTAGTACCTCAAATTCTCTCAAAATCGAAGAGATAGATGAAGTGGTAGCAATGAGAGAAAGCATCTCCAGCTTATGTGCTTTAACTTGATATGCATCTGACGAACAAATAAAGAAATCTTCAAAATGTGGAGCAAAGAGAGAAGGCACTGCTTTGGCAAAAACTAGGATGTTACAGAGGACCTGCCACATATATGAATAAACAACATTATACAGATGTGTGTAGACTGTAGAGTGCGGAGTGGAGGAATCAGATAAACATTGGTGGGAAAATAAAAGAATATTACCACATATTTAGAGGCAGTGGATGACCTAAGCAAAAACAGGATCGGTTTGACAATTTTTTTCACATCTTCCAGAGGAGCCATTATCCACTGAACGCCAGTTGCTGCGAGTACAACTGCACTGTTGTTACTCCATAACAATGGCGATGTACACTGAAGCAGAATCTTAACATCTTCGTTATGTGCAATAGATGTGGTCTTCTCGCTATCGAACGCAGATGACACTGTATCAGGGCAATTAGAACGTGACAGGTACTCATCTGGACCTTCAATGTAAGACTTAGATACAAGGCTGACAAGATCAGCATCAAACGAATCACTCTTATCACCATCTCCTTTAACCGATGCAAGACCATCTTTCTCATAGAAGCCATTATTGTTCAAACCATGTAGGGACAACATCAAAGATTCCCGTACAAGTCCATGCCTTGCAACAACGTAGCGCAAGAGAGTTCCAATGAGTAATATCTGTCCCCATTCCTCAACGTCAGGAAGAATCTGGCACAGCTTCTTATAGTTCTTTCTGATCAGCTTGAAGTTATTTGGACATATGGAGGTGAATGCTGCTGCCGCTGCTCCAACTACTCCTGGAGAGTGGTCATTCAACAGTATCCCAACTAGCTGCAACAAGGCCAATCGTGTTCTATCAATTAACGTTCGTTCAAACACTAGACGAAATGCATAAACAGAAACATGAGAAGATATCTAAATCCTACTAAAAAAGAGAAAGCCTTTGATTTAACAACATAAGAAGTAAAAGAGACTTGGAGAAGACAAACCTCTTCGATTGCAGGAGCATGTTCTTCAAGCCGCAAATCATGCAACTTTGGAAGAGCATTTGCAGCACATCTTCGCACATAAACCGCAGGATCCCTAGCACATTTACTCACTGCTGCTAGTGCAAGAGGTGCGATCACGTGTAGGCGAATCCCTGCCATCGTACGAAGTGCCCAAGCTCTAACCAATGGATTTGGATCCCCCAAGTCCTTCTGGAAGTAGTTGATCGATAGCAATGCTTCATTTGGACGCCTGCATAAGCGCAATGGAAGCTTTAAGTAAATGAAGATGCACAAACAAAAGTAGCCAGAAATGAATGAAGAATCAGAAAATTAGATGACTTTGTGTTTACATACTTTTCCGCATAGTGTAGCAAATACAAGTAGACCAGCTTCTTCACTTCCGGTGACTGTGACGCCACATTCTTCACCACCTGCCATTAAAATTCGTCCAGAATCTTATCAAAATCTGAGCTGCAAGATTCTTCTCTCTATATGATCCAACAATCTACAGGGATCAATTCTATAAGCAAATACCTGAGGGAAGAAATTGGGGACATCAAATCCCTGAGCGATAAGAGCAAGGAGACGCTTGAGAGCTTCACATTTCTCGGATTCGAACTTGCTATCGAGAAGTGGAGCAATACTGACGTCCTCCGGATCGTCATACAGATGCGCGTCGGTGCCGATCCGGAGAACCACAGCTGAAGCCTTGCTCAGAGTCTCCGCCGTCGAACCAAACTGATTGAACATTTTAAGTTTTCCGATCAAATCCACCTCCGAGGTTCAGGAAGAAAAAGAAAAAAGAAAAAAATCGAGCTACTAGAGAGAAGCCTTGTGTTTGGGTGATGGAATAGCCTTGTCCAGCAGAACCAGGATTGGAGTAAACCCGTATATTCAATGTTGACAATCTCAACATTAAACCGGTTCTTACTAAGCAAAATAGCAAATCCTAAACTGGTTTGACTATCCGAATTAAGCCCATGTTAAATTGCATACGTGCAAGTATATGTAGCGATAAAAAACTGTTTAAACTGTACAAAATTTGCATGACAGAAATTCATGAGGAAACAATTTCGATCACGAACACCATACTACAAAACAATCTTTTGCAACATCATAGAAACAATCATTTACAATGGTAATTATAAAAAAAATAATAGCTTTCTTATTGTGGTTTTTGACTATAGGGAACACATTTGAAAAATCTGCGTCTTGATCACTCAATTTTTTCTTCCTTCGTCTCTCTCAGATTTTTTTTTTCGTGGCTCTGTTTCTTATTTTTTGAATAGTTTTTTTGTGGGATGAGAACGATTCACATTTATATAAACATGGTTAAAATGAGATAACAATTATAACAATCAAATCAATCAATGGCAATCACGTAAAAGTCAGGTTTCTCAAGGTTTAAACTACAGATTATAAGCAATTTCCAACAAATTTTGATAATTGTATTAATTCAAATTCAATATTCAAATTCTGGAATTTGTTAGAAATTGTTAAAAAATAGAAGAAATTCTCCAAAATTTAAATTATGAGTTTAGAAATGGGGAAATTGCTAAAAGTCGGTTTGAGTACCGGAATTAAGCCCATCAAGAGTGGGCTAATAATATAACCCTAAGCCCATCTTAAATTTGTATATCTATTATGTGTTGTGCTTGCTCTCTAGCATTACGCTTAGTTCGCCGTCTTCTTCTTCTTTGTTTTGATTCCTTTTCTCTAATTTTCTTCTTCTGTGAATATGGACTGTTTTTTTTACTTCAATCCTCTTATTTTTTTAAAAAAAAATTGGGCGATGATTGTAAAAAGAGAGGATTGAGTGGGGAGTATGAACAAAACTCTTATGTGGATGGAGGAAGAAAACTCAAATCGAAATCGAAGGAGAAATCATATTAATAAATGTTTTTTTCCCTTTTTCGATTTTGGGCGCTCTTTCTTCATCCCTTTCCCTCGATGACGGTCCTTCCAATTTGTACACTTGATATGAGCCCTTTCATATAATTTTGTTTAATTGTTGTTGTGGGTTTTGAGTTTCTTATACGATATATATGAACCGAAGTGGAAATGTCAGATTAATTCAAACGATGACATGACAAATGGTAGATGTAACATTGTAATCCAAGAGATATGACCACAGATTAGCTAAACAGTTGGTAACTGAATGTCAGATCATGTTTCAAGATAACAACATATGTTTATCAACTCGTTGAAAGAAGTTTTAAATCCAATAGAAGATCAAGTTCTGTAGTATTTGAAACATGCTGACGTTATCTCCCAGTTCTTCTGGAGTGGTCACTAATTTGAGTCAATAAGAGTGAGCTAACCAAACACACGATTGGTCACACTAACAGAGAACGTAATTTAAGTTTTAAGTTTCAATCCACATTGATACAAACCTGATTCAACCATACTCATTTTAATCGTATGTCCTTCTCGAAGTAGACAAATTATCGAATTCTATGTTGGCTATTACATCATTTAGACAAGTTACATGATAATATCACCCAAGTGGATAATGAATGGTATTAATGGAAGGGTTCATGGAACTTCAGTTAGAAGAATCCTTGCGTTTTCTTCCGAGTATTGAAGCTCTCTGGAATCTAGGCCCACCTGTTCTCCACTTCTTGAAAGCTGCCATCGACAAGTGAGCTGCTTCATACACTTCAAAACATCACAGAGACAAAAAGATTGAGATGGTTATAACCAAATTTAAAAGAGTTGAAACAAACATTGAAGGCTTACGGTTTGTTTCTTCTTTTGTTAGAAATGACAAGTACTTGGAAGCTGTTATATGAGCCGCAGTGTATACTTTAGTAAGTGTCTCCTTGTATCTGATCTTAAAGGCAGTCGATAGCAAGATCCCAAGTGTTCTATCTGTAACCCTGTTTACATCAATAAAGAGTTTTAATTACCACAACAAAGATTTGACCAAGAGTACTACTTTAATCCACATAGTGTAAGCCAACTTGCTCGGTATATTCATGCTCAAATTCAAAAACGAAATCTTTGCTAAAAGAGCAAATTCACACCAGGAAAACTAAATTTTGTTGATCCAAAAGTATAAGTGGACAGAGAGAGTCGTAAAGGAACTCACAGTGGCTCTAACTTGCAACCGAATTCATAAAAGTATGGGCATCGAGATCTAAGATCAACACATGCTGCATCAGCCTGAACTTCTAGCCTTGTCCTGCATAAACCAAAACCAAATAAAGTCATGATAAGACTACGACAGGACAAAAGAAACGAATTGCTCAAAGGCTATCTGAGATGTTAAACAATTCATGGAGCCTGAACAACAACAACTACAGGTAAAAAAATGAAAGAAAGAAAATCAACTTGACAAGCTAAATTTTGCATTTTCGATGTACTCCATTCTTGAAAACACACAGCATCCCAGTTAAGCTACAGAAAGAGCTTGCTTACTTTTGGTTGAAACAGGCAGGAAGGTTTATGGAGACAGCTTGCCTCGAATGCAACTCTTGAGCAAGCCAGAAGGGAACTTCCACTTTAGAGCCTTGCTCAACCTGCAACAAACGCAAAGAATATAGTATGAGAAAAATCATATCACAAAGACATGTATGTAACATATATCAACGAGCGGTGAGAATACTGACACAGTTTGTTTCTGCACTTGGATCAATAGTCACTCCGTTTGCTGCTTTATGGAACACTACCGGGACATACTGCAAATGTGTAACAATAAAGATCAGATTTTTCTAAATTTGATATAAGAAGGAGAGCCTCAAGAAATTTGATTGGAGAAGAAAGATAACCAACCTCTTCCTCAATAAGTATGTCGTCAATGTCAAAGTACTTTGCCATAACTCTCCAAGTCTGATTCCACACTGCAATACACTGAAATTGGATTATCTGGAGCCAAAAGCAAACCTTAAGACCTAATCTCAAAACACTTCAAATAAAAGAGTTTAGAACAGTAGCAGTGAGGTCCAAATATCTAAACCCCTTCAAATGACGAGCAATAGATGGGCTTTTAATCAATTCAATTCAGTATCTGGAATTTAAACAGCAAAACCTAGTTCAAAATCGATGCCGATTCTTAGGGAATTAAGGGTTTTCTACATTCACAGCGACTGATTCCCACTAAGTTAATAAAAGTAAGGGAAACAATCAGGTCCTATCAATCGCTTCACTTTGAAATCGACACAGATCTTAGCAAACGAGAAGAATCTTACACAAGAGAAATGCGGGAAGCTCAATTTGATTGCGAGGGAAATCGAATAAGCTATTTGCCTTTTTGGAGGAAATGGAATTGACTGACAGAGAGAGCGAGAGAGAAACCTAATAACCGGATTTTAGTATCAAACCGGGTCAAATGTTTCACCGAGGTTCGTCCGGTTTTGCGGTTTAACTAAAATTCGGACTTTGACTCAACCCGAATTCGGCTAGGTGTCGACCGGGATTGTCCGGTTTTCAAAACATTTCATTAGAAGTTAGTGTACTATAATTAAGTGGTAAACTATAGTATAATGAAATTCGACATTACAAGCAAACTTATGTAATTTAAGAGCTGCGGGCTGTTTACAGTTTTTCCAACAGCCACTTCATATCAGTAACAGAAAATACAAAGTTATAAATATCTCGAGATTGATAATGGAGCTTGAAATTCATCTTTAGACCTTGAAATTCTTTCCGACAAAGGTCTGTCCAAACTGCCAGTTCGAAGGTACGACGTTCCAGGAAGTAGAGGTTCTACGGTCACTGGCGGTGACACGGAAAGAAAGTGACTGACCAACGAGAACAGCATTAGACTGCCAGTTCTGTCCCCAGTTCCTAGTCAAACTCATCCACCCGGTCTTTGACCCTTTCACGCTCGTCCTCACGATGTCTCCTGCTCCGGCTACGTTCGTGACCAGCACCAAGTTGAAGTAACGGTGGCCGTTGATCGTGAACCTTATCCCTCCACTCTTCCTACATGCCACCCTACGGTAAGAGATGGGGACAATGCCGGCGCGATACTCGGCGATCTTGAGGAAAACGGGCATGGCGAGGTCGAAGTGAGCGCGTGGCGGGTTGCACCAGCCGCCGTTGTCGCTAGGCTGAGCTAAGTTCGGAGGACAGAAGTTGGTCGCGGTTACGAAGACGGAAGGACTACCTGAGTGACACCATTTGGGATCATTGACGCATTTGATCTCGAAGCATGCGCCGCAGGTTAAGCCGCTGTTGAAAAGCGCCGTGCTCAGCGCCGCCGTGTTCGTGCCGTATCCTTGACTGTATAAATTTCCGTAACCGCATGCGCCACCTAAAAGAAAAAGAAAACAAAATTAGTTTAAAATAAATAAAAACAGAGTGCTCTGTTTTTAGAGGGTTTGTGTAATGACTGATGAAGTATCAAGTATGGTTCTTGGAATGTAAGTGTATGAAGAGAATGGACTGACCCATGGTTCCGGAAGCGTCGTCGCCACCGTAGAAAGTGGCGTGAGCGGTTTGCCAAGAGCCACCGGAGTAGACGCCAGGGATACCAGCGTTGGTGATGGTGAGGGTCAAGAGGAGAAAGAGAGGGAATATGGTTAAGAAAATGGATGGAGTAATTGCCATTTTCGTTGTTATATGTGTGTGATAGTATGTGATTCAAGTGGAGGAGCTAGAATGATAAGATTGTAGGCTAAAAGGCTTAGAGACTTTGATGATGGTGTAAATAACACTTGTGAAGATCACTATTTATATAGGTGGAGAGAAACTCCAAAGTTAAGGAAATGAGATATTATTGGCCGAATTTAGAAAGTACTTGTGAAGATTACAACGTATGGTGAAAGTTAGGTTATATAAACCCTTTGTAATCTTATTTTACTGAAGATGAGATCATATATGAGAGATGGTCTACTGTTAAAAAAAAGTTACACATTCATTCGATGTAAACTAACAAATAGTAATTAGTTTGTTCTGAAAGCAAATATGATTATCAATAAACAAATACTAGTAATTAGTTTGTCCTGAAAGCAACGATGATATTATTGATATGTCAAATGAATAGTAGAACAGCCCTTAATTTTCACAAGAAATGGATAGTAGAACGATGAAATGGTGAAACGGTATAACAAGCGCAAACTTTTATGTGTTCACTTCCATATTGTTTATTATATGTTGAAAGTTTTATGAGACACAAAAACTGATACAGTATATGTTACGAATCATGAAATATATCATGATGATGTTTCTACGTCTACATGATTGCATCTTCAACGTCAAAACGTTGTCAATTTATCATCGAATTTTAAAACCAAAAAACGAAATTTATCATCGAATTTTTTCTATCTGTAAAACTAAAACTAAAAAAAACTCACTTTATGGGGTGAACAAGAAATTTAAAAATAAACTCGACTTATACAAGTTGTTGGTTATGTAGACTTACCGGACGGTGTACGTACCTAAGTTATCAATGTTATTAATTTGAAAAGTGTGGGACTTATAAATATTTATTCAATTCAGGAAGTTACTTTTCATAATAAGAAAACAAAAACAAAACAAAACAAAAATAGTTGGGAAAATAGAGTGAGTGCATGAGACGAAAATAAAGAACAAAAGAGGAAAACAGTTAGGGGCGGTGAGGGTGGAAGAGCATTAAGGACATTTGGTGATGACAAGGCATATCTATGCACCAACCAGATCTTGTATATCATCCACGCCAGCAAAATTATACATACATACATGCACACGTGTTATGTTAATTTATCAAAGTTCATAGATTCTCGTGGATGTAGATTTTCCTTTTTGTGGTAGATATGATGATATTGTGATACTATTGTATTTCATAAGTCATGTTTAGTTCAGATAAAAATACAACAAAGATCCAAATCTTATTATATAAAGGAAAATAGTGTATACTCTAAAATGAAACTATTGCAATTCATTACGTGTATAATTTTCCAAAATGCACATGAACGCTTAATACCTAAGCCTAGTTGCTTTATCATGAGAAAAAACACATATCCACTTGCATGTGAATTTATTATCTACCTCTCCTCTCACGAAAACTTCCCGTCTTTTCGTTTATTTTCGTTCCAATACAAAAAATAAACATTCTTAATTAGTCTTTTTTTATATATCTTTGTTATGAACATACAAGTATACAAAGTATACAAAAAGATATACAAGTATTAAGTATACAAAGATGACAATTGTCAGTTTTAATTCCCAAAACACAAATCATACTATAACAAAGAAGATGGGTAACTTCAAATTCAACTATTTATATAAAAAAACTTAAATTCAACTAAATTCCGATCTATCGTATTTGTATATGTTTGGATCTAAAAATAATTTATCCATGATATCTTGAATTCTTGATCAAACAACTTGACAATGTTATGCACGTCCGTGTGTATTAAATGTTGTCACAGTGCGTGAGCATTAATGTGAAGACAAAAATCACGTCAAGCAAACAACAAATGTAAAGTACGAAATACGGATCTGACACACTGATCGAAAGGACAGTGTATGTACGGATCGTATATCATGATCTGGCAATGAAAACACGTTGCGATCATCAGATAGACGTTTGATGAATTATGAGCCAAGTCAGCCAACACCTGATATATATAACACGATATATCAACTTACCTCTCTGTTTAAGATCGATCTACCACACCAAGATGTCCTCCTTGGGCGTTACGTACACAATACGTCGTCGATTCAACTTTTACGAAATGATTTTTTCTTTCTTTCTAGAGGAACATTTCATTTACATTAAACATGATACATATATAGTATGCTATCGTTTTGACTTCGGGAACGTAAGTTAAAAACTAAGAATTTTCTGACTGTTTTGATACCAAATTATGCCTGTGACAATTGGAAATGAAAGAATATGCGTGTAAATAATTGATGAAATTACATCAGATAACACAAACAGGTTACATGCTCATTAATAACTCAGGCGTAAAATATAAGTACGTATAGTTATTGTTGCTAATTGCCTAATTGTCAACTACGAATGAAGCAACAAATGAAATCATACATAATGATTGACAAAGGACGCTTTGGTTTAAATAAAACATGATAATCTTAACTTTTTAACCTGTCCGTAAATCGATCGAAGGGTTAATCCTACTTAACCAGTAAATCCACAAGGAGTAGCAATCAAAAGTCCAAACTCGTCTACCATTTGGGTGATGCGATTTCATAACCATATGAAGCAGAAGCCTATAAATGGGCTTTTTTCATGAAATGATTGGGCTTTAAGAGATCGGTGAATTTGGTATATGATCCGAGTTGACACCGTGAGCCCATGATCCACAATACCGACCCGTCAAACTGGTAAAACGCATTACGTTTTAGACGCTAATTGATTTCCAAGCGCGAAACGCTTTAAACGTTTATAAGAAATCATTTTGAGAGAAATTAAAAACCTTAGCTAAAACCCTAAACCCTTGTTCAATTGATTGTTCGTCTTCTTCGTTCTGCGCCGCGTTTTCACTCACAACTCTCTCTCCTTCTCAGATTCCCCTTATTCTCCTCTCAGACCAATCTTCCTTAATCATCCTTTCGTGTGCTCTCGGCGGCTCTAAGCGGTAAAGTTTCTTCTATTGCTTAATCTTCCCGTCTCTGTCGATTTTTCAGAGTAGCTCTCGTTGTAATTGTTGTAATTGTCTAAGAATTTAGATTCGGAATCCGATTACGTCGACCTAATTATCGAATCGTAGTCTCTAATTGATCGAGCTGACCTAGAAATCCTGTGTATTCGCACAGTTTGCAGTCTCAGAACCGGACCTGTCAACTGGGTAAGCTTTGGGAAGAAAATTTGCCAAGAAAAATCTTCAGTCTGTTGAGAAGCGAAACAGGAAGCAGAAGCCCTTTCTCAAACGCAAATTCGCAAAGAGTAAGATTTTTTCGCTCTCTCGTCTTCGTATCTCCTTTTTAGGTTGCTTTGTGGTCATAGACACTGCTTACTTGTTTTTGTAGTGTTTATGTTAGTGGAGAGTAAATAGATTATACCTTGTATCTGATGATAGCTGATTGTTGAGAATCAATGTGATTGACTTCTGTGGTTCAGGAGATGCGCGTCACGTGGAAGATGAAGAGGAGAATGAGATAGAGCAGCCACAGAAGAAGAGGTAAACGTACAATCATGTCACTGAAACAGTTACTGTAAAAAAGTAATCTGTTTGAGTTTCTTGTTTTCAAATGTAATTTGCTTCAGTGCCTGCCATGATGTTATTTCGCCTATATGAATTTCAGATGTATTGAAGAAAAACCTCAGGAGATAGTCATAGATGCAGTGTTCGACAAGGATGAAAATGCAGCTCTCGACGGTGGTGATTCAGATAGTGATGGATATCTGTCTGAGGTATTCTTTTATCTTAGCGTTTGTTGAAGTTTCTCTGTGAATGGTACCAAGTATTCACAATGTTTTCTTGTGTTCAGGACTCTGACTTTACAAACGCAGTTGCAAATGGTACAGGAAGGTAGTGGCTATACTCTCTATGTTGTTTGGCTTCATGATTTCATTCAAATTTCTTCCTTTACTGTTTGACTCAAAGATATATTTGCAGGTAAAATCAGTGGTAATGAGATGTCTTCAGAGCAAAAAAACAGAGGAGGAAGCTTGCTAAATTGAATGAAAAGGTAGCAATTACTTGTACTAGAAATGTTGATACAACGATAGCTGTTGTTGTACTATGTCATGTTTTGTTAACATGCTCTTCTTGCTACCAATCATCCAATGCAGTTGGTAGATGAAGCTAAATCAGATGTATTGAAGCGTAAAGTACTATCAGGATCTGCTTTAAGCTCGCTCTGTGACCTAGTTGATGAAGAACAGTCTGTTCAAGCATTACTCAGTTTGTTGAATTGGTATCGAGCTGCATGTCATTATAAACCATCAGGAGTTGATAACCATGACATAGAAGACAGTGAGACATTTGCCAAGGTGGTGATTTTTGTGCTCCAAAAAGCTGATCACACTTTCAGGAATATTCTGGGAATATCAGAGTCCATTAACAAGGAGAAGGTTTTGAAGTTGAAGAACAACGCAAAATGGGATAGTGTAAAACCGCTGGTCAAATCTTTCTTGAGAAGTACCATTCATCTTGTTCAGCAGGCTGCAGATTTGGAGATAGTCGTCTTTGCGCTTACCCAACTTAGAGTTTCTGTAGTATTTCTTGCCGCATTTCCAGATTTGCTGATAAAATTGATCAAGGTACGCTCTATATATTCACTGATTTTCTTACAAGCAAATTTGCATATATTGGACTAGACTCGTAGCTGATAATTTTCTAATATTTTTGAATATTCTCGATGCAGTCATGTTTTAATTGTGTAAATTGATGCAGATTTCTATGGATCTGTGGGTAACCGGTGAAGAGACTATGTCGAAGCAGGCTTTTCTAGTCTTGAAAGACATCAGCATGGTTTTTAACTCAGAATGCTTCGACACCTGCTTAATCAACATGTACAAAGCCTTTCTACATTACTGCGATATTCCAAAGCACAGTTCATAAAAGTATTCCTCATTCCTCAGAGATTCTCTCGTTGAGCTATGCTCTCAAGATATGCAGAAGTCTTACACCAAGGCATCTGTTTCCATCACACAACTTGCCAAGTTATTGAAGATGGCTCTCACTACAAAGAATAAGGTGCTTCTTAGTATTTGCATGCTCTTTCTTCTACTTTAAAGTTTTCTTATATGTCTTACTTAGCCTCTTTCAATTTTTTTTGTCTAAGAAGGAAGCTCTCGAGAAGATACATAGCGAGCAGTACACAAACTGTGTTGATCTCTGGGTGAATTTTATCGCCGCCAACATTCAGGATTTTGATCTCCAGCCTCTGCGTTATACTATAGTTCAGGTTATAAATGGAGTCGCTACACTGTTTATTGGACCAAGGTACCTGCTCCTAAGGGTTAAAATGTATTCAATGGCTCAATCAACTCTCTCGTGCAAGCGGTGTATTCATGCCGATAGCATCATTGGTATTGGATATGTTGGAATACAAAACCACAAATGACGGTGAAAAGCAAAAGAAGTTCGAAGCTGTCTCAACCGTAAAGGTTCGAAATTCCACACCCTAAAAGGCTCTGGAGTTAGAAAGCTCTTACATTGTATATCATCAATGTGTAAGCCTGATGGTTTCTTTTTGCATGCAGCTGCCAAAAAATTGGTTAAAGTCTCAAAATTTTCAAGAACAGTGCATCTTCTCTGTGGTTGAACTTCTTGCTGTCCACTTTGCTCTAGTGGAGCTTCCACATATCATTTCCAGAGCTTGCTACTATTCCAGTCATGAGGCTGAGGAACTTCAACGAGAGAACTACTCTGGAAGGCTTGAAGCGGGTTGTGAAACGCTTCATCGAGCAGGTAATTCCTTAGGTTTAAAAGTAACCAAACCGGTTTAAGAAATATCACTTGAATGATTCTTGTTTTGAGAAATGTTGTTCTGTTTTGTTTAGGTGGAGTCGAATATTGAGTTTGTGCAAATGGAGAGAGAAGAAGCGGCTTTCTCTCCAAACGATCAACAATCGACAGAGACGTTTCTGCAACTTGAAAAGCGAAACAAGACTGCACCGTATACACAATACTATCAAAGCATCATAGATAAGGCTCTAGGAACTAAAGAGAAGAAGTGATTGTAATAAGTGTGGGAATAATAATTCATACTTTGTCGTTTACTTTTTTGATAATTTTGTCTCAGATTTTGTAAACCATTTGTTGTTGTCGTTTACTTTTTGACTTCCATGAATTATCTCTGAGATTATCTAAAACTATGGAATGGATTCAATTTAGTGAGATTAAATCAGTTTATGAAGTAATCAGTTTTTGTTTTCCATTTTTTAGTTCCCTTGACGAATACAAAATTAAAGCTTAAGAAGTAATATAACCAACTATTGATATCTTAACCACCAACTACTACTGTCGATCTCTTTTTCTTGACATCGACTATTGTCATTCTTACGTAGCGAAATATGCATATTTCTACTTTTGGTTAGACTAATGTGACACATTTTAAAAAATTCAAGTGTACGCAAATATGAAGAACAGCTGTTTTAAAAACAAAAAAGACAGGGTCTATTTTTGGTGTCACATCGATTACAATATGATTTAAGAACTTCTTAGCATTAGGTTATGCTTTTAGAATATTTTCTTTACGAGAAAGAATAATTTTGATGATGTAAGTATATCTGCTTCAGAGCCAGAGGAGGTATTAAAAAAACTTTGAGTCTGACGAGATTCTTCTGCAAATGCAAAGCACAATGGGTTTCCCATCTCTCGAGTCTCGACGAGATAAGATCGACGTCGCATTGAATTCTTTTATATTTATAATTCTTGCTGGTACATTTTGACGTTTCCATTAAAAATTTAAACAACAGTAGGAACCAGTTGGAGGAAGAATGATAGTCTTTATACATTAACTCATCAAAATTCTTATGAGTAAGAGGTGCATTAATCAGAAATTTACTCAAAATGTTCGGAGCTTCCTAAATAGAATATGGTGGATTCTGTCTACACGTGACATGTTTTGATGTATAATACATATTTTTTCTTACAATGTGGGATGATTAGTAACAACGAGTAAAGGCAAAACTGATTTCATACAACAATAATTAATGATGGTCGACCAGCTGATGAACTCGTAGGTCCTTCAGGCTTAAACGTTTTATAAAGAGGATCATATCGTAAAAAATGAAAATCATAACAACACACTAACGAAGCAAATATGAAAAAGAACTCTAGCAAATTGTGGGGTGAAAATAAAATGGATAGCAACTTGGGTACACATGATAGGTTCTTAGTATATGGGATCAATTATATTTTTACTCTTTATAAAAGTAAAAAATCCCCGAGAATTTAACATAGTTTAATTGTTACTTTCCTGCTATTTTATAAAGATGATGGTACGGTAATTGAAAGGGAAAAAACTATGATGGACGTAGTACTATTCCCTTAACAAAAGAAAATGGACATAAATGATATTTGTCATCTTATGATGTAACTTTGGTTTTGGGATGAAATTTAAAGCATTTGGCAGAAGGAGTTGGAGAGGAGAGGAAAAGAGGTATACGAGGAGACAGACGTAGAGGGTGAGAGTGCCCTAAAGGGTTTTCCAAATGAAGAAAGCTAATAAGAATAGACCATATATATTTAGAGTAATAATTAAAACTTTTTCCTGCCAACATAATAATTAAATTTAATCTATTTATAACTCTCACTTTCTCTTCTTTTTGTTTTTCTTGGTAAATTGTCAGCGAAATTTAAGGGCTACACAAACCTACGAAGTACCATCTTACATTCATTAATTTTGACAACCAATCGTTTTTTTTCTTCTCCCGCATGAGTTTAAAGCATTTAATGTGTGACCCACTTTCTATTCGTATTTGAGAGACGAGCTTATAGACCAATATCATATACGAACATATATAATCCTAATCCTTGTCGGCAACAAATGTTCAACATTCTTCTTTTTGGGCAAAGCCCTTTTCCTAAACGAAAATGATTAGGATTGTCGATTGTGTGTGTTATCCTAAACTTTGCTCTCATCAATTATATAGGCTCTCATTACATAAGATACATAAGAATATGCGGGGGCATTACATACCACACTCACATTGCAATCAAACTAAAATCACTTTTCAACAAATGCAACTGGTACATTTGATCGTCTCTCTCTGATTCAAACGTTTCACTACAATAAATTACTCTCTCCGTTTTTTAAAGATAAATTTTCTAGTTTTTTCACACACATTAAGAAAATGTTGATTTTCAATCATTAGTGCATAGATTTCTGCAATAAAACAACTTTTTATAATTTTAAACCAATAAAAATCCAACAAATATAATCATTGTATTTTGAAAACTGAAAAAGTGCATCAAAAAGGTAAAAATTTTATCTTTGTGAAATAACACATAATGGCTAGAAAATTCATTAAAAAAAAAGGGAGGGAGTATGAATCAAAATTCTAATTCTTCTTTTAACAAATTGTACATACCAATTATCTAACATGCTTCTTCACAACCTTTTTAAAATAGTTTGAGAGTTGAAACTATCGATATCTTAGGTTTAAGTTATAGAAAATAACACGAAAGTATTCTTGTACACATTACATAAAATGATGTGAAAAGATGGATGTGACAATAAAAAATTAAAAAGAAATGAAAAGGGCCCCGTACGAGGAGGAAGATTAGGCTCTTTGGCTCCACATGTCATGAATCCGTACCATTTGGCATATGCAGCCACGTCAATGTCCCATCTCCTCTGTCTTTGTGTTTCCTCCTTTTTATTTCTCTCTTTTTATTCTTCAACTTGGTACCTCCCATTTCATTATACGCACGCACTTACAATTTATAAAACCTAAACAAAAATATATATTAAGCTTTCATTTGGGGACAGCACTAGGGTTTTGTGCCACACCAATCCTCGTTTCTCCCCCTACATTTCTCTGACAGTGCAAAATTGTAGAATTGACTAGAAATATAATAAGGAAATTTTCAATTGTAATCGTTTTTATGTTTTCTTTGTTTGATTTGAGCCCTGCTTATATGTTCTTTTGCATACTGAAACTCTTAGACGAGTCCATATCATTCAATGGAGATTAATTAATTTTGTAGGCTCAACCAACATGCAGACAAGACATATACCTGGTCTTGTAATAGCTTCCTTGTATCACCATTAGGGAAATTGAACCCTGAAAATACGATCACACCAAGCGTTATATATCCCCACCACATTTGGAGAAGTTGTTTGAACTATTTCTCCAACTAACGATAAGTTGGTAAGCCTAGGGCGGTCCACACATATTCGTAAAATAGAAGTTGCCAATACTTATGACCATAATTTTTATAAATATATATGATCAGCATTTAATGATATTTTTTCAAGCACTAAATTCGGACTTCGAATTAAAACAATATACTACTTATTTATCACCGATTGAGCTAAATTTGATAGATAAATTACTAAATACTTAAAGCTGAAATTGATTGCATATGCGTTCCCTAGTCTTTTTAAACAAGTGGTTAACTTTTTGCAACACAATTCTCCCAAATCAGCAAGTTCCAAGAAATTGCATAGGGAGGATTACAAGTGACGAGACGCCGAAATAATAGGTCCTTGCAAGCTTTTAGAACAACAGTAAGCCTAATAGCAAGGTTCATTCGATCCAACGAAATCGGTTGGTTTTCAAAAGAAGTCAAATTAAAAACAAAGTTTTATTTGTTATGGGATCTCAATTACCACAAACAGAGCTATGGTCTTTTACTTTAAAGAACTCCTTGTATCGTCAGAGGAAAGTATCTATAGTTGTAGTCATAGCTATACTTCTATTTTCTGGTAAATATTAAAAAAAAAAAACTGAAAAGTAAAAGTATGTGAGGTCGTCATACAAAGTAAGTAGCAACTACGAGCTTGAGGTTTACAAGAGGGTGTTTACTGTTAGATGAGACATTAATTAGATGAAGAAGTTATAGTAGTAGAGGAACTAGCTGGACATAACTAGAAGAAGAGCTCAGGGATATTGAATTTTCTCTTTCTAAAACATGAATTATAAAAATATTTTGAAGTTATAATTTGCTCGAAGTCCGTTACAGGGGTTAACACAGGTAAACACACACATAATTGTTTTTTTTTGTTTTTGTTTTTCAAGTATCAATAACGCTTAAATTTCATGACTAATTGACTATTTTGTACTTTGACACCGAATGGATAGCCAAGAGACTGGTCTTTCTACATCGGATATAGGATACTGAACTCTAAAAATTCATTTTTTAAAATATACTGTAGATCATAAGTTCAATTTATTGGAGACTCCAGTATTGCGACACAAAACATCATGACGAACAATACGGTTATGTATGAATTATAATTATTTTTTGAATAATACCAATTTATATCTTTGGATGCTAGCTTAAGATAAGTTTCGGGTAAAGAACGCCGCTCCGTGACTTGAGACCAAATAGCAAAGATGATCATCTTTTTTTTTAAAAACGAAAAAGCACAATACATTAAAATGTGAAAATGTGAAAAATCCAAAAAGGTTTTCAAAATCGCAATAATTTACTTGAAGAAAAAAGGGAGGAGAGAGAGAGAGAGAGGAAACGTCTGAGGAAAACCCTAAACCCTAAATGGTGACGAAAGGGCAGAAGAAGGAGCTGTCAAATGTGTCAATTCCATCGATCCACAAAACCGAATGCTTGTGGACTACGCAACGCATATCTTCTCTCTTTCCTTGTTTTAACACTTCCTCCATTAATTTACCCTCTTCAATTCCTTTCCTTTTTTTATCCCTCAGATTTGCCTTTAAATTAATTGTGGGCTCAATGAGGGTTAATGAACTTTGGTATATTTGGTATCTCCGATTATGATGTGCAACTGTTTCCCTAATCTCTCTCCCTCTCTTTCTCTCTCTAAATCTCTGATATGTCAAGAAAATCTCGACCGTAGATCTCTTTTTCCCTTTCTTCTATTTAAACTCTTTCACCCTTTCCTACTTTCTTCACTCTAAATCTCCTCTCCTTCTTCAGATCTTGGTTTTCTCTTTAGTCCTTACTAACTTTGAGTTAACTTAAAACCAAAAAAAAAAAAAACTTAGAGTTTACTTACTAGGGTTAATGTGATGCTAAGTTAAGATTTTGAAGAAGGCAGTCATTGTTTGCTATTGCATCATCTTCAAGATTCAGAAATCAGATTCTTTGATGGGTTATCCTTTTGAGCCTGTCTTCTTTGGTTTGAGAATCTTGATGATGCTGCAGCGGCAATTAAATGGCTTATTTTTTTAGGTTTTTATTTTTCATATGATTTTAATCCTCAGAGTACTGTTATTTTAGCAGGTATCCAGATCAACATAACTTTAGATCTGTCAATATGATGATCTGTAATGAATCCTATTGCACAGGTATGCATATATTTAATGAAGCACACATTTTCTAGTATAGATTTGTGTGCTTATATGAACAGTTTTTTGGGATGAAACGATGAGGAATGGTAAACAAAAAGAAGATTATATACGAATATCTATATATGCGGTGCTTTGTTATTATAAACAACCCTTACTTAAATTCTTGTTATACTTTTTTGCTTCATAATGTATAGATTGTGAAAATCTTCTTAAAAGATTTTAGGGTTTCTTTCTACCAACAAAGTATGCAGTTATATCAAAGCTACTATTTTTTTTTGTCATTTTGTTGCTACGATATCTTAAGAATCAAAGATGATTCAACTTGGATATGTGATTTGCCTATAAAATAATGACTTAAAGGGGATGGTGGAATATGACATAATGTATGGAAGAAGCATATGTCTGTTGTTTTATGTTCGGTTACATTTGGTTATGTCCCTTTGTCTATTGGTTAATCGCAGGACTCATCTTCATGTGAAACCCAACCCTCCTTTTTTTTGTTTTTCGTGTCCTTAGTTCTTTTTATATGCAAGATCCTTACTTTCGGATCATTCTTCAGTAATATATAGTAGATGATGATTTGATGTATTGTATGGATATTGTACTCATATGCTTATTCACACCAGGCTTTCAATTCCAGAAACCCGATTTTTAAAAACCAAATCTTATTTAAAAATTAACCAAATCATTGGAAACATGCACAAAGAGACCATCGTGTTTAAGTAACCACTAAACAGTACAAAGAGACCATCGTGTTTTTATATAATGGATATATAGTTTCTTAGATCTATTCCACATGAAAATTTATCCACCAAACTTCTAGAAAATTAAGCAGAACATTATCATTTGGGAATGTATGGATTACGATCATAACAACTAACAACTGGAAGGAACTTATAGATGTTTATTTTATAAAAAAAGCTTATAAATGTTTAACTTGGTGGCAATCAACACTGGGAAACGAAGTTACGTTTGAAATGTAATGTTCTTGTAAGGTATATCTCCTCACATCACAAACGACGAAGGAATCTTGCTACTTAGGACATTAAAATTTAAATTACAACACAACAAACATAACCAATGTAACAAGTCTAGCATAAAGATCCAGTTTTCTTAATGAATTTCCTTGATATATATTTTATGGCTACAGTGTTCGTAAATTCGTCATATGAATAATATACACACTAGTAGTCAGCTTATTAGTTGCATTTCCTAAATTCCCTGCATTCAAGATAAATTTGATCTCATTTTCTAGGTATCTGTTTACCTCAAGATACTCCAAATTCTCAAGTGGAGAGAAGGAAGACGATTTTCCTTTTAAAGTCGCTAATATGAGTGTCTATCACAATTCACAAGACAAAAATGGATTAAAAAAGAATGAAATATATGTTGGTTCCACACAAGTTGGACAAACTAGTCAGGATAGAAGTACTAGTTGAGTAGTTGATAGTATACCATCCAAACCGCTACTAAAACAATATTTTAGTTCATGTGTTTTTCATGAGGAAAGCTATAACTTTAGAGGCAATCATTTGTCTCCAGTTTCTAATAGAATATGATATTTTTTCTAGTAAAATCATTGTCGTTTATCAGTCCACCAAACAACAAATACAAATATACTAAAAAGCTTTAACCAACAAGGAATGAATTTATTCATAGTTTTTATATTAACAATGTGAGAGAGAACTAGATCCTACATATTAGTCAGCTTTTTAAGCAGCTTAATTATTAAGTTGTTCATGTAAGAAGGCTTGTAAAAGAATTTGAAAATTTAATAGTAGTAGTAGTAGTACTAGTAGGTGATGACACTATTGACAGTAACAAATCTTTTTTGTAATTCTTCCAAATAAATCAACTTCCCAATCTTAGAGAGATTGTTAAAAATCGATTCCATTCAAAATTTCTGCGTAATCTCAAACGATGAAAATCTTTGTTTCATAAGAGAACCATCGTCAGATTCTTAAGCCGACTAAATTGTTTAGGCAAACGACCAATAAAAACATGAGATCCTTTTTTCAGATTCAGTTGTCGGATTACTGTTTCTAGTGATGATTGTGATCGTATGATCCATAATGGCTAGGAAAAAGTATATCACCAGGCTTATTTTGGACATCTAGCTTAAGATCCTAAATCGTATAGCGACGGCAAAACGAATAATAAGTTACAGTAGAGGTTGTTTAATTGGACGAAGAATTAAACGCTTTGCTAATGCATGTCCAATTGTGCAGTTAAGGCCTTATCTATATTCGGGCTTAATTATGGGCTTAAACTATATGGGTGCATAATTTTATGTATACCTGCTTTTTTTTCCATACTCATAAGAAACTTGACTCTTTTCAGATAATTTCGAACATTCTTCTTGATATGAAAATTGCATTATTCATTCGTAACATTTTCTTCTCATAACTTAGAACTCCAGAGCCAAAATTCATAACTTCCATAGTTTGCTCATCTTCTAGAACCCGTTTTTGGATCAGTATTTTCTAATATTAATCCAACATCGAGAACAAAGAGTCAATATTTTAAACTAACGGAATCATTTTTCGCAATAAGGACGAGAGAATTGAATATGACCCTCCACTCTTCACTACATTTCGTCTACCACTTTTCTACAAACAAAGGGAGAAAAAGGATTGCTTAGCTTGAAGATGAAGATATTTGTATGAGTTAATTGCATCCAATCATTGGTTGATATAGTGACCCATGTAAACTGGAGACTCATAATCAAATCACTTGCATTCATGATGATTAGTAAAATATATAGTAAGGTTTTCGGATTACTGTTACTAGTGATTGTGATCGTAATCACAATGATTAGAAGAAGATTTAGTGTTTGACTAAGATTAATTTTGTTACTTTGTTAGATATGTCTATCTTTTGTATTCAAGGCGACTGTTAAGCGATAACGACTTTTGTAAATTACAAGAGTTATTGCTACATTCAAGTTAGTTTTGCAAGGGTTGTTATGGTATTAAATTATTAATGGTTTATAACAGTTAGTTCTTATTAGGGATTATTATGGGTTTTGAGATTATTTTGTTTTGGAGTGAATATGACTGTTGTTGGTGGAATTATTTAATTGTACTGAGACAGCAATAAACAGTTACAGTTGCAGAGAAAAGGCCACTGAGTTAGATTTGCTTTGATGCATTCAAATCTCTCTTTCCGCTAAAGCTTTTCCTATTTTCTGACTTCTGTACTCGTTTTTCAATTTCAACTCTTTTTTTGAAAAAAAAAAAAAACTATTAGTGAGTTAGTGAGTTTTCAAATCAGCTGCTTCCAAGAACTCATTTTCTTTGAGAAAAAAACAAGAAGTTATATATAGGCAAAAAAAGAAAGAATTTACTACTAATTAGTATTTAAATGAAAACCCATAACTTTATACTTATATATGAGTAAATCGCCGTGTGTTCATTTCTATTAATTATGTTAAGACAAAAATAAGAATATTATGAATGCGGATGTGATGGATAAAAACTATTTTTTTGTTAATGGAAAGAAACACTAAAATACGATACCGTAAGTTAAATCTTGAGTTTTGCTTAGCTTTTTGCTCATTGAAAAGTGAAAACAACTTAATTCATTTATTTTTGACGATTTTTATTATTATTCATTATATACTCACAATAAAGTAACGATATTTATTAGTATAAATGCGGAAGTAGCCTAAACTTTACTCCCTAACTCTCAAGTCTCAACTCTTTCTTTAGCTCTGCTGAATATCAGATTCCCAAATCCATAAATCTCCAACAAGAATCAAGCAAGCTCATCACTTCCAAGTCAAGATCATAAGTCTCGGAATCTTCAGAATAAATGACACGATCGGGAAACTCGTCGCAGTTTCAGCTTAGCGAGAAATGGAAGCTATCGTCTAAAAAGGAAAGCTTCGGAGGCGACGGAGGCGTGTCGACGTCGAGGCAGAAACATGGGAAATACGGTTTCACGAGGAAGTGTGGGAGATTGGTGAGAGAACAGAGAGCTCGCTTTTACATCATGCGGAGATGCGTCATTATGCTTATTTGCTGGACTGATAATCATCATAATAATTGCTCTGACCACTCCTAAACCAAAAATCAAATCTAAAGCTTCTCGCTCTTTCATTCCTCTGATTTCTTGTCTATGATTTAATTTCTTTTCTAGAGATACAAATGTACATAAAGGATTCTACTTGCTGGTTTCTACTCTTTTAGTTGTAAGTTTGTGTTTTGCTTTTGGTCATCAGTTTCAGTGTATGCACTTAAACAATTACTATAGAGAATGTAAAGCAGTTTAGTAGTATAAGATTCGCTTTTTAGCTCTCTCTCATATCAATTTTATAGTTTATAGTTTTATACTATAATTGAATTGCTTAATCGGGATATGGACATATTTCAGTTTATGATCAAATCACGTGTTGTAAACTTATATAACTATGATGTGTTAGAAAACAAAATGACAAATAAAACTCAATTATGGATTAAATATAACCATGGTGGCATAGTCCAAGTATTAATTGTTTGAGTGGCAAGAGAAGACTTATTATGTGAGATCGAGGCTAGAGAACATGTAACACAATCTACATTGTTCGAGAATCAAGAAGACTTTATCATCATTCTTGATTCATTTTCACCATTATGGAGCTTTTAAAATGGCAATAATACTCAGATTAGTGTGGATAATTTGACCTAAAGCTTACCCCGGTTTTTAAAAAAGGCTAAACATGACTAAGATTCGGATTTTCCAATATCCTTGAAGAAGTCAAAGGACACTCTTGTATGGTTACTTAACAATGTTTCGAGAAAAAGAATTAAATGGCGTTAGTGGCTTGAACGTGCGAAATATAAAAGATTATCTAAGATGATAGAAAGCTTACATAAACGTGAAAATAGTTAATATATGCAATGGATTCTGCACTGTGACAGTTAGACGACAATACTTAATTAACATCTTACGTACTCCACGACTTCATGAAATAGCTGCCACTTAAATATACAACAAGAAGAAATATTACAAACAAAAACAAATATTCAGATTTATAAATCCACTACGTATTTGGTCCCGTAACTTCCATCTTTGTCATAATTACAATTATAGTTCATAATACCTCGAATAAATAAGAATATTTGTTCTTGTAGTGCTTAGGCCTAGGGAATTAAATATACAGAGCTAAGGCTACAAAGATGGAGCCTCTTTTGTTAACCAAAAAAAGAAAGAAAAAAGATGGAGTCTCTTTGATAAAGAAGTCACTACTGCTACTCATTTGAGCTACTGCTGAAGAAGTGATAATATTTTAGTTATAGGACAGGTTTCTATATAATTTTCATCAACTTATTTACTGACGTAGAACCAATTTCCTTTTGTCCACAAAGCTCTTTTTTTTTCTATATACTAATACTACTACAAGTGCAAGGGCTAATACCAAATCGGCATATTCGTGTGTGTTGGTTGGTTCTTCTCTCGATGTTGGATTACTTAAATTGTGTACATATAAGTAATGGCGGCAGATAATAATATAAAGAAACAAATGAAAACAGTTTGATTGCTGATCAATCAGCCATCCCTACAAATCCAAAAGGGATCTTTGTTAAATGATTATAAAATATTGATTGTTCATTAGCATGCTTGATTTGGATTTTTGCATCCTAGACAACATGCGGACAAATATTCCGTTTTGACTTTCACTGTTGTTTTCACTTTGCGGAATCTTTCGTACTTTAGTCTACACGTAATTATTGGGAATTTACAAACCTACACAATTATGTTTTTCGTTCTTTTCTGAAATAGTGGAAATAGGAGTGAGTTTTAAGCTTGACAAAAGAAGAGATGCTCTCTAGGAGAACCATAAGCCATAGGCATCGCACTTCCCCATCTGGCATTAGCCAATAATTATTGCAAAATGTATACATTAAAGAGTTGAAATTACTACCATACTCTCCATTCGAAAAAAATCTCCAAACTAGCTAGTAGAATTTACGTATTATCGGATTACAGAAAGAAAAAAACGCAAATAAACTGAAATTTAACTTCATATAAACATAAAAAGAAAAAATTTGTATGTACTGCTAGATGGGCCTAATGGGCCACCGAATATGAAATACGTGACGAGCTTTAGCGAAGAACACGTGACGTCTCTCAAGCAGCAACGAATTAAAAAAGAATCGACTCCAGAAAATCGCGAGACTCGCATTTTATACAGTCTATGGCCACCAATCTCATCGGCGATCTCTTTCCGGTTATATCTTCGCCACTTCTCAGTCGCTTCTTCCGTTTTCGTATCGGATCCGATACTATCACTCTTTCCTGGAATCGGGTAAGTTCGATAATCGTGTGCTTTACATCTTAGCTAACTTCTCCTTTCTTTTTGTTTTTAGATTTAGATGATAAGTTCAATTAAATCCATCTCCCGAAATCGATTCAGCTGTTGAATTTTGAACTGATTCATGTTCGTATCTATCTGCGGAATTATCCAATTTGTACACTTTCTACAGTTGGCTAATTTTGTTCTGCGAAGAAATGTTTCAGAGTTTCTACTAAGAAAAAATCACACTTTGGAGAATTTACCAACATACATAAACATGTGCATATACTATGATTAGCTGATTGTGCAAGCTGTTAATTTTGACTTGTTGGAGAGAATGACAAATTCAATCTGAAATGATTCTGTTTAGTTGATGTGATTGAGTAATTTACTAAGTATAAGTACACATTTATGTGAGATTTGTGAATACAGTAATGTAACTATCAAGTAAATTCTTTTTCTGGTGAAGTAGGTTTCTTTGAAGCTTTGAAGCTATGGGTGATGTGATTGATTTGAGTGGAGATGGCGGCGTCTTGAAACAGATTGTAAGGAGAGCCAAACCTGATGCTATTGCACCTTCTGATGATCTTCCTGTTGTCGACGGTATGTTAAAACTTAACTTTACATTCATCAGTTTCTTTTTCCTTTCATGTCATTAGCCTGAGGGGCAAAAAATGATATACATACGTTTGATGAGAAGACTAACCATATTTGATTATGATAGTTCACTATGAGGGAATATTGGCTGAAGACGGAAAGGTCTTTGACACATCACGCGAAGACAATCTTGTTTTCTCCTTTGAGTTGGGATCAGGAAGTGTTATCCGTTCTTGGGACATTGCACTTAAAACCATGAAGGTTCTTTGATTTTGACTCTTTCTTCTATTGTCTTCAATCTGTAATTTTCAGTTACATATAGCCAAGACAACTGATAATTGGCCATATCTATTTTTTGTTTTCAGGTTGGAGAAGTTGCAAAAATCACATGCAAGTCAGAATATGCTTACGGAAGAGCAGGATCTCCTCCTGACATCCCACCTGAGTATGTTTCTGTTCCTCGCTTGGTTTTGTTGCGTCTCATTCAAGATCAGAGAGATCTCTATTTTGAGTTTGTTGACACTTTTTTTGTTCTTGACGTGTTTGGTAATTGCAGTGCAACTTTGATTTTCGAAGTGGAGTTGGTTGCTTGTAGACCAAGGAAAGGTGCGAGTGTTGGAAGTGTTTCTGAGGAGAGAGCTAGGCTAGAGTAAGCGCTTACTTTAGTCTTAACTTTAGATATTCTTCTCTCCATAGGCATATATGTATACCCTTTTCTTCCTTATGGTTATGGTTGCAGAGATCTGAAGAAGCAGAGAGAGATCGCTGCGGCTTCTAAAGAAGACGATAAGAAAAAGAGAGAGGAAGCAAAAGCTGCCGCAGCTGCTAGGATTCAAGCTAAGCTAGACGCTAAGAAAGGTCAAGGCAAAGGAAAAGGCAAAGGCAAATCTAAATAAGTCACTAAAGGAAGAGACCACCAAAGTGTGTATCTTGTAGACACCATTTCATGATTTAGCTTGAATCAAATCAAAATGTTAAAACTCATGATAAATTATGTACCATTAAACCTTCTTTCGACGGCTATCTTTATTTCCTTTTTTTACGTCTATAGAGAAATCCAAGAATATTATAATTCCAGTGGAAGAGATGGCTCGCTCGGAGGACGTCTTCAGATGTGCGTTTGAGTTTGCCAACGGCAGTGATGGTAATCGGACCACGGTACCCTAATTTCTCCAACGCCAAATGTATACTCGGACCGACCAGACTAGGATCATAGCCAGCAGGAACCGGACAGCTGTCTATGTCCCACCACACCGACGTCTTAGAAGTCACGTAACTACCCTCCGCCGCCTTGTTCTCCATTAAAAGACAACAAGAATTCGACTTTGGTCTCGATTGTTTAGCAGTCGAAAGATTTACGGTTTCTTAGTTTGTAAAGTTTTAACTTAGTATATATATATCAGTTGAGATTAACAGAAGTATAAAGCCCATTAAGGCCACCAATCCTCTAAGGTGATTTCTGTTTATGTCTCAGTCGCTTTTGTTCTTCGGCGAAGGCAAATTAAATTAGTCACAAGGGAAGAGACCAGAGTGTAAACGCTTAGATACCATTTCATGATTTAGCTTAAATCTAACCATACCGTAAAGACTCATCATCAATTATCAACCATTACATAAATCTGTTTGGTTCTAGTTTTTCTGATTTTGGATTCCCACACACATTACTACTAGCATAACAAGTGTCCAAAACCCAAACTTTCAAACCAAACGTTAAAATACATACTTGCCATTGTATACTTCACTCATGATTGGGACCAAATCTCCCGTACTTAGTTCTATTTTTGAATTTCTTGTAGTGCAAGTTACAGAGAAGGAATTTCTAAAGATCCAAAAAGGAAACTTGTTCCTCTAATCAATTAATCTAATTGTTGCTTTTGTTCGCCCGTCTCTATTTCAACCCCTCCATTTCCGCCATTCGAACTTGCCCCCAATTCCAATTCTGTCCCTTGTTCATGTTGGCCTTGAGATGCTAATTGTTTCATGATCTGCAGTGTTTTAGCATCAAACAGAGTCAGTCAGTCTGCTTTCTATATTCCGAAGAGCAATTCTTCTTTCTGAGAAAGTCAGATTTCCATCTATTTGTTCAAAAACACATTAGTTAAAAAACTTGCCTTCTTTCGAAAGGAAGATCTCTCCTTGTCCATAAATATCTAGAAAAAAAAAGAATAAAAATCATCATTTCCAAAAGCAGTTGTTTTTAAGAAAACTTTGTAGAGAAATTCAAGAATTTTAAAACTTGCCTGGAGTCGTTTTGTAGTTTCACGATAAATTTGAGATGCTGATCGGCCACTCTCTTGCAACTTCTTTTTCAACTCCTCCCATTGTTTCTACAGAGTTTGTAGCATCAAACAGAGTTAGTCTGCTTTTTATATACATTCAGACAAATAAGATAAGATATCTCTCGATTTGTTTAAACTCACTAAATGAAAAAACAAAGAGATAATAAAACTTGCCTTCTGCTTCAACAAACGACGAGTCAGATTCACAAGTTCAGTAGTAACCTCCCTCTGACTAGTTAATTCCTACATTATTGGACAAGCACATGTTTCTAAGAAAAATTTCATTTTTTGTATCCGTCAGTAGAGAAATTCTAGAATATTAAATCTTGCCTCCAATTTTTGCTCCAGCGAGTCTTGAGAAAGAGTATCCAGATAGTCAGGATTCGCTCTACGTCCAAATTTCTGTTTGACAAATAGTAACATGGGGGTGGTCAAATAAAATATAGCCAAGGCAAAGATATATACAGCAACAAGATGACAAATGGATTATTAGATGATAAAAGGATACTTACCATGACTTCATGGTCTAAACCCTGGAGATGAGTTGTGAATGCTTCAACGCTTCGCCAAGCAGAGTAGCATAGTGTGCAATTAAAAGGCTTTAATGATTTACTGCGCTTTTCCTCCATGAGAATCTGTCTTTTTGCCTCCAGTTTACCATCTGAACACATTGCTTCTGTGGAAAAAATGTCAGAAACAAAAGCAAAGCTTTGCTGGTAAATACAGCACTGTGTGTGTGTGTTTGTGAGAGAGAGAGAGAGAGAGAGAGAGAGAGAGAGAGAGAGAGAGAGAGAGAGAGAGAGAGAGAGACACACACCTTTCAGTAAGCTTTCCCAGAGCCACTCTGCACAAGTGACCAGTTTTGGATCTTTTTCAGGCAGAGAAGATCCATATGCCAGAAGCATGTTGTATTCTTTCGGTACAGAGCGAAGTCGATGTGACAAGGATTTCAACACAGAGGGGCTGGATATGAACATAATTGTAGCCGGAGCTGGATTAGCAAGTTGCCAACTGAACAACTCCGCACAAGTGCTGCGGCAACCTGTTTCATTCAAGGAAAGCGACTCAACAGCATTTAAGGAAATTGATATACAGCCAGCTGAATCTAGAAACCCTAATCTAATTAAAACCCTAGCTTGTGATACAATCTTTTGAAAGAAAGAGATGACAAGATATACCTAATCCGCCGTATTTAACAGTAATTCCAGTGGGAGAGATGGCTCGCATGACGTCTTCAGAGGTGCGTTTTAGTTTGCCCACGGCAGTGATGGTGATGGGACCACGGTACCCTAATTTCTCCAACGCCAAGTGTATACTCGGACCGACCAGACTAGCATCGTATCCAGCCGGAACCGGACAGCTGTCTATGTCCCACCACACCGACGTCTGAGAAGTCACGTACCTCCCCGTCGCCGCCTTGTTCTCCATTATCTCGTTATTAAACCTAAAAAGCCTGAATGAATTCGACTTTGGTCTCGATTGTTTATCACTCGAAAGATTTACGGTTTCTTTTAAAGTTTTAACTTAGTATATATATATATATATATATATATACGGAAGCTCATTAGTTGAAAGTAACAGAAGTATAAACCGGCTTAGATAAGTTATAAGTCATAAGGGGAGAGACCATTTCATGATTTAGCTTAAATCTAACCACACCATTAAAACTCATCATCAATTATCAACCATTACATAATCTGTTTGGGTCTAGATCTTCTGATTTTCGATTCACACACACATTACTACTAGCATAACAAGTGTCCAAAACCCAAACTTTCAAACCATGTCGGAAGCGTCATCATCATCAATCTCATCTTGTTCTTGCCATCCTGAATGAGCTCTGAATTTACAAACAGGACATGTTCCTTGCTGTCTAAGCCACGGATCGATACAGCCTGCATGAAACTGAGCATACAGCCAAATACATGAGTCTTGATAAACAGTAAAAAGAAAAGCCTTGGAGAAGGATTCTTAGTAAATATGAACAAAAACCTGATGCAAGCAAGGTAAAGTCCGAACAATTTCCCCTACAGTAACTTGTTCTAGGCAAACACTACAAGTGAGCTCCTCTTCTGTTCCTTTCTTACTTCCATCCCCAGAATCTTGCTTCTTCTGCAGGAAAACACCATTGTAAACAATTTAATATTCTATTAGCCAATTATCAAGAAAACTCTTATGTGATGATGATTTCTGAATGTAATACCTCAGCTGAGGATGAGGTTGATGCCTGCTTTGCCAAAGAGCAACCACTGTAAAACAAAACCAACACAAGAATATATCAGATTCATTCACAGTAATTATATAAATATGATCCCTAAACAAAACTAAAGTTACTCACGTTTCAGGATCCAACACCTTATACTTATGTACTGGAAGTGCATTAATCTCTTCCTCACTCATAGAAGTTGTAGGAACATTATCGGAATCAAGCGCCCTTAGAGTTTCATAATCTGCAAAGGGAACAACTTTTTGCCTCAAGACTTCAACTAATAAAGAGCAGACTATTATATCAAATCCTAAGCTTTTTTTTAAGACTTAACCGACCTAAGTCATCAAATTCCCGATCAAGAAGAGCCAGCTGGAGCCTAAGTCCTTGAAGACGACCTCTCGTTGCAATAGCGATGGAAGGAGGCACATGCAGCCTCAGCTCAGTGTGATTGAAGAGGCCACTTGCTGCAGCGGCATGAGCTTGAGCCTGAGCTTGTAGTTGTTGGCAAGTCGCATACATCCTAAGCGTCGTTGCCATCAAAAACACCCCAAGCACAAGCCACAGCTACAAGAATTTGTGGAAACATTAAAACTCATACTATTAAAAAAAAAAAAAATCAGCTTTCTCAACGTACCAGGAAATTAGGAGGCATCTGATGCGAATTGAGAATCATGAACAGCAGAAGAACTGAAAATACACAAAACCAAAAACAAGAAATGCATCAGAGAAGGACAAAAAGGATTACAAGAGAGAAACAGAATTGGGAAGTCAGTCAAATTATACCAGTAACCAAGAAAGCGAGGGAATTCGAATTAACCGGTCGAGCTCCATGAACACGCTATCAAAAAATGACACTTTTGCAATAAGTAAAAATTCTTACAAACAAAAGAAACATTTTGAGGAGATTTATGATGAAGATTAAAGAGGAAGCATTTAGCATACCATAGCTCGTCTCTCGGCGGGTATGAATCCGGAGAATCCGCTTTCTAAATCTCCTCTACTTCCCCGGAAAACGAAACTCATCTTTCCCGAATTCACAACAAGAGCCTGCGACGATTATTATATTAGCCATGCAGAAATCAAGAGTTACCAAATTGTCACCGAATCTATTTGTTTTCCATCAATTCAATTCAAAAAACCCTGACTAGTTGAGAACTCGAGAAACCATGTCGATCACAGCAATAAGGAGATGCATTAACCCTACGACCTTTCACATAATCCAAAGAGGTTGAATTTGGAGTAAAACAAGAGGGGTTCTCGATCAATTAGACGGAACGAAAGATCGGAGGAGAAATTTCACCTCGGATGTTGGAGAATCTACGCGGATTTTACTCTCGCAGTGAAAGGCAACATCGGCTGGTGACGCCGGAGTGACGGAATCGCCGTCGGAGCCGAGTCGACTCGCTTTTTTTTTGTTGTCCCGACACTGACGATTTAGTTTTTGTCTTAATCCATCACTGTACTTTCAGGTCATTAAAAGTTGATGCACCTACCTTGAACGACGCCGTCTGAGTTGAAGAATAAGAATAAGAATAAAATATGTGATCACACAGGAACGTTTTGATTACGCTCACGAATTTTTCATTGTGAATGTTATCAACTTTAAAATATGTGATTACGTTTTGAAATGTGAAAAAATTGACAATGTGTATATGTTGTCTTTCGCTTTAAAATATGTGATTATGTATATGTTATCCATTGTCAATTTTTCATTGTCTTTCGTTGTTCTATAGCTACAAATACATTTGTCGATAAAGATGAATTTCTTTTTTTTTGTCTATAGCAATATAGATGTCAATAGCAAAAACATGTACTATACACTACGTACACACTCTGTTTTAAATATACACAACGTGATAAAAATACGTAATAAAAATCTCAAAGAAATGACCAAAGCATAGAACAATGTGAAATAACAAAAGAAAAAATCATTACTCAATTTCATAAAAAAAAAATCATTACTCAAATCATTTTTCATATCAAATTCAAACATATAGATAACCAAACACACAAAATTTGATTCATAAATGATCAAAAGAATACGCTGAAAATGAAAGATAAAACAAAATGTCATTGTATGAATCAAAGTCACAGAAATGTCATTGTTTATCATGGTGATCAGTCAATCATTTCTGTTTATTATGATTGACACAATCTGTCATTGACACAATCTGTCAGTCACTCAAGGGCTTAAGAGCATATCCAACGGTGTTACTGTACTAATCTCTTATAAATAAAAATAAATAAAAAATATGGAAAAAAAAGAAAGAGAGTGTAAAAAATGGTGAGACGTATCTGTTATAAGAGACGTTCGTGAGACTTAAAGTACACGTGTTATTGTTTGTATGAGTAACACCATTTAATATTTAATATTTAATTAAAAATTTAAATTAAAGCAATATACTAATGTTATGATACTCATACGTCCGTCTTAGTTCTGGACATGCTCTAAGCATCAGCTCAAAGTAGTTAACTGAAAATCATTATATAACAATGAAAATATTTTACATTTTAACACTCCAATTACATTTTTGTACTTCGAAACGTTATAAAGAAGAAGAAAAACACCCAAATCATAATGCATTATCTCCCATCGTTTTTGATTTTACCGGAGAATGAGAATATCGACGAAGCATTAGTCTCATTCGGTCCACTATAAAACCTAGCCGAATCCACAAAATCCTCAAACTCCGCCGCATTACCGCTTCCACCATCAACACACATACTATCATTCCCATCAAGAAAATCCGGAGCAGGAACAACTTCCGGCGACGGAAACTGCTTTTCAAGATACATAACCACTTGTCTCATCGTAGGTCGAACCTCAGGCGAATTGTTCGAACAAAGAAGCCCTAATTTGATCACCATAACAACTTCCTCTTCATCAAACTCACCATTCAATCTCCTATCCACAACACCTCTAATATCTCCGCTTTGCCACCTTGACCAAACCCAATCAACCATAACAAGCTCATCCGGTGACGCACTCGTTTCGATGGGCCTTCTTCCGCAAGCTACTTCCAACAAAACCGCCCCAAACGCGTAAACATCAGTGCTTGTGGTCAACTTTCCGGATTTAGTAAGTTCTGGTGCTAAGTACCCAAACGTACCAACCACTCTTGTAGCTCCCGGGTTCGATCCATGCTCATATAGCTTTGCAAGCCCGAAATCTCCAACACGACCGTTCATTTCGCCGTCTATCAAAACGTTTGCGGCTTTAATATCACGGTGGATAACAGTTTGTTCCCATCCTTCATGTAGGTAGAGTAAGCCGGAAGCAACCCCTTTAATGATTTTGAATCTTTGGTCCCAAGTCAAGATAACTTTAGGGTTTTCTTCGAACAAGTACATGTCTAAGCTTCCGTTAGGCATGTAATCATAGACGAGAAGCAAATCCTCTCGTCTTCGACACCAACCTAGCAACTGAACAAGATTCCTATGCCGGAGATGACCAATGCTCGAGACCTCAGACATGAATTCACGTACGCCTTGTCTCGACTCGTGAGAGATTCTCTTGACGGCTACAAACTCGTCTGAATCCGGAAGCTTTCCTTTGTATACTTTCCCGAATCCGCCAGATCCGAGAAGCTCCTTGTCCGCAAAACCATTCGTAGCTTTCTTCAGCTCTCTGTAAGAGAATCTATGCGGACCGAAATCAAGCTCCCAATCTTCAACTCTGTCTTCATCTTTCGCCTTTTTTATACAGAACATCACTGCACCAACGAGAAACGCGATGATCAAAAGGGAACACGAGAGAGAGACTCCGAGGATTAAACCGGAGCTCTTCTTCTTCTTCTTCTTGATCGAATGGGGAATCTTAGGTAGCGATAGCAAAGACAGAGATACTGCTTCTCCACTCATGTTAAAGTTCCAACCTAAAATGTAATGAGAACTAGCTAGCAAGCCAGTGGAAGCAGAGAATCCGACATACATCTCATCTCCCAAAACAGAGGAAAGATCTACATCGTAAGAGAGAAGAGACAACGTTGGTTTCTCCGAGAAGGGAGAGATCTTAACATCTAACCTTTTCTTGTTTGAGTCATAATCAATCCAAGCTTGAATCACTCTACCACCATCGAGGAAAAGCTCTTTCTTGGTTGAGTTAGGTAGAAAATAGCCAGCAGGAGTCGAAGCACTTGATTCCAAACCGTTGATATCGATTCCTACATGGTTATCATTGATGTCGTCAAAGTCCAAATCCCTGACAGTATCGAATTCCACGGCGAAGAAGTGGCTCGAGATGTTGACTCGGCTCGAGCTCAAAAGTCCCATGTACTGGCTAGGAAGAGAACCTGTGAGGTATGGAGATGGCGTGATGGCGAAGGCAAGTCCGTGGCCTCCTAGAGTGACGAACTCTGGAACCATGGCGATTGCGAAGGATGTGGAGAAAGACAGAGCTCGGTTTAGACCGGTTGGCTTGAACCGGATTGGGAGAGAGTAGAAGGCGTGACCGATCACGCGCTGTGTGTCTGTTGTGAGCCTTATGGCTCCATTGCCTGCGATCTCTGTGACTCCGTTCATGATTAGATTTGGAGAAGCTTTCTTGAAGCCAACGAAGGAGAAGTCTCGAGTTTGTGATGAAACTAATCGTATGAAGAAGAAGAAGAGTATCCAAATGAAGACAGAGATTCGAGCCATCAACAATGTTTAGATTCTGTAAGTTGTTTTCTTGGGAGAGAAGGAAGGAGAAATCTGATTGATGAGCTATTAAGGTCAAAGTTCTATCTTACATATGAACTATTGTGAAGAGGTAAGAAGATGATAAAGCTTATGAAAGCATGTGATGTTGGTGATACAGGAACATGTGATTATTTCTAGATAGATTACAGTATTAAATCTTCAATATCTAAAAAGCAAATCAATCTTGCTATACGATTTTACGAGGTTGATATATCGATGTTGCGAGTTCCTCGACCTATGATTATGAATTTCTTATGTACTGTAGATATAAACCATAAACTGTTAATTTTGGAATATGTGAGGATATGTACACTAACTAAATGTGGTAGGATTATAAAAAAGCTGCTAAGATGATTAGTCTTAATATATAACCGTTTTTTTTCTTTTCTTGTGGAGACAAGAGTATTATTAACGTTGGTAAGTCGTCATCGGCTCTGTTTATTTGAGGATATTGGGGGTCGATGTTTCATGATTTTTGAAACTCCTATTGTACGGTTCAAACGATACATTACTATATTTTTTTTTGAAAGTGGCCCCATAAAAGATGTATTCATCAATTTTCTATAATTAGTAGACTATTATTTTTGTAATTTTTATTTTATATTCTTAGGTTACTGTTTGATAGTTTATATAATAGGTCCAAAACCGAGAATATGAGAAACTCTATAAATTGATCTCTCTTCTTTCGGCAGTCTACAAAACTTTTCTGTAACAAGTCAAAGTAGGCATTAAGAGAAAGGAAAGCGGACAGAAGTAAACCACTAAAGATATTTTTATTAGAGAAACAAATGCAACAAAATCGAACTAACTATACGTCTACACGCACACAATTTTGTCAGGTTACTCGAAAGTGGACAGCATGGGACACTATTTCAGTAACGTGGTCTCGACAGCAGTGACGATGTCTTGGACAAAGGCACAATCCTATAACCAAGAAAATAACTTATAAACTAAATATAATAAAGTATTTTTGACACGAGTTTTCATGTCTAATGACCACTTGACATTAAAAATTATAGAAAAGCATGTCGATAGACGATAGGAATATTAGACAATATCTTTCAGAGACGTTGAAATATGAATATTTTCTTGGATACGAAACAAAAAGTCAATAAAATCAAATAACAACGCTAGCTATTGACAAAAAAAAAAAAAAAAAAAAAAAAAACTGATTAACGGCTTCAAAACAAGAATGGTTGTTGAAGAAAAAAAAAAGAGCTGTTAAAAGCTAATAAAGTAGGGTAAAATGACAGTTTTACTCTCATCTCAAAACCCATGAGTCCCTTCCCTCTCATTTTTCCCCTCTTGTTCTTCTTAATGACTCTTAAGATTTAACCTTTCACACCTTTATCTTTTCAATGTCCTTTATCTACCAGAAAAATTCCAATTTAGATGTTTTAATGGTTTGCACTTTGCACTTCGAAATAATTTTGGTAGGTATCTCTGGCGCTCTTTTTAGATGAGCGAGATTATTTTAAGTTTATGTTTTGACTTTTAAGTTGTTAAAATACAAAATCGCATACATTATGGTAATTTATTTCCTTGTATGCACGTGCAATCACAACACAAACAATCAGACAAAAATATTGGCAAAAAAAATCTCACAATTAATTTACCTATCCTTATGAAAATGAAAAAGAAAGTCTTCTTAAAAAAGTATCGATTTTGTCCGTAGCCGTTAAAATACACGCTAGCCATTGTATACTATACTTCATTCATGATGGGACCAAATCTTCCGCACCTCTATTTTTGATTTTCTTGCAGTGCAAGTGTTACATAAAAGGAACTGTAAAAACAAAGACTATTCAAAAGATCCAAAAAAAGGAAACATATCATATAATTTTAATAAAACCTTGGGGGACCAAAATCAACACTAGAGAAATCACCATTGCTGAAATTCCTCGGCTACCAAACAACTCTCTTTAGAGGAGAGTAAGCAACAAACACATGTAATTAAGAAGCATCTCCACAAGTATAATAATCACATGAAACCTCACCAACACTAACCGCAGCGAAGCAAGAAACTGATTTCTACGTTCTTATGTCGATACTCGATAGCACTAATTAAAGATTCAAAACGAAGCAAGTGCAGACTCTAAATCACAACATATTATCACATATCCAGACCTACTTGCAAACCAAATCCCTACACTGATAACTCTTAGTCGCATTTCAAGCTCAAAAGTAATAAAGCCATATACCTACACTAAACTAACTAGCCTCAACTAGTACAGTTTGAAGTGCAAAGACCTTGGAAATGAATCAAACAATGCTTCAGAGTTCAGACAATAAGAATGCCGTAAGTAACAATCTAAGGCTCGATAACAATAATCACTCTCACCAATATAATCATAGGAATTATGGCCGTAACTGCATTCAATGTAGAAAGAAAATGAACATCAAAACTCAAACAAGGCCATTCTACATATCAGTTTTTCACCTTCATAAAAGCTATCCGCGATCAAAATAATAGGTCAGAAAAAGACCAGTAATCCACCGCAACAAACCGAACAAACAAAACACTAGCTAAATGTCATCCGATTAAACCGCAAAAGAAACTTAAGAGAGCTTAATGAACAAAAGCCTAATTAACCATCCTAATACTTTCATGGAAAATGTAACAATTCCAGCAAAAAGAAAGCACCGTCCATCATCGCCTATCTAAACTATCAATACGGAGGAGGAGCACGAGGCGGTGGAGCACCCCAATACACGTCATGCTGAGCCATCTGATGACCGTTTGGCACAAAATTAGGAGGCATATTGTACAACGGAGGAGCTTGCATCGACCCTTCATTTCCATCGTTCCCACTCTCGTTGTTCTCATCATTCTCCTTCTCCTTCTTTGTTTCCTCTTGTTGCGGTTGCTGCTGCTGCTGCTGCTGCTCTTGTTGTTGCTCATCTTCAATCGGTAGCCTCTCATAAGTAGCATTGCAAAACGTTGCAGCGATTACAATAACCGGTCCAGATGCAATAAGCGGTCCAGCGACTCCACCTCCCACAACTTGACCCTGAGCTCCGGCTAAGTAAATAGTTAAACCGGCGGCTGCAGCCGGAGAGCCGGAAGTTGGAAGAAAAGCACCGCACATAGACAAGATCTCGAACTGGCCACGCAAGCTCACAACTCCTCCGGAGGCAGCAGGCTGACGCAGAGTGACGTTAGTGACCAAACCGCTACCGCTGAGAACAGAAACGCCTCTTCCGCGTCTACGAGCGAAGGCGTTTAGGCTTTCCGCCACGTCAGCACCCGTGGCAATCTCGAGAACGTGGCTTTGAAGAGAGTTTGGGCTTTCTTTGGTGACGACCACCGGACTCTTGGGTTTGTTCTTGGAACCAGGTGGTCTGCCTCTCGGACGACGACCCGTAGACCCGGATCCGGAAGCGGGTTCGACGGCGAGAAGCTCGTCGCGGCTGTTCTGTTCCTCTTGGCTCTGAGTCTGCGTATTATTAGGGCTTCCACTGTTGTTGGTGAAGTCATGGTCCAATCTCGGATCCGACCGGGTCATAGTCGGGTTATTGTTTCTGTGGTGCAAAGACGGAGCTGATGAAGTCACCGGACTCTCAACTCCTCCGATCGCAACATTCCCCACCCACCAAGGATTCGCCATTGATTTACTTTTTTTTTTTCCCTTTTCCAGTGAAAATAAAAAAAAAAAAAAAATTGTTGCGGCTCTCCGACAAGTAATTATTATTGCAAGAGAGGGTGAGAATCCGAAAAACCTTATCCTAAACTTTTAGATTGCAATTTTATGTAACCAAATCCAACCCAACATGTTGCATGAACCAGACAGAGAAGACATGGGACATCATTTGTTTTTTTATCATATACCTGAAGAAAAAAAAAAGGGACAAAGAAAAGAATCAGATCTAGAACAGCAAGAAATATGCAAAAAATATAATTCCTTAAAAGTTATAAGACCAAAGATCAAATAAGGAAAACCCAAAAAACTCTAAAAAATTCAACTTTCTTTTCCCAATCGAATACAAAATCTTGACTTTATGTGAAAAAAGTTAATTTAAAGGAGAAGAGAGAATGAAAAAAAAAAAGGAATTGGTGAAATTTTTCCGTACCCAAAGAGAGAGAGAGAGACCCAAGAATTTCTTTTTTTTTTTTGTTATAGGGGAAAGAAATTTGTACTTGAAAGTCGTATAAACTCTCTCTCTTACCGTCTCTTTCTGTTTCGTACTTTGAAAATCTTGGCGAGTGCGCAAGTTAAAAAGACTTATGGAAAAGAGGCGCACGATAAGGGGTTGTGGGATGATGATGAATGGTGTGATTTGATCTTTCGTGATTAAGCTCTCTGAAACGGTCCTCTCTCTCTTCTATCCCTCGACCAGAGCCGTCCTTTTGGACCATTGAACTTTTAGGTGTTCGTGCAAAAGTTTGAGCGAGCTTCTCTAGACACGCCTTGTCTCTTCTTCCCTCTCTCTCTCTCTCTCTCTCTCTATCTTACACTAGACACTACCCTGGATTCCTCGCTTTTGTGGACCCATTTCCCAAAATTACTTTCATATCCCTACACCTCAATTGTCAATTTTTAGATCCATATTTGGTAACAATTTTTCTTCTTCTTTTTTATTGTACTGGTGAGAAAACTCAACTTAGAAAACGAGAAGAAATATGTTGACTTGAGCTTTAATTTGAATTTGTATTTATAACTAACTTCAACCAAAATTAAGGTACAAAACAACTTAATACATACTATATATTAGTTCTTTTTATAAGCTTCATCGGTTACGTTTGGAGTTTTAATTGTAGACAAGTTATAAATATTTGTAGACAAAAAAAAATTGTATAGTTTCACGTTTTATCATTGTTTTTATATTTTTTTTAAAGTTGGAATGTATTGTAAGATTAGTAATGATTTGGTTCAAAGCAAAGTGTAGATGATAGAATGCAAATTGTAAAAGTGGATGTGTATCATTTGACTATCTGTAATGAATGCGAAAGGATAAACCGGTTACCAGAAAAAAAAAAGTAAATGCTAAAGGATTTAGAGACATTGAATTTGAGGAGGGATGACGACAAATTTGATCAATATTCATACCCCATTACGAAATATTTCATTTCCCGCTTGAGAAATTGGAATTTTATTTATTTTTGTATATTTTTGTTTGACCATCTACATACGACCATATCCAATTAATAATAATAAATTTGATCTGATGTCAAAAAGAAGATAATAATACTAAAATAATGAATCTGGTCTCACTTTTTTAATGAAGTGAACGAAAAGGAGGCCACCACCGGCCCCAATGGCCACTAGAAGGGAACGTTACATTTTATCATCAATTAATTTAATAGATCTACCTCTCTACATTTTGTTTTATTTATGTATTTTCTTTGTCACCGTTGTAAAGTAAACTATTGTAGATGAGACGACATGCATGGTAGAAGGTTTTAGATTAGAGGTTCTATCGTATCACAAGATGTATAATGGATTCAATATTCCCAATTTCATCACATTATAAACGAGATCAATTACTTTTAGTATAAACTTGGATATAATTTGTTGAGAGTCTTCTTGATTAATTCTGTTATTTTATTGTTGGTCAACATAAATTAATTTGGATATATTCGTATAACGTTTTTTCCAAACATTTTTTCAAGAAATCCAAACATATATAATCCTGGATCATTTAATATCAACCATCGAATACTGACAACCAGTAGTTGATACATGGGTGCAAATAAATGCGTTTTCTTTCAAATTGTTTGGAAATTATATTTTGTCACCACCAATTGTTCACACTTTAGACGTTTCATCTTCTTTTTATTATGTTTGACTTGTAACGGTGCTCTTTCAACTTCAGTCACATTGCTCACAGTCCTCTAACAATGTATGTGCCCGATTTGTTAGGAAATGGTTGCCATCAGTATGAAGTTATAGTCTCGAAGGAATGATTGGAAGTGAAGCAAGGCAGAATTAAAGTTAAAAACCATTGGTTATAGCACTATTGTCAAGCATTGGCATGTGAAGGTTGTCAAACATTCGTAAATAATGGATTTTCAATTCATTTTCATTGGTGGGATTGTGGTGGACTAGGGTAGCTTCTTGGGCCCTGAGTTTTGGTGTGGCCTCAAACCCAAAATGATGCCTCCCTCTACGTGAAAATTACAGAAAAAAACTTGAAAAGACGAGAGATAAATAATACCACTAAACTTATTTGACCATTGTTATAAGTTCTTGCATTACATTGGTATACGAAACTCCTGATTTACATGTTTCTCTATTGCATTGCATACACAACTTTGTTTACTGCCGGAAGGCCCATGACTAAACTTGGTAATTCTGAACCCTTATGCATGAGCGGTTTTTGTATCTTTCTTCAGTTTTGAGTTGATGACTTGTCTTGATAAAGCTTTGGATTATGAGTTGAAATCCAAAGAAACGCTCCAATAGCAAAGTCTCGCTTGTGAGCCAAGTCACCATAAGTAGACAAACCGTAATCTGCTAACACCCTGTCGAGTTTCCACTCTGGCATGCCTTGGTAATCTTCTTTGGAGTATCTCGGGTAATGAAGAGGCATACGAAACACACTTGCTTCACCGTTCTTGCGATTTCCGACATCCATATATACCTCCTTTTGTTTTTAATGATATGCTTCTGATGCATGTGTTACGTTTTTTATGTTCTTGTGAGGATTGTATTTATATGAAGATGTTGGAAAGTGAGTGTTTGCACACTTAACGTGTGAGTTTTGTCACACGAATTGGTTTGTTTACCTTCTTCACGCCTTTGCTAAACGCATGAACATGTGGATGGACACACCACTATTGGATTACTCGGTTGAGTCGGATCACTAGCACGTACGGATTAAGTTATGAATAAAAACAAAAGTTGGATTGTTATATTTTTGGGATAAAATTAAAGCGTCGACGACTCTGATTTTATACAACCACAAGAGCGACCGGACAAATCGAGAGGAGACTTTATCAAACCAAGCCAAAGAGATGTAGACGACAAAGAGTATTTAAGTTGGTCCTGCCTGTGTTAGAAGCACCATCTCCACACTGTTTCACTTTCTATCAATTGTCTGTAGGAGTCCATGATGATTTCAACTTCTTGTAGCGTTTCCTATTTAATTAAAAAATATAAGCCAAATAATAAAAGACATTGTTGTCTGCTAAATTGAAATCGTATGTTCAACTTTATTGTCCTGGTTGGGACATCTATCAGATTTTCGGCAAGATAAAGTAAAGTATGCGTTTTTTGGATATAATTCTTCATAACTAATCAGCATCTAGGCAAATTGAGAACTAGAAAAAAGAATATGTGTATTACTCTCTAAAATCTTAAACTTTTGTGGATTGTTTTTTTTTCCTTCTTGCGTAAACACTTGTACTTGGATTAATTATTATTGATTTCTTGCATATGTTATCGACTTGTTCGCAATTCTATCCGCGTTACTAAAAGAAAACATTATTATGAAAAAAGTAAGACAAAGCAAGCAGTGGTTGCTAGCTCAGGTTCTTGTAGGGTCTCAAACGGTGACTCACTTCATCTTGAGAACGATTCATCGTCTCAGAGCCTGCGACGTGTCATCATAATCATTGAACCAACCCCACTGGCTAATTTCGCCGACGTAGATATGGACCAAAAGCCAACACTTCTGCTTCCAGAAACTTCGTCTTCGTCACAAACTCTTGGCTTAGATTTCGTCAGAAAACTAGTGGCTCAGATTTCCCCATGTAAATGGTCATCCCACGTGATTATCCTACGTGGCTACTCCCATTTTCCAAATAATGATACGTTTCCGCGTTTTTTGGAAGATTTATAAACATACCCCAAACTTATTGCTACTTTCGTAACTCGCCCCAATTATTTTGTTCCACGTATAAACTCTCCTTGTTCATCATTCGTCAATATAACCAGGGTCGGGTCTAAAAACACTTTCTAAAGAGAAACCTATATTGAGAAATATGAAGAAAGAAAGAAAACGATAATACAAATTTGCATTTCTAGTAAGAAATTGATTTTGGTCCACACACTCAGAAAAAGATATTAACTTGGCTTACATATCTCCAAAGATATTCCAAAGAGATATATTACTTGGCTCACATATTTCCCAAGATATTTCAAATGTTTTTGATTTCAAAATGCGTCTCCATCAATACCCAACAACTTTGTGAGAAATTTCAAACTAAAATTCAAGATAGAAACTATTACTTCCCAAATCAACTTATATCGATGAACAAAAATAATCATACATTTGGCTCATTTTTTACTTATTGTTAAACTTGTTTTTTCAGCTATTTTTTACTTGGAGTATACATCAAGCTAAGCTAACTAAAGTTGAAACTAGTTTTTTTTAATAATGGATACCAGTCAAATGTGAAATCATTGAACCAAATATTGTTACACAAATTATCATCAACCTAACGGATGGAACATATTATTCGTTTATATGGGGTCTTTTTATAAAAGAGGTAAATGTTGGGACTAAATCGAATATTCTCAAAATATAGAGGTTCACTCGAAAAGCAGCCATTTTCTCTCTAACTAAAAAAAGCCCATCACCACCTTCCCATCTATATACATACATACATATATGGCATATCCCTTACACGTCAACTTCTCTGAAAACTGTATTTTTTTTCAATTCCTTGTTTTTTCCTTGTGCTTTCTTCGTCAAAGTTTTCAAAAACTGAAATGAATGGCGAGGGAAAATCGGAGACTGGAGCTAGCGCCGTCGCACCTGAGGAGGATGAAGAACTCGGCCAGAGAGCGGTGTACATGTGGGGTTACTTACCCGGAGCCTCGCCGCAACGCTCTCCTCTATTGTCTCCGGTCGTGGTGAAGATTCCTCCGGCAGTCGAAAGCTCCTGGAAAGACGTTTCCGGCGGTGGGTGCGGTTTCGCAATGGCTACTTCAGGTTCTCTCTCTCAACCTATAGAATTCATCAGTTTCGAAACGATTCCAATTAGTTCACATTCTCAAATTTCACAATGTATCTGATTGTAGAATGATTCAATCGAATTCGTGACGAAATGGTTTTGTATCTGATAACTTGACTTGTTTGGTGCTATGTAATCAGAATCGGGGAAGCTAATCACATGGGGCTCGACAGATGATCTAGGTCAAAGCTATGTGACTTCCGGGAAGCATGGGGTAAGCTTGAATAACCTTTTCTTCTGCATTGTGTGAATTTGATTTTGGTGAAATTGCACTTTATGAGTTTTAGTTGAATTTCTGCATTACAGGAAACTCCAGAGCCTTTTCCTCTTCCTCCGGAGGTCTCTGTGGAGAAAGCTGAGGCCGGCTGGGCTCACTGTGTGGCAGTAACAGGTGCATTGAATTAGCTTTGACCACATCTATTTCGAAAGTTCATTACTTGAATGGTTTTAGAACTATTTGTTTGCTTGGGGATACAGAGAATCACGAAGTTTATACATGGGGATGGAGGGAATGTATACCTACAGGGAGAGTGTTTGGACAAGTAGAAGGAGATTCATGTGAAAGAAACATTTCGTTCTCGACAGAGCAAGGTGAATCTCCTTTCTTTTTCATTGTGCAAGCTTTGAACTTGTGTTCACTTTTACATTGAGGATGAATGTGGAGAGTGGTGTGTCTCTTTTGTAGTGAGCCCTCGTTCTCAAGGGAAAAAAGCTAGCGGTGGAACGTCTTCTCAAAATGAAGCTAGAGGCGGAGGAGAAACAACAAAGAAAAGGCGGATTTCACAGGCAAAGCAAGCTGCTGAAAACTCATCACAGTCCGAGAACAATGACCTCTCGGCGTTGCCTTGCCTTGTATCGTTGGCTCCAGAAGTTAGGATTGTCAGTGTTGCTGCTGGTGGACGTCATACTCTAGCACTATCAGGTGAGATTTTTAGCTTCTCACACCAATCAGTGACGTCAATTCTTTTGGTGTGCTATAATAAACACTTGCTGCATGCTAATATTCTCTGAAGTCCAGATATTGGACAGGTGTGGGGTTGGGGTTATGGAGGAGAAGGACAGCTTGGATTGGGCTCCCGTATACGCCTAGTCTCCTCTCCTCATCCTATACCATGCATTGAGCCTTCTTCGTATGGAAAAGGAAGCTCCATGGCCGTTTCTGGTGTAAACGTGAGTTCAGAAGTACAATGCGGCCGAGTTCTTGGAAGTTATGTTAAAAAAATTGCATGTGGAGGGCGACACAGTGCTGTGATCACAGGTACTGTTCTCACCATATTGCTTTTGCAGCTAGTCATCTTTAGATAAGTGAGTAGAAATGTTTAAAAACAATGTGTTCCGACCTTATACAAAATCTTTACACCCTGTAACCCGGATTATGATTTGCTTGTTTTGAGAATTCTTGGAGTCCATAAAACCTTGAACATATGTTATCTGAGCCTAAAAATGCGAATAAAGTGTAACTGATGTTTTGTGGACAGATACTGGAGCGCTCCTTACGTTTGGTTGGGGGCTTTATGGACAGGTGACCAAAACAGTTTCTTTATTTTCTGTATTAAACCACATGCTTGAAACTTGATTTAGTTAAATCATCATTACGTTGAACTAGTAAGGAGCATAGATTCGAGTTTGAAATATCATTTGACTAAGAAACATCATGCAAGTCCGCAGATAAGATATAAGCTGCAAAAGATAATCAACAATCTATCTTGCTCGACTTCTGCAACAACTTTTTGCACTTTGGTCTGTTGCTATATGGGTCTGTGGAGGTAATTGAAAATCTTTTTTTTTTTTTTTATTGCTGTGTGAAGTGTGGGCAAGGGAGCACAGATGATGAACTAAGTGCAACATGTGTATCGTCGCTGTTGGGAATCCGGATAGAAGGAGTAGCTGCAGGTCTATGGCACACAGTCTGCGTTTCATCTGACGGTGATGTGTATTCCTTTGGTGGTAACCAATTCGGCCAGTTAGGTACTGGCTGTGATCAAGCTGAGGTAATAGAGAATCTTCAACTATTATTTTTTTTTGTTTCCTTATCTCTTTGTGAAGAAAGGCCTTCCATTAAGCCTGAAAGCCAATTTTTGTGATGTTTTAGACTCTTCCAAAACTATTGGAGGCTCCAAACTTGGAAAACGTTAACGTTAAAACTATCTCCTGCGGCGCTCGTCACACTGCTGTAATTGCAGGTAATCCATTTAACCAAAAGACTCTTTTGAGTTGGGAAAGAGATTCATCTTAAAAACTTAAAATTTGGTCTGTGTTTTTGTTTTATTGCAGATGAAGGGAAAGTATTCTGCTGGGGATGGAACAAATACGGCCAGGTAAAAATAGCAGAACCATATCGAGTTTTTTGGTTCCATTTCTATACATTTTTAACTAATGAAACACGGTTTTGTGTGTGTAACAGTTGGGTTTAGGAGATGTGATAGATCGGAATGCACCTTCAGAGGTGAGACTCAAAGATTGCGTCCCCAAAAACATCGCGTGTGGTTGGTGGCATACTCTGCTTCTAGGCCAATCTTCTCTCTGAATGTAGCTACGCAAACAAAAAAACACACCTCCAATTTTGTTAGGGTTTTAGAGCAGCAAAGTTCAGATTTCATTTCTACTCTTTATTATATACATAGACTTAGTAGTATTTTGTACATACAACGAGCAGCGATTTATACAATGTAAGGCTCAGTTTACTGCTCAGCTTTTGTTTCGTCAGATTAGCTTTAACTTAAAAACACAAAAGAGCAGAAGTGAAAGACAATTTGTCTGGTTTCAAGCGAGTGAAAGTGTTCCTTTGTTCTACTTATACATAAAGTTTTCATTTGTTTTGTTGACTCATCTCCATACATCAAGAAAATGATCCAACTGTAAAACTAATCAAGTCATAGTAGAACATTGGAAATCAATGTCGATAAGGTATTAAGATCTATGGGTTTTGCCGCAAATTTTTGGGATTTTTCCAATTTCTTAAAGTATTGAAGCAAAAAGCACGTGGCATAATATGATTCGTTAGGTGATTATATGTCGCACGGAAAAAAAAAACGGTGATCTTCTTCTTCTTCTTCGTAACGAATCAGGATTTAGGATTGGCGCCGGAAAGGTGTTTGACGAATTGCCTGAACCACTTTTGAATCCTTTCTTCCCCGATCTGAACAAGGTCTGATAGCTCATCATTTTTAGTAATTCTGTTTCCTGAAATTAGTATCGCTCAATTTGAAAGATAATTCGATTCGGATCCGAAACTGTGATTACTGCCGAATTGATTCGTCCTCTCTTTTCCTTCTCGTAGAATCCTCGAACTTGGTTTTTTGTTTGTTTCTCTAATTCGTTACGAGCCTGTTTCTATTGATTCGATCTGAATGTGCAAACTTGTATCTCAGATTATCATATGATGGGAATCAGCAAAACAGAAATCAATTTGCGGAGATTGCTTTCCGCTGCACCTAATCAGCAAAACCAGTCAAAGCTAATGCATGTACGTCTTTTTGGATCTTCCATTCTTGTCAAAATTGATTAATTTCTCGAAGCTAATGCTTAAATTTTGATGTTGATGTTTGAACACACAATATCTTCAGTATGTTGCTACTCTGAGGGAGCAATTAGAACAACTCTCGGAAGAGAAGACCCCTGAAGGTCTTCCCAGGTTTACTCTCTCTCTCAAAATGATTCAGCGTTGCAATTCAAATCTTTCACAGATTCGAGATTTTTGATCAAAAGATTCCTGCTATGGTACTTGAATGAGGAGGAGAGCTATAGCTCGTTACGGGATAGAGATTCAAATTGATTCGTTTGGTATCATTACTAGTTCCAAGTACATATTTGCTTGGCTAAAGACTGAACTTGTATGAAATATGCTCAATTTGGGTGTATACTCTACCAGAATATCCAAGCATCCGTTTATGTTTTTCTCATTATGATGATGATAATGCGCTTATCTTCTCCTTTGGTCTCTTTTCCAGAGTTACAAAGGCTACGGTGAATGAGTACTATGAGAAGATTGAAGCTGTTGCTTCCAAAATAGCTTCTCAAGTGGTAAGAATTTGGGAGTAACATATCATGAGACATTCTTAGCTTAGATATGTAGCCACATTAATATGATGCTTTCCTGTTTACTAAACTCTTGCCAAATTTACAGCCTGACACAGAGGTATCTGATGAAGCTTTTGCTAAAGATTCTTCTACCAGCGAAAGCTCTCCAAGAATAGAAGACGATCCACGTAGCCCTACTTCTCCACAGCTGAGAAGAAGAATAGTGTAAGTGTGATACTCAATTCGCATGCTTCTCAACCTGTAATTTTGCCTTCTTCTTTCTTACCAGCTTCCTTGATTGAGGTATATAGGTCAACAAGCTCCAAGGAGCAAAGTTATGCTGCTGCTGTTGATGCTGATCCATCAAAACCAGTAAAGCTAGACGCTGCAGCGCAAACCCTCATTGAGAAGAACAGGTAAAGTTTCATAGCCCATGGCTACGTGTGAAGCTGTGTATCCTCTTAAACTTTAGTCGAACATTTCGGTTTCATGCCACATTGGTCAAATCTTTTGATGACAGACACCTTCAAGATGACCTTACCGATGAAATGGTGACACTTGCGAGACAACTCAAGGAGAGAAGTCTATTGATAAACCAATCTGTGCAAAACACAGACAAGGTTAGATGCTAACTTTTTTTTCCTCACAATGAGAATAAGAGAAAAAGTCTATTACTTCATTGTTCTTAACAGTTTTTTTGTTTTTTTCTGTTTGGTATTTGATCAACAAAAGCTACTCGACTCTACGGAGGAGGCCATAGAGCAGAGCTTAGCGGGGACGGGACACGCAAACGTTAGGGCCTCAAAGATATACTCACAAAGTTCAAAGACGAGTTGTTTCCAGTGGCTCTTGATCTTGGTCATGACCTTTATCTTCATTATGGTTGTCCTCTTGATCCGAGTCACATAGAAGAACAATATGGTTAGGAGTGTAAACCAAATTTCAGTCTCTTTATTACTCAGTTGTTAAAGTTTTTGTGACTTTGTAAATTTCTGGTTGGAGAATCATGTGGAGCGACTTTGTTAAAGATATGCTTGAAAATGTTCAGCTCAATTCTGAAGAGAGAGAGAGATTATTTTGGTTCAAGTATTCGTTTTGTATCAAGAAATGAAATTTGAACTTCCGGTTAAAAGTCCGGTACGAATTTTGTATTTGTGAAAATAACTTTTTAAAATAAAAAGAAAACATTTATTTAAAACCCTAAGGAAAATCCCAAAGCCTAAAGGCAAAAACTGCAAAACCCTGAGACTGAGAGAAAAAACCATTTCGTGCAATCGCCATGGTTTTCGCTTGGTGCATTCGCAGGTCAGCTTCGAGTTTGGCTTCCGCGTGTGGTCGTGTAGCTAGAGCTCAGGGCGTCGTCTCCTTCGTCGCTAACCGCTCGTCTCTTGCTCCGAAGCCATCTTCTTCTCTGCTTCGTCCTTTCGTCTCTCGTGTCTCTCTCTATTCGACGGCCACTAACCGGTTAAAGTCCGATCAGACGCTTCTCCAAGTAATTGACTCCGAGATCAACGACGCTTTCGAATCCGATTTGGTAATCCCTCGTTTTAGCTCACTTAATTTCAGTGGAAACATATTGTGGAGTCCTGTTTGATTTCTGATTGAGAATTGCAAAAATACGCAAATGTTGAAAATTCAGATGTTTCTGGAATAGTTTCGATCCATAAAGCTTAATTGGATACATTTCTTTCATAAATTTTGGAAATTTGATCACGCCTTAATATTCACGTGCATTGGATTAGGATTGTAGGCAAATCAAAGCATAGGTGCTTACATAAATCGCATGAACTTGCTTTCGTTGTTGCAGGTTGAAGAGACAAGAGCATCTGATGACTTTCCATTCAGAATCGAAGATAATCCAGGACACAGGGCTGTGACGTTGACTAGAGAATACAATGGAGAGCAGATTAAAGTAGAAGTAAGCATGCCTGGTCTTGACACTGTTGACACTGAAGATGATGAGAATGAAGGTGGTGACGTGAAACAGAGTGAAACAAGCATTCCTCTACTTGTCACAGTAACCAAGAAGAGTGGACTCAGCTTAGAGTTTAGCTGCACTGCTTTCAGTGATGAGATTGTTATTGACGGTTTGTCTGTTAACAATCCGGATGATTATTCTTCCGAAGGACAATTGGCGTATGATGGTCCAGATTTTCAGTAAGTGAAACTCATTTATCTTCCAAATGGTTTTTTTTTTTAACAATGATGACCCCAAAAGACCTCAAAATGTTCTTTCTTTTTGTTTTTGACTTTGCAGAGAGTTGGATGAGAATATGCGCAAGTCGTTTTATAAGTTTCTGGAGACCAGAGGAGTCAAAGCAAGCGTGACAGATTACATGTATGAGTACATGACGAAGAAAGATAGCAGAGAGTACTTGCGATGGTTGAAGAATCTCAAGAACTTCATCCAAGAATGAAGACTCATTGTTCACTAAGAAGAGAGCTTTTATCGTTGCAGTTTTTATTGTAATCACTTCTAAATTCACTTTGGGTTTTGAATGTTAAAGAAATTCGGATTTGAAACTTCTTTTGCATGGAGAATGATGAAAACAGAAATGGTAAATTAATTGTTGTGCGATTTATATGAAGTTTATGACATGGAGAGAAAACACTTTACTTTTCACAGATCACCAAAGTAGAGTGATGATCTTTCTTATGTTGGTGCAATCCTCAAGGAAAACAAATAGTAAAAATTACTACTATAAATCCTAATTAAACAGAAAAAGAAACTTCAATCATAATAATAAAAATTATAATATGACATTAGCAGAGTGAGTGAGAGAGAGAGAAGGATTTAATTCCCATTCTCCACTGCTTCTGTCCTTTTTAAGACAGGAAGGTCCTTATGGGTGTAAACGACTCCATTGTCTCCATCTACGACTTGTCCTTTTCCTCTCATTATCCTGTGTCATTCATTCATCACCACAATCATTCAGACTTCACCGATTTTATAACAAACCAATGAACACAGAGAAGACAAAAGAAACACGATTTTAGTACCATCTTGTTGTCAATAGTCCTTCAACTCCAACTGGACCACGGGCATGGATCCTGCTTGTGCTTATTCCCACCTATACAATAAGAACAAACCTCTTTAGTCAATAATCCATTCACTCTTCTCTAAAGATTTGATTATAAATATGTGATATTATGTCTCTCTCTTCCTTACCTCAGCACCAAGACCGAATCGAAAACCATCAGAGAATCTTGTGCTTGCATTGTGGAAAACAGCAGCACTGTTGAGACAAAGCAAAATTAGTTTCCACTATATTTAACATCAAACATTCTATGGACTGAGAATCAAAAGTACTTATGCTTTTAGTACACGAGTTATTACCTGTCTACTTGGCGGAGAAATATCTCTGCGACTTCATTATCTTCTGTCACTATGCAATCAGTGTGTGAACTGCTCTCACAAGACAGACAACAGAAAAAAAGAGACCACACTTATTCTCAGCACATGCAAAGTATACAGAGCGGTAGGCCCTTTGAATACTCATGTTATCTTATTAGTTTGGAATCAGCGATAATTTTACCTTCCGTGTTGGTGAATATGATCAATAGCACCATGTACGTCTTCTACAAATTCAACGGTGCAGGCCTTGGAGCTGTACTCGTGATGAAATGATTTTGTTTCCGGAATGTTCAGTTTAGTACTTGCTCTTGGACCACCATACAAAGTGACGCCTGCATATTATGACACGTACGCTTCAAACAAAAGTCTCTAATGAAAGTAGTCAACAAACTAAATCTTATCTCATTTTTAGTATTTACGTTTTGAAAGACTTTAGTTCATGATTAAAGACAAAAAAGAACCAGTTGTATGGATATGAAACATCCAGATTGAAACAAATGATTTTGATAGATTCAATAAAACACACCCGTTTAGTGTTCCCAAACTACTATTCTTACCATTAGATTGCAGCGCATATATAAGCTCATTGAGCACACCATTCTGCTCAAGATCCTTATGTACAAGAAGGGTTTCCTGTAAGGACAAGACAAAAAGAGAAGATAGTGAATCAAAAACGAAATCACTATATGCCTTAGTGAACATTACTGAAAAAGGTAAGAGTCTCTAACCATGGCGTTACAGGCTGCTGGATAGTCTAACTTTGCATCTGAAACTAAGCGCTTTGCCATGTCCACTTTACAAGACTTGTCAACATATACATGACAGATTCCATCTGGAAGCACAAACAAAAATAAGCCATGTTCTCTCTACGCCAATCCAGCTTAATGGGAACTGAATTTTAAAACGTACCAGCATGCCCTAGCACAGGGATTTTCGTCGAGTTTTTTATCTGAGAAACAAGCTTGTTGCTGCCTCTTGGGATCACAAGATCAATCACGTCATCAAGCTGTATCATAAATTCAATTGGTAGGTTTCAGTTTATGTAAAGATAAAGTCACTTCTGTTGAATTGCCGTTTCATATATCTACATACCTTGAGCAAATCAGGGATCTCCTCTCTCGAAGTCACAAGTCCTATGAGTTTACCTCCTACAGTCTCCGGAATTGCATCAGTGATCACCTACAAGTTTTCCATTGGTTTCACAAATTAGGTCCACAGACATAATTTAGGAAGCAAGGTAATGAAAAAATAAGAGATATGAAGTCGGTGTACCTTGTGTAAGATAGCATTGGATCGGCGAGCTTCCTTTCCACCCTTCAGCAGAAGACCATTTCCACTTCGGATTGCAAGTGAAGCTATCTGTTTGATTCATCAATAGGCATGGTGTTCAGCAATCAGATTTTAAGTCTAAGAGCCTATAGGGTAATGACTCGTGATATACCTGAACAAGAGCATCAGGACGAGACTCAAAAACGATCAGGAGAACACCTAATGGTGATGAGGTCTTCTCCAAGATAAGGCCATCTGCAACCTGTTACATAAAAACAATCATACGAATTTCACAACTTTTTTCATGTTAATTGAGAGGAAGGTTTACAACATATTCCCCCATATTTACCTGAGTTTTCTTCAATACGCGACCGATTGGATCTTCCATTTCAGCTAGCTGGCGAATGGAAGCTGCAAGGCTTGAGATCTATAGAGCATAAAACAATGACAAATTAGAAATATGTACAGAACAAAATTGGTGTTGTATATTCCATTACGCAGTGAATAGAGTCTTACCTTGCCAGGCTTCATCACTAAGCGAGCCACCAAAGACTCTTCATATCCAGCGTCTTGCGCTACAGCAACATCTACATCATTCTCAGCTTTAATTTTTTTCTCGTTTGCTTCAAGGGCGTCGGCGATACCGAGTAGAATCTTTTTCCTGTCTTCTGAAGACAAGGCCTGTAAGCAAATTGCAAAAACAAGTTTAGTTCACTCGCAAAACGATAAACAATATCTGAATTTTACAAGTTGAGTAAAGTTGCATTAGAGTCCTAATATCACCTGAAGCTTTCTGGAACTCTCCCTTGCAGCAACTGCCATGTCACGAGAGCTAGTATCTACGACCGGAGCCCACAAATGAGCATCTTTGTGAAACAGAGTACCAACACGCAGTCCTTTGATGACTTTAGCTATGTTCTCCGCAGCATACCCACTTCAAGAAAATGACAAGAAAAATATATCACTCTTCCATCCAACATTATAAGTACAAGTATTATCACAGATTATGAGTAGGGAAGGGCCTTTTACTTGGTTATGATCACAGGAACGCCACCAGAAGCTGCACTAACCGCGGCTTTAACCTTTGCCGTCATACCCCCTCGTCCTAATTTGGACTTCTCGCCAAACGTGATCTCCTCCTGGTGTTTTTCTTTAATGTAGGTGTGGATTAACTTTGAGTTAGGATCGCTTGGAGGGCCAGTGTAAAGACCCTCAACGTCACTCAGAAGAATCAAAAGATCAGCATTCAGCTCCAGGGACAGTAGAGCTGATAAGCTGTCATTATCCCAAAATATACCAGTAGCATCCTGCATGGGTTAAGATTCATAAGAACCTTATGAATACTACTCAAAATGAAGTATCTTAATGTAGTCTAAATTTAAGTCAAAGGCAATCAACAAACCTTATAAGGGGCTCTCCGAGTGCTTATGGCATCGTTCTCATTGAAAACAGGAATAACCCTCATTTTCATCATTGATTTGACTGTTTCACTAAGCTGCTTCCTGAAATCCTTATCTCTGAAACTGCTATCAGTCACCAGCATTTGAGCCACCGTCACATCCAACTAAATGACGAGAGGAAAAAACAATCAATCTTTCAAACGCTTGCCAGTAACCAAGAAACAGGAGAAAAGCAAAAGCGAATCACCTGGTCAAACATAGCTTCATAGTAAGCCATGAGGCTGCTCTGTCCAACACCAGCACAAGCCTTCCCATCAAGTTCCATTTGTGGCTTCTGAAGGTCTGCAAAACTGGATTTTCGTAGAGAAGAAGAAGAAGAATCAGCACAGAATCAAAAACATATAACCGTTACTGAGACACAAATTCGAGCCTTTTAATTATCGTCTCCATTCACATAACCTGCTGTTGACTAATTGTCTGTAACGAAGCCTTTGGCGACCAAGACCAACCGCACCAGATGACACCAAAATGACCTCAAATCCATCCGCGTTTAATTCCGCAAGCTGACATTATATTTTGTTTACAGTAATTAAAGGCACGAACTACACACACAAGCTCCTTCAAAATTCCTTTTTTTATAGCAATTCTGTTTAATGCAAGAGCTTACTCAAAAAAGTAAACGTTAATCGTTTTACAATACCTGCTCGCAGATTGCTCCTAAGCGCCCAAGAGCCAATCTTCCACCTTTTCCAGTGACAACTGCAGTCCCGACCTGTAAATAATCAAACTCGGAAATTTGAGAAACCAGAAAAGATGCAAATTTGTGGTCAACTTAAGGAAAACAATTCGCAGGTTTAGGAAAACTTTCAATTGGAAAAAACAAAATTGTTAAATGTTTTCAGATTTCTCCGCCGCCAAGCAGCTAAACGAAGGAAGCAATCATTAGAAATGTAATTAGAACACACTACTAATTGACATCAACCCAACAATGAAGATTTTAAAAAAAAAATTGAACGAAACGCCGATAAAAGTCAAACCCGAAATTTTTCGATGACAATTGGCAAATTCGATCAAAGGAAAAATCTGAGAGAGAATTGAAAACCTTGACAACGATACGCCTAACGTCCTTAGCGAAAGCCCGCGAACGATCAACTTCCTCCATTGTGGAATACCAAAAGCAGAGGGAACGAGTCAACTCAGTCGGACTCAGTCACCACCACGACGAGGAGGTGAGAATATGAATTGGGGTTAATCCGGTTGAGGAGGGAGATCAAGTGGGAAGAAGCGAATAGGTTTTTAAGAGCGTTGAGCAAATTGTCAAAATATCAAAATAAACCCCCCAAGTTTTGTCAAAAACATGTAATAATCCCCAAAGTTTTTATAGAATTAATTTAGCCCTTATATTACAACAAATATCAATTCCGGTTAATATAAATATTTTTCTTAAAACGTCTCTAATCTTGTACGTTTGTGATTTTATTGAGTAAAGAATTGTATGCATCTTGTCTCATGTGATTAGTTTGTTTATCAAATTGTCGCTAACCACCATGTAATCATTTTGTCACTCACTTATTCACAAAGTACAAAGATTTATTAGTTTCTTTTAGTGATGCTATGAAGCCATTGTGTTGTGTCACAGATTTGTTGTGATTATTCATTTGAGAAAACTTTTGTCGTAATTTGTTTTAGTTCTATGCCGTATTTGTGACAAAAGTTCATGGCAAATATGGTCGCAGTTTCTGGTTGATAAAAGTTATAATTCTTCGTGAGTATTTTGCGATTTACTTAGCAAAATTTGGTACACTAACATAATTACAGATTCTATGACCCATATTGTGAAGCCAATGTGTAACAAAATTTCCAACCACATGGCGCCACGTGATGAGTGAGAGATGCACATCAGGATTGCGGATGGAGAGATCCTAAACTGATGACGTGGTGGTAATGCAGGATAAGAGAGTTAGGGTGCGATGCAGTGGATCAGCTCTTGAGTGGTGGGGGTATTTTGGATAATTTAAAATTTGGCGGCTGAGAGAGCACCGTGAACGTGAACAACACAAAGAGAGGACAGCAAAGCAGGTTTTACTTCAAAATAATAATAATATCATCGAACAATTACAATTTCATCATTCATACGCGGCGCCACAACATCTCTTTATCACTATTCTTAGTATTTGTTATCGTTAAGTCCAAATTTCAAATGATTTTGACATAATAATACGTGACATTTGATATCTTTTGTTATTCTACAAGAGAAGTAAGCATTAGCGTCCGACGTTTCTTCGTTCTGTACTCTCATTGTGACTCCTACCTACTATAAAGTTTCCTCTTCATATGCTTTATCTCTCAAAGCAAATTGATCAATTGGTGTTTGTATTAGAGATTCACAGAAGAGAAGTTTTCTTTATATTCCATTTGAAAGAGAAATACATGAAAAGTAATGGGACACGTGTCGTCCTCTATAATTGCAGCTCAAAATTTCTTGCATGGGAAGGTAAAGCCAAACAGTATAACAATCGTCCAAATCTGTGTGTCAATTATCAACACGTACGTCTTTCAAGCTCCAACTTCTGTCCACTCTCTATCACTCTTTTTTGTTGCAACTTCCGGTTTTGTTACGCTTCAAATAAACAAATTCACACGGCAGTAAACAAGCACGAATAGAGATATGCATACTCCAGTGTTCTTTAACAAAAACAGAAAGAACTCCACATGACATTATTATTTGGTAATCTTCTTTTTTGCCACCAACCAGGTTGAATATTCTGTTTAAAAGTTGTAGATAGTACTATATAAACAAAATAAGCTATACTTTAAAAAAAGTTAAACTACCTTTGCCTGCTACACGAGTTCAATTTTGGTGATTAATTGACGTCGGTATGTGTGTTTAATATACCACATTCAAAGGCAAAATAGATAGGCCAAAAGACTCGCAATTCACATGCTTTTTTTCTTTTTCTTTTTGGTAAGATAACGAAATAAAGAAAGTTGTGGTCACGACATTTGTTACCAAAATCAGGAATGATAAGCTTACATGTCAAAGTGCATAACGTGGTGATGGCCTTTTTACTCTTTTATATATTTTGTAACTGCCAAAAGAAGAAGAAGAAGAAGAAGATAGGCATGTGTGTGTCTATACGCTGGATATCGGATCACATACCTTAACCACGAATAGAGTTCCAAGAACGTAGTGTCGTAATCTAGCACATATAGTTTCTTCTTTGCATCATGCCAAACAATTCGGCCGACGCGCAAAAGAAAAGGATTAACAAAGGATTGTTTCTGTATTTTATCTGTGAATTTTAACATTATAGTAGATGTTCAGTCGTGGGGTCAATTGAGAGTATGTCACCTTCCATTATTACCTCAATTCAATTTATGATATTTATGAAATCATTCGAATGGCCGACATCATCGTATTGTAGCCTGACAACTTCATCTTGTTAGGGTTCACGGTTGTTTTTCTTTGGGTATAGCATATACTTATATGTGACAATATTAATAGAAAAAAAAGACTTTACGGCTCACAGGAAAGCAAGTTTGTAGGCTTGTAGTAGCATGTCCGTGGGATGGTTTCAACTTTCAACTCAGCTGTTTTAAAATTTCTGTGTAATTCCATTAAATATGGGATTCGGACCCAATTAGCCGAAATGGTATATACTTTATTTTATTTAAATCAAATTTGATTGATGTGGTTTGATTGCAATAGTTACAAAGAGGACAGTCTCAAGGCGAGCTTCCATGTGGAAAAGTCGAGTGCCATCGCGTTCGGAGACTACAATACAACTATACAGGCAAACAAGAAGTTGACACCATATCATCATCTTCACACCAACCGAGAAAAATCGTAAACGTTTAGATATTTTCAGTTCGTGACAAAAAAAAAAGTTTAGATATTTTCAAATTTACCGTAAATCTTTTTTTTTTTGGTCGTAGAGAGTTTTGAAAAACTCATTAAAAATGCCTAAAAATTAACCGTTTTTTCTCAATAGTATTCTAGTGTTGAATTGTCGCAAACAAAAGTATTCTAGTGTTGAACATGTTAATGCACTTCTCTATTCAAACCATTAGTATCGCCACTCGCTAATATGAACTAACAGTTTGATATATGAACCTTTCATTAGGATGTAGATTATAAAAATATTATTCCTTCGTTATTCAAGAATATATGTACTGTCAATAGAAATATTAGCCTCATGAACTAGTCCTCTTTTTTTTTTGAATATACGTGGCGAGAAGACGCATATAGAAGAATAAAATCTACAGAATCATAATCACTGTGTCTGTGCTACTAAAAACAAATTTAACCATTAAAACTTAACAGAGACATGTCGAAAAGAAAAAAAAAGTTAACATAGACATGCATATTGGAGCTATTGACTAACGAATATCCTCCCACACTAGATGAAATTGTTCTATCTTCTTTTCTTCCAAGCATTCGAGAATAATTGTGACTTGTGAGTGAAGTTCGGAATAGACTAAAACCAAAGCTATGTGGGCTCAGCTTCTCTCTGTCCTCAGCAAAAATGGGCTTCAGATTTTTTGTTGCTGTCAAATGGGCTTAAGACTAACTTGTCGATATTTTCAAGTAGAGATCAATTTCATGGCATACATATTTTTGTTGAAATGTCCTCAAGTAAAAGTGATACTATAAAAAACTTGAATATTTACTTGCACACACATACTTTTCATAGTCACCCAATGTACCTACCAATATCACAATCACAGACCCAACTTTGATGACTTTTGACTGTAATCGTAACTTAATTGGAGGTGGAGACTAAAATTGACCTCGTTTTGGAAATTCTTTTATGCGACTATACTCACATTCTTTACGCCATTTACAACTTTGAAGACAATGAACAACTTCAAAACGCTATAAGATTCGAGCATGATTTTCTTGGTGTGGCAGATTTTAGCTCATTGATCAATGTGTGTTAGACTAAGTGCCCTTATATCATCTCGTCTTGAATCCTTCCCTAGACAATCCTAAGTTCTGCTTGACCAACTGGCTTGTCTTAAATGTAACATCAATGAATCATTTATGCCAAAGTTTGGTTGATTTATTTTCATGGTTGTGTATCGTTTATTCACCTATAGGGAACCAAGACAAGAAGGTTCATGTTTTGGTCCTCTTGGGTTAGCCGTTAGCCTATAGAATTACACATTTTGGGGGCAGATTAATGTGAATAATTACATTCACATTAATCTTTCAATTATTCAAATTGAATAGTATTATATTTTTTTACTTATGCACCACTAATATAATTCTCACAAGAGTCGCAACCTAGAGTATACGTATACCAACTGATCCAGGAATATGATAAAAGGCATGGAAGAATAACATAGCCCACCAAACTATATGATTCACCTGAAAAGTTCAAAACTTACAAATTTACCAAGTACAAGTAGGAAAACAAACTCATTCATTACAAGGAGAGAATAATTTTTAGTTATTGCATCCATGATCCATCTATTACTACACTAGTTACAATTTGCGAAATCTGATTACTAGTTACCAAAAACTGATTTTCATTTCGACGTCAATCTTTATTTAGTCCAACTTTTGAAAAGTGAGGCTGACTTTCAACTTTACTTTTCCTCCAAGGCTTGAAACAAAAATATTTTTTTTTTCTTAAAATTATTTAATTAATAATAATTGATATTTGTATGATTGGAGCCTCCTTTAAATTAGGGCCCAAGCGGTGGCATCTTTGGATTGTCCAGGGCCGGCGTTAAAACGCAACCCTTTTCTTCTTCATAAAAACGAGCCTTCATCTCCTTTTGTTTCTTCTTCTTCTTCCCCTCGTTCTTCGCCGCTTTCTCTGTCTCGACTCCATCCTCGACTCAATTCAAGTAAGCTTCCTCCGTTTCCTTCTTATACCTAAACGTATATCTTCTCCAAGTTCACTGATTTCTAGACCTAATTCTCGCCGTTGCTCTGTTGTACGAACCTTTGAGGGATTTAATCGTTTGCAAATCGAAATTTACTGTTTTTAGATACCGGGTTTTAGGTTTAGGATGTTGTTGCTCAACAAAAAAAAGAGAGGATTTTGTCTAGTTATGGAATCGCTGCATAAACCCTAATTTTCGTTGGATTTGTGTAGTCGCAACTTTTGATTATTTTCGTCTTTTTGATGATTGATTTTTCATCTGTCTGCCGTAGGTGCACGTTAGCAAAGTCCCTAGCTTCATTTCCTCTAATGGCGACTCGTAAGTTTTCTGCAGAGCTCTTCTTGTGCTGTTGTGTTTACTCTCTCAGGATATCTTTCTAAAAGGGTTTTTGGGGGGGATTAATATTCTGCAGGTCTTCAGTTTGAGAACAATTGTGACATTGGTGTCTTCTCCAAACTCACTAATGCCTATTGCTTAGTCGCTATAGGTGGCTCTGAGAACTTTTACAGGTATATATTTTGTTTGACTTAGTCACTACTCTATAAAGTTTCGGTTTTTGCTTTTTCTTTTTGTTAATTTTGTTGATGATTTTACAGTGCTTTTGAGACGGAGCTAGCAGATGCTATCCCTATTGTTAAGACATCTATTGATGGAACCAGAATTATCGGGCGTCTTTGTGCTGGTTAGCTCTCTCAACACCTTCTTGCTTCAAATCTTCTTTTATAGTTTCCACTAGCCTAATGAAAAGTGATTTTTTAATTGTTCTGTGTAGGAAACAAAAATGGGCTTCTTGTGCCTCATACAACCAATGACCAAGGTAATTTGACATTTTCATAACATTTTCAGTGCCTTCTTCTGTTTACTTTCAGTTTATGAGTTGATTTCTTTACTGATTATGCTTGTTGAACATGATTAGTTCTTTTGATATCTCCATTTTATATAACGGGTCTATTGGCTGTAGTATGGTTGAATGAATCTCCTGAGTTGTGCTTATGGTTTTTGTACTTTTTACCCTGACAGAGCTTCAGCACTTGAGGAACAGTCTACCTGATTCAGTTGTGGTCCAGCGAATCGAGGAGCGTCTCTCTGCTCTTGGTAATTGCATTGCCTGCAATGACCATGTTGCTCTTGCTCACACCGATCTTGACAAGGTAAAGATATTTCCTGCATGACTGTTTTAATGAAACCGTTATAGTTGCTCATATGCTCCCTCTCTTACTGTCCCTGCATGTCCATGTTAGTGGAGTTGTTACATTATGCGTTTTTGTTCTTATGTTGGTTCTCTGGATTGGCAGGAAACCGAGGAAATCATAGCGGATGTTCTTGGTGTTGAAGTTTTCCGTCAGACTATTGCAGGCAACATTCTCGTAGGCAGCTACTGCGCCTTATCCAACCACGGTGGAATTGTAAGAGAATACCAAAACAGAACCATCTTTTTCAAAAGCCAATGAAATTGCCAATTGGTCTCTCACGTATTGACCAATGTCTTTGTCTCAAAAATAGGTCCATCCTCACACATCAGTGGAAGATTTGGATGAACTCTCAACGCTTCTTCAAGTCCCTCTCGTTGCAGGAACCGTGAACCGAGGTTGCGAAGTCATTGGTGCTGGTATGACCGTTAATGACTGGACTGCTTTCTGCGGCACAGACACAACGGCGACGGAGCTCTCTGTTATGGACAGCATCTTCAAGCTAAGGGAAGCCCGACCCACCTCTATTGTCGAGGAGATGAGGAAGTCTTTGATCGATACCTATGCTTAACTTTTTGCTTTGTTTTGGATGACACACACAATACAATATCGTCCCCAAGTGTCAATGTCAGAAATTTTCAAATCTTTTATGTGTGGTCTTTGTAGTTCTCTGAATATCTTTCACTGTTTGCAAGAATTAGCTGTTTTCTTAATTTTGTTTGTGTGGTTTTGAATATCTTTGAGTAATCCGTAAGAAAATTCTCGTTTTAAAAATCCACATTTGGGGTCCACATTTGATTCACATGACAGTGGAGAAGACACAATTGGTGAATGGATAACGGTTTTGTTCGGTACAATATCCGATTTCTGCATTTCTATGTAGACAATAAAGTTAACACCGTTCTCGCTTAGATAGTTTGAAGATTGAATTAAAGTTGGGACCTTTCATTTCCAATCCCAAAAACCCATTTCTTTCTCTCTTCTTATCCACGAGAGAAACAGATCCCATAATCAAAAGTTGGATTTGTTCTATGACAAATGGTAAAATTTCTGTTTATGTTATGATTTTAATCTCTTGTAGAGTTTCCTTGAATGTGAGCTTTTCTTACTTTATATGTTCATCCGTTTTCTGTTTTACTTTCCCGGAAAAAGAAGAAGAAGAAGAAGATGAAGGTGAATTATCAGTTCGTTACCATAAGACATTGGATGCATTGTCGTCTTTGATCACAAAACGTAGCCGTTTTGTTAACAACAACCAGTCTCACCGGTTCCGTTTGCTCTTCCATTATCTCAAGGTTCCACCAACTCACCTATAGCATTTTGTTGCGTCTCATTCTCATACCAAAAGTTATGATGAGCTTTTTTACGAATCTCTTAAGGTTCTTGAGCTTGAAGACGCAGTCTCACAGATGAAAATCATTCATGTGGCTGGAACTAAAGGAAAGGTACATACTTTTTAAAAGGGCTCTCTCATCATACCTCTAGTTCTTGAGATTATACAATAAAGTTTGTGTTATCTTTTTTTTGTAAGGGATCAACATGCACATTCTCGGAATCTATACTTCGTAATTACGGTCTTCGAACAGGTCTCTTCACATCTCCTCACTTAATCGATGTCAGAGAGAGATTCCGTCTGAACGGCACTGAGATAAGCCAGGAGAAGTTTGTGGACTACTTCTGGTGTTGCTTCCATAAACTCAAGGTGTACCTTTTTAGAACAGAACATTCATATCTACACCTTTTCAAGTTTTCTGTGTTTTTTCTTTCTCATAATTCGTTATACATTTCCGAACTAAAGCGCAGGAGAAAACCAGCAATGAGATTCCAATGCCTACTTACTTCTGCTTTCTTGCATTGTTAGCTTTCAAGATCTTCTCAGCAGAGCAGGTTCTCAGATCTCTTTTACTACTCAGTAAAATCAAACTTATATGATGATCAAGCCATATAATGTCATTGTTGTATGCGCAGGTAGATGTTGTTATACTAGAGGTTGGCTTAGGTGGGAGATTCGACGCCACTAATGTGGTATGAAAATTTCGAATATTTTTCCAAGTCAGATTAAGATTTTGTCTCTCTTACAAAGCATTTGTTAATTATAGATTCAGAAACCTATCGTTTGTGGTATTACCTCTCTTGGATATGACCATATGGAGATTCTAGGTTAGTCTGTTCTCAACAAAAATGGACTCAGTGAGTTATAAATAATCACACTCGGTTATATATATCCACAGGAGACACACTTGCTGAAATCGCTGCAGAGAAAGCTGGTATCTTCAAGGTGCATAACAAAAAGCTTCTTCTTCTTTATTCGAGTTTTCAGTTTCTTCCTTAGTTATTCACTTATTTGTCTCTTTGTCTCGGTTGCAGAGTGGAGTTCCTGCTTTTACAGTGCCTCAACCTGATGAAGCAATGCGTGTACTTAACGAGAAAGCTTCAAAATTGGAAGTAAGGTTTTCAAGAAAAAAACCAAATCATTAGATAGAGATAAGCTTACTATTAATTCTTGTTTCAGGTGAATCTTGAGGTGGTGGAGCCATTGGAGTCTAGTCAGAGACTTGGTCTTCAAGGAAAACATCAATATCTAAACGCTGGTCTTGCTGTTGCCTTGTGTTCTACATTTCTTCAGAAGATTGGTATTGAAGACAATAATGATCTGAAACAGACAGTAAGTTTGAAACAACGAGAAAAAAAAAACATTCTGAGTTTTTGTGAATGTATCTGTTAATTCTGTTATCTTCTTGAAAACAGAGTGGTTTACCTGAAAGATTCGTCTCTGGATTGTCAAAGGCTTATTTGATGGGACGAGCTATGATCGTGCCTGATTCAGAGTTACCTGAGGAGATTGTTTATTACCTTGATGGAGCTCATAGTCCTGAAAGCATGGTGGCTTGCGCCACTTGGTTCTCACAACAGATCAAACAAAACCAAGAAAGAAACCATAAAAGTTCAGAGCAGGTTAAGTTGCAGCAGATACTCTTGTTCAATTGTATGTCTGTCCGTGATCCGAGTTTGCTTCTTCCGAGATTAAGGAGTAAATGCATTGATCAAGGTGTGTTAATGTTATGAGGTTAATTGAGATATATAGTTAGGCTTTTTACAAGAAGTCTCATTTAAGTTGTTTGTAGGAGTTGATTTCAAGAAAGCAGTTTTTGTGCCAAACGTATCAGTGTACAACCAAGTGGGACCTTGCTCAAACGTTGAAACACAAGCTGGTTCGTTGACGTGGCAGTTGAGTCTTCAGAGGCTTTGGGAGAGTTTGGCTCGAGGTGAAGCAAAAGCTAGCTCGGGAAGTGATTTCCAAGTCAAAGAGGAAGAGAAGAAGAGCTTCGTTTTCTCGTCTCTTCCTTTGGCCGTTGACTGGCTCAGGGATAGTGCTCGCCGGAGTAAACAAGTTCGTTTTCAGGTAAAAAAAATTAAAAGAAATATAATGTTAGTTTTCACTTTTCAGGTGCTTGGTCTAATTGGGATTTTTTTTTTTGTTATTTTGGGTATTAGGTGTTGGTGACTGGTTCATTACATTTGGTTGGTGATCTCTTGAGATTAGTCAAAAAATGAATGTGAAGCATTTTGTTTTGTCTTTGTATAATTGAGGAGACATGATTTTAATTAGTTTGAATTTATCATCAAGTTTATATTCAAAATAATAACTCATAACCACACTATTAGGCAAAATCAAAACAAAAGACACAAACCATGTCTCGTTTGATGTCAAAAGAAAAAGACACGAACCATGTCTCTATGTGTATTTCACTATTTCATGACATGATTCAATAAACAAAAAACACGTGCTCGTACCCAAAAATATCTAACAAAGTACAACGTTTGCAAAATTTGTACCACCGACAAAGATTTTTTCATTTTACAGAACCAAAAACACATTACGTGGCGGTAAAAGGGTCGTTGCAACCCAAACGCTGTCGTTTCGTTCAGCGTGTAGTAGTGGTGTGGCGTTGGAAACAAGCGTACAAAAAAAGTCTAACTTTGAAGACGAGATTGAAGAACCGAATAGCAAAGAAGAGATAGCCAAACTTTCAAGCAAAGCAGAGCAAATTCAAATTCCAACCAAAAAAGGATTGATCGTGTGAGAGATTCTTTTTTCTTCCACGAAATTTTTGAGCTTTTTTTGTGGAAGTGGGTATTGTTTCTTCCTCCGGTTGAGATTGACAATTTCTGATACCGGAGAGGTGGATCGGGATTTGAGCGGCAAATGGTGATGCAGACGGAAGCTAGGGTCGGTGTTAGCTCAGGTCATGGCGTCGTCGGGAACAAAGCTTCGTCTCATCGTCTAACGCAGGATCAGAGATCACATATCGAATCGGCGTCTCAGCTCTTGGCCGGAGGAATCGCCGGCGCTTTTAGCAAAACTTGCACTGCCCCTCTCTCCCGCCTCACCATTCTCTTCCAGGTTCCCTTTTCATCCATAAAAATTGATACTTTAATCTCATAGAATCCAATTCGAAGTAAAAAAGACCAATTAAGAATTTCAATTGCAATTTGGTGTCCTGCAACGAGAAATTTGGGAATAGCTCTAAATAGTAAGTAAATGCATAAAAAGGGAGTCTTTTTTTGGGACAGCTTCTTGATTAGGCATACACTGCTTTGATATTTAGGTGCAAGGCATGCATTCAAACGCTGCAGCTCTAAGAAAGCCGAGCATAATGCACGAAGCTTCACGGATACTGAATGAAGAAGGACTCAAGGCTTTCTGGAAAGGGAATCTGGTCACAATTGCCCACCGGCTTCCGTATTCTTCTGTCAACTTCTACGCATATGAACACTACAAGAAGGTCTGAGAATCTATATCTAGCAGCAGTTTGGGTTATAGTGTGCCGTTATTCTCCCAATTTATCCTGTTTCTGATTTGGTTCTTTTACTTACTATTTCAGTTCATGTATATGGTTACTGGGATGGGAAGTCACAGGGAGAGTATAAGCTCAAACCTTTTTGTACATTTTGTAGCCGGTGGTTTGGCTGGAATCACTGCTGCTTCTGCCACTTATCCACTTGATCTTGTTAGAACTCGTCTCGCTGCTCAGGTTTTGAGTTGTTGAATCTTGAATTCTATAACTCCTCATTGTTGCATTAGCTGGTTATTTGACATTTTTTTTATCTTTGGATTCATGGCAGACAAACGTAATCTACTACACGGGTATTTGGCATACTCTGCGTACGATCTGCGTCGACGAAGGTATCTTGGGACTCTACAAGGGACTTGGAACAACGCTTGTGGTATTTTCCACAGTCATAAGTATTGTATCTTTTCATTTTTTCTTTATTTTCCTGAGTGAGGTTTTTATATCTTGATAACAGGGTGTTGGGCCTAGTATTGCCATTAGCTTCTCTGCGTATGAGTCTTTGAGATCTTACTGGAGATCAAATAGGTGATAAGTAAATCTCTAACTTATATTTCTGCACTTTAACTATGTTGCCACCTATCAAATTTGTTTGTTTTTCTCCTAAAGTTGGTTTTTGTGTGTTTTCATTTGATCAAGGCCTCATGATTCTCCTGTCATGGTCAGCTTAGCTTGTGGAAGTCTTTCAGGGATAGCTTCTTCAACAGGTGAGTGGTTTTTTCTTTATCACTTGAAGCATCAATTTCGTAATGCTGACAAACAAGAATCACATCAGTAGTCTCAAGTCGCTCAACTAAGAATTCTTATATGAGTTTTGGTCTAATGAAACTCTGTCTCATGTTACATTCATAAGCAGTAGAACTTTCACAGAGAATTGATGCATAGTTTTGATTCTGTGCTATCTACCGCAGCTACGTTCCCGTTGGATCTGGTGAGGAGAAGGAAGCAGCTAGAAGGAGTGGGAGGGAGAGCGGTTGTGTACAAGACAGGTTTGTTGGGGACATTAAAGCGTATAGTGAAGACAGAAGGAGTGAGAGGTTTGTACAGAGGGATTCTTCCAGAGTACTACAAAGTGGTGCCTGGTGTTGGGATTTGCTTCATGACCTACGAGACACTCAAGCTTTACTTCGTTGATCTTTCCTCAAAGCTATAGACACTCAGTTTTGTCTTTGTAGTTTCTTTAGGTCTATTTTTTGATGAAAAGGAAAAACTGTAAACCAAAAGGCGTGGATATCATACTTATACACGGAATGTAGAATTGTATGTGTGTTTGGTTTCTTATTCAGTGATTTTAGTTTACACAAAATCGACATTGTACAGTCCATGGCAACAAAACCTGAACTCTGTTGATGAATTTTTTTGCCAAGGTTGATGTTTTGATTAGAGAATCAAAGCATATGAATTTGATTTTGTTGTCATGGAACTGTAATCTCACAATGGAATGCACTATAAATTCATTATTTGGTGAAAAAAAACATGATACAAGGAAATTAGTAACAATATGTGAGCTGCATCACTCTGGATAGCCAACACTTTCAATTTCTTCCTGTTGGTCAGTTTCCTTCTGTTCTTTCAAATCACTCACTTTCTTCTCCAACCAACCGACATCAAGTCCAACCGCTTTCAGATATACCAGTGTATGATGCGCATGATAGAAAGAGATGTCTTTAAGCGGCTTGCGCAGATCCTTAATCAAGAGGATTAGTTGCTGGATGACTACTCTCTTAAAGTATGTGCCTAAATCCTTCTCAACGAAGTGTGATGCAAAGTCAGGGTGTTCTTCAAAGATTGGGCTCACAACCTCCATCTGCGTGTGACAAAAAAAAAAAAAAACCACACGTTAGCTTTGTCCCAAAAAATCAAGAATTTCAACAAAAGTTTAAGTTTTGCATCTTTATATTATTTACCTCTGAAGGATAAACGGGAAGCCCGTAGAAATCAAGAAAATCCTCATCATCCTCATACTTGCCAACAGCTTCAAGAACGTTCAAATCCACAACAATCTTGACTTTTCCATCCACTATAAATCCACCATGTTTGGCATGTTTGGCATCAAGCTTTCCCAGGGGGATACTGTTTGAGAAATCCCAGGCAGGAGTCTTGTGATCAAACCACTCTTGTGTTTCTGTAAGAACACCACAGTTGTCGTCCAGTTCTTCAGAAATCTGATTTACTATGGTAAAAGAAAACTGTGCGTGTCTTTTCCATCCCGGAGGCATAAAATCAGCATCAGAAACCACTAGAGACAGAGACAGACTCAGAGAGTCATCGTATTTATTTCCCTTGTAATACACGCCAACACGCCTGCAAGAGCAAAACAAAATAAAACCCTAAATACATCAAACAAGATATGGAGGAGAAAACATTAGATTAGAACAAAAAAACAACGTGTCTTCTTACCAGCTGCAGCAACCGACCACAAACGGATAAGAATATATTTTCTCAGACTCAGATTGCAAAGAGGAGACGTCCCTAATTATCAATACGGAATTTCTTGTCAACTTCTCCACATCTCGATCATCATGCTCCATTGAAGACTACTCCTCTTTTTTTTGGTAAAATAGGACTACTCCTCTTGCAACAACAACAAAACTAACAGATCAATTGAAACCCTAGATTCGCTAATTGAACCTCTCGTTTCTTTTATCTTTTTATGATGTGATTGTCTTCAATTCTAGAATTCGACCCATATTTATAATTATTCGGACCAATATACCATGTCGGCTCAAGTTTCTTGTTGTCTGTACATATAGGCCTCAATATAGATCTGGGCTTGTCGACTATTACATTCTCGCTGTTGGCCCAAATAAAGTGGGTTTGAATATCAAAACTCAACTGGAGAAGGGAAGATTACGAGATCTCTAGGCACGGGTTTGGATTTTTTTCGGTATAAAGATGGAAATATATACATATATTAAGCTCATATTCGGATTATAATATAGAAGTGGGGCTGGTATTCCAATCTTGTATCAATGTGTCTTTGGGGTTAGTATATAAAGCATAAGTATCAATGTATATAGTGAAGCAATACACTGCAGCAGCTGGAGGGGAGACGGAAAGCCCTAATCGGGAAGAGGAAGAAGAAGATGGGGAGGATGAGAGACGTCAACAACGGAAACGGAGGAGAGATGGGAGGTTTTGTGTTATGGAAGAAAGGTTCGAGTCAATGGAGTTTAGAACTTGTGGTTTCGGGTTGTAAAGTCAATGCTGATTGTGATGGTAACGTGGCTTGGAAGCAAAGCCCTTGGCTCGCACATTCTCATGCTTGTGATGAACCTTCTGGACCACTGAGAAGGTTCCTTCAAGGGTTTGATCCTAAAACCACAGCAAATTTGTTTACGGATTCGGTTTGCATCGGTGAGAAAGTGGTTAACGAAGAAGAATGCTTTGTTCTTAAGCTCGAAACGCAGCCTTCAGGGCTTAAATCAAGAAGCAAGAGCGGTATGGAGACGGTGAAGCATACGGTTTGGGGATGCTTTAGTCAAAGAACAGGACTTTTGGTCCAATTAGAGGACACTTATCTCGTACGGATCAAAACCGGTCCGGAAGAAGAAGACATGGTCTTATGGGAAACAACGGCTGAGACAATGATCCAAGACTAGAAGAGCGTTGATGGGATCCAGATCGCTCACAGAGGAAGGATACGTGTCTTGTTGTTGAGGCTTGATGAGAGCTTAGAGAGTCATTCAAATACTACAATGAAGAGAGTTGAGAGATTGAATGGGAACTCAAGTCCTCTAACGTCACAGCTACTGAAGATTTTGTAAACTTGTTTTACTGCAGCATATAAATATACTCTCTGGTCCAAATCCAACTATGTTCAGAGACACATGTCTTTGTGTACCGCTGTAACTCTGTACCTATCTACATAGATATATAGGATCATATACTTTACATTACTTCTATATATATGATCAAACCTTGTAGTGCATTACTTCACATTATGAAAGGAAAATTTTGTTACAAATCTTCATTAGCAATGATATGAAGAACATAAGATCCAACATCATTCTCTTTCTCAATGTTCTAGGGCAAAAAAATCAACAAATCACAAATCCGATATCGCTAAGTAAGAGAAACAGAGAATACAACATTATTCTCTTTCTCAATGTTCCAAGGCAAAAAAATCAACAAATCACAAATCCGATATCACTAAGTATGAAAAACAGAGAATCCAACATCATTCTCTTTCTCATTGTTCTAAGGCAGAATATCAACAAATCACAAATCCTATATCGTAAGTAAGAGAAGCAGAGAATCCGCTGTACCTCCTCAAGTATTATGTTCTCACAATTTGGTCAAACTCAAGATGATACTTCTTGTGTTTTAGTCTGTCCAATCTTCCTTCCATAGCTTGTTTCTCATTCTTCAACCTGATCAAACATGTCTCAGATGTTTCAGCTTCTTCTTTCATCTTCTTCAGTGCGGACACAAGCACCTCCGTTTGTTGTTTCAGCTTGCTCAGGGCGTCCTCTTTCTCCGTGATCGCTACTTTCTTCTCGTTTATCTTGCTCTCCAACTCAATCTTGTCAGCCTGACCTTTCTTGACTCTCTGCTCCACATGCAGGACACCCTTTTCCATAATTCTGATGGTCTTGTTATCATCACACAAGGTCTTGAGCGTGTTCACGCTAGCTCTAGCCGCTAGCTTCTCCTCTTCTGTTCCGTGCATGACAGCTCTGATGATAGAAAGCGTAATATCTAGCCACCTCCAACTCCAATCTCTCTTACCTTTGGTTTGGTAATATAGTGACGCCACTAGAGGGAACACAGTGAAGAACTTATGTCTTATCTCTGCAAGCTTTGGATCTTCTTTTTGTGAAGATGCAAGAGGAAGATCTTCTTTTTGTGAAGATGCATGAGGAAGCCTAGGGTCTCGGAGCTTCCTATTTTGGCCGACAGTGACAAGAGCAGAAGACACCTATGAAAACAATCGTATAAACCAAACAAGTTAAGAAATGGGGAAACTCCATTTCTACTGAACCTAGTCGCAATCAAACCAACAACTATCGGAGTTTTGGCTTAAACTCAGCGAATCCCGATTCTTCTCGGCTATTTCGAAAGATTTAAGGTACAATCGCAACAAGAAGAAGGCAAGATTCTTTCACGCGTCAAATTAACAGAAACACCATAAAACCAAATCAGCGAGAACAAACCCTAGACATTAAAGAAAAATTCCAAGACTTTAAGGGCACAAGAAAAAATTCAAGATTCTTTGAGTTGGCGTTTTGCGTCAAATTTTACAGAAACCAATAAGCGAGATTAAACCCTCAAGGATTCGCAAGAAATGACAAGAAGCATCGAACCCTAAAAGCGGATTTGATTACCTGTGGGTTGTTGCGGCGAATTCCCGATTCCTCGCGGCCAAGTCCAGTTTCTCGATTATCCATTGTTATCGGCGGGGAAGAGAGAGACAGAGGATGTGAACTTGACTGGCGGCGAAGAAAAGCGTGTCAGAGAGCGACCGATTCTGGAACGAGTCAGCGATCCGAAAGCGAGTTAGAGAGAGAGAGAGAGCCCGAAAGCGAGTTAGAAGAGAGAGCAGGGTGAGAGAGAGAAAGTGAAGAAGAAGAGAACACAATTCTGACATTTATAGTTTACAAAAAAGCGCTCTTCCCTTCCTCCACTCTCACGTGTCATGACACGTGCCTCTTTTAATCTATCCCTTTTTCCCCTGTTTCCCTACAGCCGGCGGCAAAACTTCCTCTGTTTTAATTTTAATGAAAAAAGTTGTTCCAAATAATAAAAGATTGACTTTGCTATGTTTTGTGAGTTAAAGGTAATGAAACCAAAGCGGAACTTATACTCTACGAAGGTATGATTGTGGAACTTCCATTTCAGCAAAAAGCAATGCTGCGAATTGACTTAGAAGCTTCCAAGATTTAGTTTGTGAAATCGCGAGTGTGATCCAGTTTCTTCCGTGATTCCGTGATGATATGGTAATTTCAATGTTTTCATATATATTAGATCATTTCTGTGGTTTTGCTTAGAGCTGTTTTGAATATTTTAATCCGTTTTACATGTTAACAAATTGAGATAGTTTTTCGATGTTTTTAGATAAATTTCGAATGATAGAATCGTTGGTTTTGCAATTTAGACCATTAGGTTCATGTTTGATTTTGTCATAAAAGAATAAACTTTGTTTCTTGATATTCAATCTTTGGATTGTGCAAGTGTAATAGTGGCATAACAAACCAAGTTTCTAACTCCATTTGCCAATATATGTTGTTGTTGCTGTTGTTCCAATTTAATGGAGCTGCTTCAGAGCTCCCATATGACATACTCTTTTAGGAGACTCAATCTAAGAAACTTGGTGAGCCAATCATCCAGATTCTCAGAAGAAAGAAGCTAATGACAAGAAACAACTACTTTGTACATGACTCCAAGACTACTTGTCTAAAGCTTGGAATGAAGAACAAACAAAAACTATCTTTTACTCACAAGTAAAGAGAGACAAAACCAACATATCGATCTATCTACGCTTCTCAGTTGGTGTCACTGCGGTAGCTTCTGATACTGTTTCACTATACAAATTTCTCCCAAGGCTGTGGAAACACCAAGAAAAGCTCATGTTTTTGCAGAAAACAGATTTGTCAGTGAGAACAAACCAAACTATAAATGTGTCCATCACCGAGCTCCGGCTCTGCTCTAGCTGCAGAACTCGATGTGTTCCATTTGGTTTAGCCTCAGCTCTCGAGTACCCAAAATTCCCTTGTTCTGACCACTTCATTTCAGCAACCATTCAAGGAGAACATCAACAACAAAAAGAATCAATTGTAAACACCATTTTGACAAAACCAAACAAGAAGGATAGAGCAAAGCATAAGGTGAATTAGATTCAATCAATCAAAGCAAGAATAGTAACTCAAGTCATCATCTAAATTGCAAATCATTTCTTGTGTGCCACGTCATAGATCCACACGAACAAATCACCAAAGGTAACAAGTGGGAGGAATTGGTTACCTGGATTTGTACATAACACACTTTCACTTTGAGATCATCACTCGACCATCCTTGAAAGAAGAGGTAGCCAAACTTTCAAGCAAAGCAGAGCAATTCAAATTCAAAGCAAAAATCGAAGATCCTTCTGAGAGATTCCTGTTTCCCCTGAAATTTGATTTGTTTGTGGAAGTGGGTATTGTTTCACATTATGTATTTGAAATGATCGTTGTTGAATCTTGCATTCTAACTCCACATTGTTGCATTTGCTGGTTATTTGACATTTATCTTTGGATTCATGGCAGACAAACGTAATCTACTACACGGGTATTTGGCATACTCTGCGTACTATCTGCGTCGACGAAGGTATCTTGGGACTCTACAAGTGACTTGGAACAACGCTTGTGGTATTTTCCACAATCATAAGTATTGTATCTTTCCACTTTTCTTTTATATCCTGACTTGGGTTATCTATCTTGATCTTATTGGGCCTAGTATCGCCATTAGCTTCTCTGCGTACGAGTCTTTGAGATCTTATTGGAGATCAAATAGGTAATAAAGTCAATCTCTAACTTGCAAATCGGCACTCTAACTATTTTGTGTCACCTATTAAATTTTTTTTCGTTTTCCTCCTAAAATTTGCTTTTGTGTGTTTTCATTTGATCAAGGCCCCATGATTCTCCTGTCATGGTCAGCTTAGCTTGTGGAAGTCTTTCAGGCATAGCATCTTCAACAGGTGAGTGATTTTTTTTTTTATCACTTGAAGCATCATTTTCATAATGTTGACAAACAAGCATCACATCAATAATCTCAAGTGTCAACTAAGAATTCTTATATGAGTTTTGGTGTTTATCCTCTAACGAAACTCTGACTCATGTTGCATTCATAAGCAATAGAACTTTCACAGAGAATTGATGCATTGAGTTAATCAAATGTCACTTAAAGCGGTTCTGTGCTATCTACCGCAGCTACGTTCCCGTTGGATCTGGTGAGGAGAAGGAAGCAGCTAGAAGGAGTGGGAGGGAGAGCGGTTGTGTACAAGACAGGTTTGTTGGGGACATTAAAACGTATAGTGAAGACAGAAGGAGTGAGAGGTTTGTACAGAGGGATTCTTCCAGAGTACTACAAAGTGGTGCCTGGTGTTGGGATTTGCTTCATGACCTACGAGACACTCAAGCTTTACTTCGTTGATCTTTCCTCAAAGCTATAGACACACAGTTTTGTCTTTGTAGTTTCTTTAGGTCTATTTTTGATGAAAAGGAAAAACCGTAGACCAAAAGGCGTGGATATCATACTATTTATACACGGAATGTGGAATGTAGAATTGTATGTGTTTTTGGTTTTTATATCCAGTGATTTTAGCTTATACGAAAATCAACATTGTACAGTCCATGTCAAAACCTGAAGCAACTTATCACTGGATATAAAACCAAAATCTTGAAATTTTTGCAAAGGTTGATGTTTTGAAGCATATGAGTTGATTTTATTGCTATGGAAACATCTCAATGAAGTGTGTTTTTATTGTTTATATTCAAGTTGTAAATGAGGTGCATTTTTATGAAGCAAATGGCTCAATCTAGGGTGATTTACTATAATAACTCATAAAATATTCGTTCAGTTAGAGTCAACTTGATAAGCTCTCTGCTAGAGGCAACCTGAAAAAAAAAAACAATGAAAGTTTTGGAAAAAGCTGTGAGATGCTTGGAGGCACAAGATTTCTTTGGAAACAACGTAGACAAGCTTTGGAGACATGCTTGGACAAGGACAATAAACAAAACCACCATCTCAAGTTCGACAAAGTTGTGAGGAGGTGAATGTGATCATGTACAAATCCTGAACAACTGGAATTTTTGTTTCTTTTTTTTTTCTTTCTGAGATTTTTTTCTTCGTTTAGGCAAATTTTTTAGGTAGTGAATGCGATCATGTATTGATAGGTACAGAGTTACATAGGTGAACAAAGACATGTGATCGGCTTATTGTTGATTAGGCTCAATTTTTGTTGTCACCAATAGTTTTTAGACTTTTTCGGTCTGTCACCAATAGTTTTACCAAAACCAACGATTCTATCATTATTTCACATTCAAAAATTTATCTAAAAGCAGAACACTTGCATAGAAAAACAATCTCAATGTTTTTTTTTTGGACAGTATACAGATGGATCGACTTCTTTTGTTGGTCAACTAAATTTTCATTAAAAGCTCAACATGGACAATATACAGATGGATCGAAAGACCAAAACCCTTACAAATAGAACCCCAAATCGTCTGCCATATTAAAGGATGAGATTACAAAACGATTACACTTGGGAGCAGGAGGCTCGCTGACGAAAAAGCATAGTAGTTTTTTTTTTTAAAATGTGGACTGTCATTTAAATGTGAATAGCAAGAGATGGATACGTGGAAGCAAATGACCATATATCTTACAAAGGGTTTGAAAAAAATACTTAGAATAACACTAAGATATACTCAAATGTAATGTCAACCAAGAATAAGTGATTCGAAATGGTATTTTGGTCCAAGTTTTGAACAATAGAAGCATAGGGAATAATGTTCAGCTATATCCTAAGTGTTTGTGGATGTGCTTCTTTCATCCGACATTCTTCTTAATTTAAAAAAAAAAAGTTATTTGGCTTAAAAAAAATTTCAATTAAGCAACGGTTTCTGAATTGTTTAGTATCTCTTTTAAACATATAGGAAGACTTTTATGGTATTTTTTTCCATAAAGTTTTTAAATTTGTATTTTTAAGAACTGTCTATATGTATTAAATATCTATTGAGCGAGTACATAGTATCCTTTTCTCTTCGTGTCGCGTTGATTCCACAACTTGCAAAGTTTTCTCTGGTTTTGTTATTTTGATATGAATTACAATTTGCAAGTTGCAAAGACAACAGTAGAGTCAACCCTTTGTTATTGATGAATCTTACATCACTATAGAGAATCAAACTTGACCTTATCGATGGTCCTTTTATATACTTATATTCCCCAACACAATAAATTTTATCGTCTTCTTTTGCCTTCATCAAATTACAGTATATATCATTAACATGTAAAGTTAGATTGGAATACAATGAATTAAAGGGAAGCAATATTCTGCTGGCAGAGCTACAAATAATACACTTTGCAGCGAGTACTATAATGTTCTAGAACGAAAAGTCATCTTACAAATACTTCGGAAAGCATTTTGCATATTATTTCCCTCCTACACTTTCATTGACTTTAGTGTGGGCACGACGTTAGGTCCCTCATGCACGGGATTGATTTGGAAGATTCTACTTCAGTTGATACGATCACCACTTTTGGTAGCGTACCTACCGCGTACCCTTTTGAAGAGTATTCTCATTTTCATACGTAAGAAAGCATAAATATAAAATTATCTAGCTTTACAAAACGATCATAAGCAAACTGGAAATCGAAAAAGATCCCTAATTTAATTCGATATGAGTGTAAATTAGACTAAGCCTTTTTCATTATCTTTTCTTTTGCTAAAAAGAAAGTTTTCTCTTCTTCTTCAATTTCTGTCGAATACAAACTAATTATTCTTACTTTTCGGATCATGTAAACGGATCTTATCAATGTTTTGATGTATGTGTAAATCTGTAATGTTTGTACGCAGTCCCATTTGGCGACGACATGTATACAAAAATTGGATATGCCCATATTTTCATTCATTCCAGTTGACTGTATATTTTGGAAATTACTTTTTCTTATATTATTTTCTAATGTACGTTCATGACTATTTTAGTATGAATGCTTAACATATATAATTCGTTGAACTATCGAATGAACTTTGAATATAAAATATATTTTCTGTTTCGATATGTATGTTTAGTCAAACTTTCTTCATTTAGAAATCTATACTTGTTGCATCACCTTTTTCTTATTGGTTGTAAAAGAAAAGTTTCTTATACTACAAATTAAAGCTTTGAAAACTTTATTATTTCTAAAACTTTTTTGGTTGGAATACATGCAGTCAATGTTCACAAAAATATTTGGTCAACCTTCCTCTCAAATATATTTATATATATTATTTAACTGATCTATAAATACGAAACAAATATGCATTTGAAGTTACATCTAACTATGGCGTTCTCCAACACACTTCATTATATTGATGTTTTTAATCTCATTTACTCTTGTTTTTTTATCATCAGTATTAGATGTCTCAAATGTTGTAGCAAAAGCACCATCACCAGGATCAGGCGCAGACGGTCTCTTACCTTTAGCAAAAAGCATGTTGTAATTCACAACGTTTTGCAGGATGCCGATATGCTGAATGTACATTGCAAATCTAGTGAGGATGATTTGGGGATGATTCATCTCGATTGGGATAAACAAATGGATTTCAGATTTCATGTTAACATGTCGAAATCTACGCGTTTTCGTTGCCATATTACGTGGTATGGAGGCGGATCTCACTACTTCGATATATTTAAAGTATCGAGAGATGATAATCCATTTGTTTCGATATGTATGTTTAGTCAAACTTTCTTCATTTAGAAATCTATACTTGTTGCATCACCTTTTTCTTATTGGTTGTAAAAGAAAAGTTTCTTATACTACAAATTAAAGATTTGAAAACTTTATTATTTCTAAAACTTTTTTGGTTGGAATACATGCAGTCAATGTTCACAAAAATATTTGGTCAACCTTCCTCTCAAATATCGAGAGATGATAATCCATTTGGGGACACTCCAGTTTGTCAAGAATGTATTTGAGAAGTAAGAGGAGGTAATAAAAACCCTATATGTCGTATAAATCGCGATGGTAGCCCTCCATACTGTTTCGAGTGGGACGATGATTCTTATTAAAAGAAAAAGATCATTCCTGTTATTGTATCTCATCAAAACTATTGAATAAAATATTAATCTCATTCATAATGTTTATTTCTTCGTGCATTATACATCTTAGATTAGTGGAATTTACGTATATACAAGCCAAAAAAAGAAGTGTAGAATCGCACGTTCTTACAAAGATGCTAGTCTCAAACCAAACAAAAGTTATATGAATAAAGGGTGTTCTCTAAACTGCTTAAAAGAACTTAAACTCTCTAGCAGTATAAAACCAAAATTAATAAAAGTGTTATGTCGTTGTTTTCTTTTTATTCTTCCATATTCACCTTTTCTTAAACATACTCATACACACAAGAAAATGATGAGATAAAAAGGCCAGCTTTTAAAATAATTGACAAAATAATCTGGAAGACCCATCACATGTAGTCAAAGTTTTCAACTATAAATATACAGATACAACAGTTGATAAGAGTCCCATAAAACAACTGCAAATCTTCACGTGCTTTCTCTTTTGTTTCGTCACATGTTCTCACCTTCTCTCCGCCTCTCTCTGCAAATCTAATCCTTTCTCTTTTTGGCATCCCTAGGCCCTTTTTGTAATTCATCTTCCAACAAACAAAAACCCTTTAAAACTTATATACATACGTTTCCATCTACACAACTTTGGTATGGAGAAGAAGAAGATTGCTGCTCCTTCATCTTCTTCGTCTTTTGACCATATTTTTGGTCCCAAAGTATCTCCTTCGTCTTCTTCACCAACCACTGGATTGTTCAAATCCATCTTCCCACCACCCTCTGCGGTATGTCATCTCAATATTTTTCTACATTTGAGGAATACGTAATTCATTCTAAACATATATATGCATGTACATATCAGTACATATATACATATCAATTTATCACCTCTCTAATTTTCTCTTGTTATGAACTAAAAGGTGATGTTGGGGAGGCAAGTGGACTTTGGAAGTCAAGGTGGACATATGAAGTATCAATCTCCAAGTAATTAAACTTTCATGAGTTCTTTTTTTGTAAAAGATATAGTAGAATAGGCTAGGAAAAAGAAAGAAAGAAAGAATCATGAGTCAGAGTTTAGAGTTTTTATTGATTTTTCTTACTAATTCTTATTACCTGCTCAAACATAGTCTTTTTCTTGTCGTATCAAAAACTTATATTCGTTTGTGGGGGTATAATATGTAGATGAAAGAGGAGAAAGAAGCAACAAAAAGGAGAAAAAGAGTTACTGTAATGAGGAAATAGAGCCACCATGCAACTTGAGCTCATCCATTTACTACGGAGGCCAAGAGAAATATTCCTCTACGACGACAACCACCAAAGATACTGTAAGTCGTAATCGCATCTATTGTATCATGTACATAACACCTACGTGAAAAAAACTTATATTCTTCTTTTCTTGATAAAGCAAAATTACATGTATGTGTCTATTTATTCATTTAAAGATTTTGATTTTCTCCTTTATCTTTAACTTATGCAGTACAAGAAAGACGGAGAGGAAGGCGATTCCAAAAGTGCATCAAGAGGAAACTGGTGGGAAGGTAATTAACGTTGTTCTCCTATCCAAAATTATTTATTTACTTGCAACGAATACTTATTGACAACGATCCTTTGTACCTTTGCATAATTTTTTTGTTCCTCTCTAAAATATAATTTTATATATTTGATGCAGGATCGCTTTATTACTAACAAGATCCTGGTTTATGAGCAATTGTTGAGGTACTTCTATTATGATTAAATGAATAGAAAATCTGTATATTAACATTACGTATCATTTCATGATTATTTTCGTAATTTCTTTACCTAAGAAAAAGCGAAAACCTAATTATAGTGGATTTTAATCATAGCTTATCAGATATAGCTGAAGTTATACTTTATGTTGGTAGAGTTCATGTATTCTTTTATCATCACACAATAATACTGATATATCTCTGATAGTCTTTTTGACGTACTTTGCAGGAGGTTAAGAGAAAGGATGGTCTAATCTTAGTATGAACTTCGAAGGATCGTTATATAATAACTATTATCTTTATCTGTTGTGCTTACGGAAAACACAACAATAAGACTTTTGTCTAATAGTGTCTATATGTACTTAACTAGATATGTGATGCTACGTGATGCATTGATGCTATATGTATAATTGTAATCGTACTTGATAATGAATAAGCATAAGGTTTGTCTATAATCAAACCAAAAGTGCATGTAGTAAATCAAATAGTCGTGTGATACAAACAAGCGAATTGCTTTTATACCTAGAAAGCACCAAATAACCAAAGAATCAAATAAGCTTAACTCAATAACACAACATATAACAATAAAATAAAAAATCAAATTCAACCCCGGAGATAATTGGCCAATGCCTTCTTTGGACCAAACCCACAACGTTCTCTAATGTTCCTCCCAGAGAGAAACGGAGCTCTCTCTCCTCTTCCTCCTCCACTAAGGGGGCTAATCAATGGCATTGGCGAATAACTTGGAGTTGATGCACAGAAAGATGGAGTCCTGTACGGAGTTGACGTGCCTGAGAATGACACAGAGAACAACGACGGAGAAGAAAGTCTCTTCCTTAGAGACCCACCTGAGCAGCCATTTTCCGCTTCTTTAGACAACAATCTCAACTTGTCTGAACAAGAATCATCAACATCTTCCTTGCTGATGTCATCCATGTACAACACTTCCTCTATCCGTACACCAATGCTATACGCTAAACTCTCTAATACCCTTGAGTAGCTCTCAAGTATAGACTTCCCCACATCCTGCAAAACACAAAGTTCAATACTTTAAGGTTTAAAATTGATTCTGAAACACAAAGTTCAACACTTTACGGTTATGTTCTTAAGTGTAATGTGAAAAGCTAACCTTGTTGAATTGGATCTTGCTTGTGTCCAAAGCTGTTTGTCTAAGTCCCGGGAAACGTTGCTTGAGGCGGATCAATAAGCTCTCTGCTCTTTCTGCAAAGATTTCTCTTTTGTCAACAACGTTTTGATTCATCATCATCTCCTTCACCATCATCCCCCATGAGGGTCTTGCACCTGTTGTGGATCGATACAGAAAAATCAGATGCCTAGAGTGAGCTCTTCTCCTCCAAATGTACATTGACGCTTCTACTCGGTTCGCCATTTCCACAACCGCGTGCTCAGACGAAAGATCTATCGATTCGAGCAAGTAATCCGCTGAGAAGCTATCAGATGTAATGTTTCTGTAAAGAAAATCTCCAAGGCATGATCTTCCGTTCTGCAAGAAGAGAATTGTGATTCAAGTCAACAACTTGAAAGATTTTGGTTATGAGATTATCAAAGGTTTTAATTTTTATAATACCTTTGGAAGAGCTTCAAGGTATGCTTGTGGAACATCCATTTCAGCTAAAGCAATGCTGTTGATTGACATACAAGCTTTCAAGATTTGGTTAGTGAAGTCTCTAGTATGGTCCAGTTTCTTCCTAGATTCCTCGGTGAGTCCATCAGATGGCACACGTGGCAACGGAAGCCACCATTTATCTCCTCCCTCTTCACGGAAAGAGTTTGACCTTGCAGATTCCGCAGCTACAATCCCTTGATCAACGTACCAAAACTCTGTTTCTCCAAAACTATCTAATATCTCCTAAACACATCATAATAAGATAGAAAAAATGAGAACACTTTTAAAACCTCATTAGAAGAATAAGGAGAAAGATTAGGTTGTTCTTACAATAAGCATGTTGTCTAGCTTCCGAAGAGCAGGAAGGCAAGTAAAGAGATCTGATCTTGGTCTGCAATTCATCACCTTGAAACAGAACAGAATTGGTCAGTAACATTATTCACTCTCACTGAAAGGCTAAGGCTTTGAAAGAGTTGAATTAAAATGTTACCTCAATCTTGCTTCCATTTGGGAAATTCTGAAAGGAAGGTACCAATTCAACAATGTGATCACTAACAGAAAGAAGAACTTCGATTTCTCTTCTCCACATTGATTTTTTCTCGCTAGGCAATGGCTCTAGTCTCCATTGTTGCCCCAGAATCGCAGCTTTTTTTCATCAAATTAGAAAGGAAAAAAACTCAGAATCACAAATTAAGAAACTATAACATAAAAAAATCAAATAAAGTATGGAACTTTTTTGTAATTGAGTACCGTAGAGATTGGTAATGGCGTTTGAGATAGCTAAAGCAGGACAAACTCCTTCACCAGAACCTGACATGTCTTCACCAAGCAGCAACTTCGCCATTCTCTCTTTCAACAACTCAATTTCTACAAAATATAAAAATGTCAACTTTCGTTCATTTTTAGGCGTTTTGTTTGATTACAGAGAGATTGGTTTCATCACAAACCTGAAGTCTCTGTTCCGATTCTCTTAAACCCAAAATTATCGACTTTCGTTGGAGTTTTCTTCTTCATTCTCCCTGAGCTCTTCCTCCACGAGCCTTGCCCTAACGGCCATCCAAGGAGCTGCGATTTCGTCGGAGGAGATGACGGCGACGAGACAGATCTCCCGGAGCTCGATCCAGCACCGCAACTTGAGCTGCTAAGGCTTGAATCGGTCGTGGAGTCGTTCACTGAGTCAATTAAACCAACGATTCGTTTACTCTCACCATATCTTCTCGATCCTTCAAACCCAATACAGCTATTCTCCATTTCGCAAAAAAAAAAAAAAAAAAAAAAAAAAAGATGGATTTTTTTTAAACACTGAGGAGTAACAAAGGAGAGATCACTAAGAAGAAGAAGAAGAAGAATGGTAGTAGTTGTTGTTGTTGTGGTCCATGAATTTCGATAAAAAAAAAAAATTCTTCTGATTATTTCAATCGTTTGTGTTGTTTTTTGTTCTGTCTTAAATTTTTTGAATTTTGCAGAAGGTCACATGTAAACCTTAACGTCTCTCTCGCGATTTCTATAATTTAATTTAATTTTTGTTTTTAATTGGTTCTTCAAAGTAGCCGTTGCGATTGTACCTGCCACGTCAGATTTCGGACAAAAAGGTTCCGTGATATTCCCGCAGTCTTAAGTCCAAAACTTAAAAAGACTCATTTCGAATCTTTACAATGTCATTGGTTTGGGATATTTAATTGTTTTCAGAAATGTTTCCGTTAAAACCTATGGTTGCATTAGCTTTTGATTATATCCACTTTGTTAAAAAGCGTACTAGGCATTTGTTCCTTGACAAGTCAACACTAATATTTGTTATCATGAATCATGAATCCATGATGGTGATTTCAATGTTATTAAGAGGGAACTTATTTGTTTCGCTTAAAGCTATTGTGAATCATTTGTTTTTGTTCTTTTAACTTGGATTGACTTGCATTAACCGGAATAATTTGTGGTTTATCCGCTATTACATAGGCATGAAGCCTATCTAGTAAAATAGTGTTCCTTAAACTTGACAATCCATGTTATAACAAGAGTGATTTTTTCTTTTCTTCCAAGTATTCCAAAAATTCGGTGCCAAATAAGCGTGAAGGATTATATTGTTGCATATAAGCTGATTTCATCGCTTTGATACCGGAATCTATGTTGAATTCTTTGATGAGATATTTGATTATTAGAAAAGGTGATAGAAGTGACATAATCCGCAACACTCTCGATAGCGGGGAGATGCTGAATGTACATTGCAAATCTAGTGAGGTTGATTTGGGGATGATCCATCTCCATTGGCAGCATTCTATGGATTTCAGTTTGTAAAGAGTGTATTTGGGAGGTGATAGGAACTGATTCACAAGCTATATGTCGTGTAAATCGCCATGGTGGCCTTCCTTTCTGTTTCAAGTGGGATGATTGAATCAAATAAGCCTTACTTACGAAAAAGATTAATACTTTTATTGTATCTCCTTAAATATTTCTCTTTTGTCACTAACGACGTTTTGATTCATCATATATCATCTCCTTCACTATTATCCCCCATGAGGGTCTTGCATCTGTTACTCTTTAAAAATATTGGCTCTGCGATTAAACCTTTGGAAGAGCTTCAAGGTACGATTGTGGAACTTCCATTTCAGCTAAAGCAATGCTATTGGTTGGCATACAAGCTTTCAAGATTTGGTTTTTGAAATTGTGTGAGTTTGAGCCTGTTTCAAACTAGATTTCTTTATGTTTTACACGTCAACAAAATTGAGATAGTTTTTTGATGCGTATATGTTCTGCTTTTAGATACAAATTTGAATGAAAGTAATGATAGAATCGTTGGTTTTGTCGTAAAAGAAAAAAACTTTGTTTCTTGATAGTCAATCTTTGGATTGTTCCTGTTATTTGGATCCTTAATGAACAAGCAAAACAAAAACTATCTTTTACTTACAAGTCACACTAGCCTTTGTCTTATACACTATTTCACTATACAAAGGCTGTGGAAACATCAAGAAAAGCTCAGAAGACTGATTAGTCAGTGAGAACAAACCAAATTCTCAAACTATCCATCACCGTGTGTGTTATGATCTAGCTGCAAAAACGATGTGTTCCATTTGCTTCAGCAGCAAGTCTCGAGTACCTAAATTTCCCTTCTTGTGACCACTTCATCTGAAACAAAAGAATCAATCAAAGCAAGAATAGTAACTCAACTAATCATCTGTATTGCAAATAATTTCTTGTGTCCCACGTCATAGATTCAGAAGAACAAAATACTAAACGAACAAGTGGAGGAATATGGTCACCTCTTCCATGCCGGATTTGTACACAACACACTTTGAGTTTGAGATCAACACTGGACCATCCTTGAAAAGTCCCAATTCAAGAACAGCCTGAGATCTTACACCAACGAATCTCACCATCTCCTTCGTGGATTGAGGTTTTAAGTTTCCTTCAAGCATCCAAAATCCCAAAACCAGTGCCAAACCGAGTATCATAACCGGTTTCAGAAAACAACCAATCCCAGATCTTCTCTCGTTCTTCTTCGTCGTCGGCGAGATTGGGTGAGCGACGGACTTTTGCTGAGAGACCCTAGTGAGGTAGCTTTTCCGTACGGTCGGAGACATGAGATCAAGCGTTGCGTTGATGCTGCCGAAACAAATCTCGCAGATGCAATTCGCGTCTTTGCGGCAACCTAGAAAGTAACGATCGTTAACTATTCTCCCTGATTCTTCCACAGTCTTTGTGCTTGACGCCATCGTTTTCTCTGAGATTGAAACGTTTGACCACCGCCTTTTATCTGATTTCCGTTTTGGAGTTCACTTTAACAGCGTTTCTAATCGCTAGGAAAATTAAAATAAATAAATAAATTATTTGAAATTCCTAAACCAAAATTGCTTTATAAATCTATTGATTTGTTATTTTAATTCTTTTTTAGAAAGTAGAACTTATTCAACTTAACAGCGTTTCTATTCGCTAGGAAAGGAAAAAAATACAAACGAAATCGAGAAAATCAAAAGCAAATCAAATTGATATGCCTAAACAAAATTTTATTTATAAATCGATGAATTTAACCGGAATTACATCAAACCAAACCAAATAATAAAAAATAGATTCTGATTATCCAGTCACATGGAAAAAAATCAAATGATGAAACGGAGCCAAACTGTAAACCAGATTTTCCTCCATTAATTCCTTGTAAGGTTCTGTATATACAGACAACAAGGAGCGGCAAGAAAAATGTTTTTAAAAACCTGGATTTTAGTGCAAAACCCCCCACAAATGTGACCACCAACACTGCATTTTCTCGTTTTCTCATTTTAGGTTTTATTTGGTCAACCATTGTGTTGTTTCGGTTTCTCCTGTCGACCACGAATTACGGATTATTAAAATACTGTATATAATATGCTTTCCAGCTTTCTCATTTAAACCCTGAAACCTTAAATAAAGAGAGAACCCTCCCTCTCTTCTACATTTAATACATTGTCGTTATGGTGGCGCCGTCAGTTGTTGCTGCCGTCTCCTCCAGCCTTCCTCCGCCGTGTCCCGCCGTCATCGAACAACCAATGGAGAAAGCCCTTGTCTCCGAATCAACACTGAGTCAACTCGGCTTCCCGAGCGAGTTCCCTTACGAGTTCGACTCCTCTGCTTTCACCTCTCCAGATGACTCAACGGAGACGAAAGACGAAACAAGCGACGACGAAGATGACTTCCTAGCCGGGCTGACTCGCCGACTCGCCCTCTCGACTCAGCGCCTCTCTTCTCCTCCTTCCTTGGTCACCGACAAGTCTGAGGTTTGTTTAAAGCTTCTCTCTTTAATCAAAATGTTATCTCCTAATCGAGAGTTCGAGACTAAAGGTTGAATCTTTCTTCAGGTTAAACCTCCCGAGTCAACTCTGAGTGGAGTCGTGAGTCCCAACGGTCCGTTTTCGCAAGTGCCTTCGCCGCCGACATCTCCGTCTCCTGAAGACGAGTCTCTGAAAGTCATATCGGCGGCGGCTGGAGAAGTCGCCAAGATGAAGAAAATGGCGGCTAAACCCAATTCCAATTCACCCCCAAATCCTAAACCTAATTCCTTCATCCCATTTCCTCCTCATCAAAACGCGGCGTTTTTCAGCTACTACTATTGGCTATGGCCGTCGCAAACTCCTCCCTATAATCATCAATCTCCGATTATGACATTGCCACCCGCTTTGATCGCGCCTCCTTTTCCCGTCTTGGCCGCACCAACCGCCGCTAAACAGCCGTCTACTGGTACCGGCGTTTTCATTCCCCGGAAATTCCCAAACCCTTCCGATGATTCCCAGAAGAAATCAGGTAATTTACCCAATTTTCCGTCGATTTCATTGAAATTTTGGATTTTTTTTGCTCAATTTTATACTCTGGAAGCTAAATTGGGAAACGAAATTCTGGATTTCAGGAGATGAATGTGTTAAGATTCCGAAGAAGGTTGTTCACCAACAAAAACCTAAAACTAAAGAATCCTCTGTTCGGTGTCAACCACATTTGCAAGCTCGGCTCTCTAAAGGTCACAGCAAAATTGGTAAAGGTAACTGATTCAAGCATTTACAATTTTGAAAATGGTAATTCGAATCTTTATGAAAAAATTGACATTTATCGCTATCCGATTTGTTTGCAGAGTGTGTGAAAACTAAACCAAGTCAAAGACCAGTCTCTGGTGGCTGTGTGAAGGAAGAAAGAAGTCTTCCACAAGAATGGATTTACTGAATTGAAAATTAGGTTCTGTTAGGATTCAGGACTTTGAAGAAAAAAAGAAACCAGAAATGGGTAGATTTGTTGTTGAGAGATTGTGATGGTTACTGGTTATAGACTTTATAGTTAAGAATAATTATGTGAGGGGGTTAGATGGATTGGGATTTATTATTAGTTATTATGGTTGCTTAATTCATGTTTAATAAGTAGAATAACTAAAGAGGTTATTAATAAGAATTTTTTTGTGGCCTTGGGAGAATTTTTCCATCTGCTCTTCTTTGGGTTAAGGTTATCTGTTGTCTTTGTAGTTAGTTCAAAGGGGAATTCATGTGTTGTAGAGTAACGACATAGAGGATGTGTTGAGAGTACTCTAAGGTGTTTTCAGCTCTTTTTGTAATCTATGGCGTTGCAATAAAATTTTGTAATATTTTCTTGCTGGATTGTTTGATTAAATGAAGCGAAGATATAGTGGTAATAGAAAAGATTGTTCCCGAAGCATTTTTCCTAATATTATCCTGAACAAGAAACCAAATGTTGCAATCTCATTTCTAAAGTAAATGTTGGTATTGGAAAGGGGAAATGGTAAGAGAGGATAAAAGAAACCCAAAAAAGCTTAAAAACAGAGGAAAAGTAAAAGGTTTTGCTTAGACGTGAAGTACATTGGATATACAATGAGATATATGGATGGATCACACTTGTACATTTTGCGGATTTATGAATTTATGATATGTTACATCTTTATTGTGTTGGTTCCGTGTAGAACAACCATTAAGATTTTGAGTCTGTCCATTGGAGATAAGAACAAACCCATTAGCTTCTTCAGTGTTATGAAATTTGGTATGATTTGAAATGTTATCTAAGTTTGTAGGTCCCGTTTAGGTCACAAAACTTTGGCTTCAAGATTTCTTGCTGTCTTTTATTTTTTTCAGATTTTCCCGCTGGAAAAAAAGTCTTAAGCAAAATAAGGAAACAAAAGGGGAAAGAAGTGAGAGAAGGTAAGCCGCAAACATGAAAGACAAGAAGAGTGAGATGTTTGGGTTGGCCGGTCGGGAGCTGTAAATTCTCACACCTTTCGAGTTTGACTCAGTCAAACTTCAATATAATAATTGTTACTCGGTTTACCAATATTTTATCAAAATATCGACATATTACGAGTCTCATATTCTTGAAACATTGATGTTCTTAAGGTGTTTTCTTTGGAAAGATGTAGCTATGTCTTTTTAGGGGGTTTTTCTTTCAACATTTAACCTTTAGGCACAGCACACGTAATCCTAAAAACCTTAACACGTAAATTAATTTTATATTGCCATTTTCCATTGGATTAAATGCTACTGATGATGGTTCGAAATATCATGATTATAAAATTCATTTATATATGGATTATGGGACCTATAGTTGAGGATATAACATGGTTGGTTGGGAGCTTCTTTTTTCGCAAAGTTATAATTACAATCAAGGTTCTCGCCCACAATAACCATAACGTATTTAAGACGATGACGGTGTGCGAAAAGCTAAAGCCACAATCAATCTCGCTATATTTCATTTTGCATCTTTACTTCGTTTCTTTTTCTTCTGGCCATTAGCAACCAAAGGTTTATACATGATGCCATTTCAGGAATATTAATTTATAACAATTTCTTATGAATATCAAACATGGCATCTTCATATTAGGTTGAGGTGCCGAACAAACAAAACAAGACACATGAAAAGTGGTTCGCATACATGAATTAAAGTCACGAAACTACTCGGCGTACTCGCATTTTAAATAACAACAAAAATTTCAGATATATGGTTCAGAAAATAACAGACCGAAAAGCATAAAAATTATTGGTAATAAAAAAAATTGAGCCTAATCAACGGCATATAAGCCAATTACATAGTAGTTGATATCAAGGAAGGCTACTTAAGGATGTGCTTTACTAATCTTGAAAAAAAAAAAATGGTTGATGATGTGTCGTTGACTCGTTGGGTAGCAAAAATAGGCCATTGTTGTTTACAAAAGACTATCTTATACAAATGGCTAATAAAGCCAAGTATAAACCCACTTCCGCCACTTGGATTCGAGTCTCCTTGGCCTTTTAAGGCAGGAATATGCGGACTGTCGTGGACCTCGTGGAATTAGTCTTTAGGTCTATAAAGCCTTTAGGATCCTATGGTTATCAAAAAAAAAAAAAAAAAAATACAAAATAAATAAATCGAGAAAAGAAGAGATTAGGCGTAATCGGTCCATTTTGCTGAACGAACAAGAATGGGGGAGATTCGGATCGAAGTAGGAAACATATGATGATGATGAGATATTATCCGAGAGAGAACCATCTAGAGAACCTTGTGAAGGTTTGGTTAAAATGGTTTATGTTTTCTTGCTTCTTACGTCTTAGTAAAAAATCATGTACACAACCTTTGTGAGGGTACAGTTACAAGACTTAAACTCTCTTGAAAGACAAACATACAACAAAACATAATCTCACAACATTAAAAGCACAATTTGTATAGCAAATCTCCAATAATTGTAAGTTTTTAACACAATTCGAATTATATAAAATACATTTTCATGGATTCAACATAAGTGACCAAATAAACATTTCAATAAAGAAGTTTCCTTTTTATCAAAAGACATCCAAACATCTAAATGAACAGATTTGGCCACAATCAATCTCGAAAACTTCCTATTAATATTCGCTTATACTCATCACTCAGTAGTTCTGGAGGGTTTTTTGTTGCTCAAAGGGTGAGTTGTGGGGTTGGAAATGAAATTAACTTCTTCTACCGAAACGGGCCCAATTCATTTAATCAATTCATTTAAAGAGAACCCGACGAAAAGAACTCACATGAGTATACAAAGATCCAAGTAACAGTTATGGTTTGCAAATTAAACTTCAGTGCAAGAGTTGGATTCTGTTGGAAAACTTGTCCAAAGCAAATCACTGCACAATTTTTTCTATGCTTTTGGACAAATAGTTAGGAAGAAGAAAAACATCACACCACAATTGCAAGAATAATGTATAACTTCTCCACAAAATGAATATGTTTTGTCATCGAAGAGGCATAAAGGACCGAGAGACTCTCTTTGACCCAGAGATTGTTAGCTCCTTTTTAGTCTTTTTTTGTCATATGTAACTCCATGTGATTTTTTTCGAGAAACATGATATTTGCCATCTTACTTAACTATTTTTAATAATAAAAGAGGACGGTTACTTGCGTTAATCTAATCAGAAAGTACCTTTGGGAAAATATATTAACGTTGTCCAATAAGTAGAGAGTTTACGGAGTTTTCGAAGTCATGAGTTACGGGTTAAATGTTTTGAAATGTGAAGTTGTACAAAACCCTCTTTAAATTACACGTCATTAATTTGTTTTATTGCATCTTCTCCTTTCTTGCTATAAGCCTATAATATATAGAGGATTCTCAGTCTCCCCAAGAATAAAGAAAACCTAAAGAAGAAAAATGGAAGAGAGAAAAGGGAGGAGAATACTCATGTTCCCTGTACCGTTTCCGGGACACTTCAACCCAATGATCCAACTCGCCGGAATATTCCACCACATTGGCTTCTCCGTCACAATCCTCCACACCTCCTATAACGCTCCCGATCCTTCTCGCCACCCACACTTCACTTTTCGAACCATCCCTCACAACAACGAAGGAGAATCAGAAGAAGAAGACCCTCTGTCTAAGTCACAAACTTCAACGATGGATCTAGTCTCCCTCATTCGTGTACTGAAACAAAAGTACGCACAGCCTTTTCGTAAGTCTCTAGCGGAGGAAGTAGGCGGAGGAGAGACGGTGTGTTGTTTGGTCTCCGACGCTATATGGGGGAGGAGGGCAGAGGATGCGGCGAAAGAGGTTGGAGTTCGTCGAGTGGTGTTGAGGACAGGTGGTGCAGCGTCGTTTTGTGCATTTGCTGCTTTCCCTCTCCTTAGAGATAAGGGTTACTTCTCCATACAACAAAGTAAAGACCCTTTATCTTTCGGTTTCAATTTATTTATCTTACGGAAATTATTAGTTTTGATTGTGACCACACAAAAATAATATGAAGAATGAGAAAAATGAATGAAATTAAATAGAATTATATTCCAGTTTCAATCTTATTTTACAAAACATTGATACCATAACTTTTCCCATTTTTCTTTCTCTTTGCATCAATCAATTGGTTAGAGGCTGCTTGTAAACAAAACAAAAATAACTTGATGTAAAACATATTAAGTCGAATTTGTATAGATAACAAAATCTTCACAGATATTTAAATTTAAGTAATTTTTTTGTTTCTCTAGATACTAGATCAGATGATCCAGTGATAGAGCTTCCACCTCTAAAAGTGAAGGATCTTCCTGTCATAGAAACGAACGACCCGGAGGAACTATACCGAATAATTAACGACATGGTGGAAGGAACCAAGTCTTCCTCAGGAGTCATATGGAACACATTCGAAGATCTTGAAAGACCCCAACTCATGGAGCTGAGCAGCAACTATCAAGCTCCCTTCTTCCCGATCGGACCATTTCACAAGCATTGCGACGATCTTCCATCGAAGACAAAGAACAAAGAAGACTATGAAATAACCTATTGGCTAGACAAGCAAGATCCGAAGTCAGTGATCTATGCGAGTTTTGGAAGTCTTGCAGATATAGAAGAAAAGGAGTTTCTCGAGATTGCTTGGGGTCTAAGAAACAGCGAACAGCCGTTCTTGTGGGTGGTTAGGATGGGGTCGGTCCGAGGGACCGAGTGGCTTGAGGCATTACCTACTGGGTTTATGGAGGGCATTGGACACAAGGGAAAAATTGTGAAATGGGTGAATCAATTAGAGGTATTGGCGCATCCTGCGGTTGGAGCGTTTTGGACGCATTGTGGATGGAACTCGACGCTAGAGAGCATCTGTGAAGGTGTTCCAATGATATGTACACCGTGTTTCACTGACCAGCGTGTCAACGCAAGGTACATTGTTGATGTATGGCGAGTTGGGATGGTTTTAGAGAGAAGTAAGATGGATAAGAGAGAGATTGAGAAGGTGGTACGTAGGGTAATGATGATCGAGAAAGAAGATGGGATAAGAGAGAGGTGCTTGGACTTCAAGGAGAAGGCCAATATTTGCTTAAGTAAAGATGGGTCTTCATCCAAGTATTTAGACAATCTTATAAGTCATGTCTTATCTTTTGATTCATATGCTTTAGCAAGTTAGAAAAAATTTATAAGGGAGCAATGTTTATTAATAGTCATCAAACTTTTGAATGTTATGTTTGTTTCTTTTTTGTAAAATAATGTTGGTTGTGGGGTTTTATATGATTGTTCATTCTTGTGAAAAATGAGCATACATCTATGGATGGGCAAAATAAAAAATAAAAAATAAAAATAAAAACCAGAGACGATGGAGTACCAATTTAATTCGGTTTCAGTGTTTCTTTCTACACTGAAAATCTGGCCCAAATTGAATAGTGACTACTGACTAGTGAGAGTGAGAGTGTGACTGAGAGTGACTGAAAGTGAGAGTGTGACTGAGAGTGTAAGTGAATGTGAGTATAAAAAATGAAAGAGAGAAAATAACATGATTCATTATGTTCCTTTTACCTATTCCAGAACACTTCAAGTCTTCAACCCAATGATCCTAGTCGCTAGAATATTCTACCACCGTGGCTTCTCCGTCACGATCATCCACACCTTTTTCAACTCTCCTAATCCTTCTCACTTCCCACACTTCACTTTTCGAACCATCCATCACAACAACGAAGGAGACGATGTAGGCCCTCTATCTCACTTGCCTACAATAACTTGAATAGTTCTACTAATTTTTAAACCTAACTGACGAGTCCCTAGCTACAAGAGGAGATACTTTGGCAAAAGAATTGTGATATGTTTTTTTTTTTTTTTTTTTTTTTTTTTTTTTTAACCAAGGCTTAGAATTGTGAGATGTTAGTAAGTACAAAGTTGGAGTTTTCTACTCTAGCTTAAGATTATGATATATATTTCGAACACGTGGGAATATATTTTCCAGTACTAATTTAACGTTTGAAGATTTTAAATAATCTTCTTTTATAACCAAACAAAACAAAACTAGGAGATTTCAGATTTATATGAAGGCTGATTCGGCGCCGGTCGAAACACGTGAGTGAACGACAAAACTTTGTTATGGGGAGATAATGGTCTATGGGAACACGTTAGTTCCATTAAACCATACATACAAATCATAAGGAAGCATTTCCATAACTACCAAAAAAATTCCACAAGCGAATACTAAAAAATTTAAAAAGGCTCCAAATCTTTGGTATAATATGGTTGACATTAAAAAGGCTCCAAATCTCATAGATAAATATAAAAATCAAAATAAAAGTCTATATAGTAATAATGAATTAACTGGCACGTTGAAGTTTTATAAAAAAAAAAATCTGGTAATTAATAAATATGGTTAGCGCAAAACGTCAGAATAAACACAGTTGTACAAAACCCTCTATGAAACACGTCGTTAAATTTTGTATTGCATTCTCCGTCTCCTACTATAATATGTACAGGGGATTCTCAATCTATCCCCAAGAAAAAAATAAAAAGTCAAAGAAGAAAAATGGAAGAGAGCAAAGGGAAGAGAATACTCATGTTCCCTGTACCGTTTACGGGACACTTCAACCCAATGATCCAACTCGCCGGAATATTTCACCAACGTGGCTTCTCAGTCACAATCCTCCACACTTCCTTTAACGCTCCCGATCCTTCTCGGCACCCACATTTCACTTTCCGAACCATCCGTCCCAACAACGAAGGAGAAGAAGAAGATCCTCTGTCTAAGTCAGAAACTTCGAGGATGGATCTTGACATCTTGTCTTCCTAATTCGCCTACTGAAACAAAAGTACGCCGAGCCGTTTCGCAAGTCTCTAGCTGCGGAAGTAGGAGGAGGAGAGACGGTGTGTTGTTTAGTCTCCGACGCTCTATGGGGGAGGAACACGGTGGATGCGGCGGAAGAGGTGGGAGTACGTAGATTGGTGTTGAGGACAAGTGGTGCAGCGTCGTTTGTTGCTTATGCCGCTTACCCTCTCCTTAGAGATAAGGGTTACTTCTCTATACAAGGTAAGTAAAAAAAAAGGTTATTACTTGAACTGGTTACCACACAAACAAACAAAAATGCAAATATAAAAGATGGGGAAAGTGAATGAAATCAACTTGGAATTGAGAACAAGAAAACAAACTTTATGAATGAAGATTCAAAATGAATGAATGAAACAAGCGTAATTATAAGTATCTTTTAGTTTCTGTTTCATTTTACCAAAACATTAATACCATAACTCAAATCTGATCTTTCACATTTTTCTTTCTCTTTGCATTATAATTGGTTAAAGCCTGCTTGTTAACAAAAAAAAAAGAAGTATACAACAATATATAACTTGATGATGTAAAACCGAGAAAGTCGAAGGTTACAGATAATAATATATTAACAGATACTTAAAAAAATAAGTTGAATGTCTATATTTGATCTTATACAACAGTTTTTATCAAACGACATTTTAGGAAGTACTAAAGATTTATTATTTGATGTTTTCTTTTTCTAGATTCTAGATCAGATGATCCAGTGATAGAGCTTCCACCTTTAAAAGCGAAGGATCTTCCGGTCATAGAAACGAACGACCCGGAGGAACTATACCGAATATTTACCGACATGGTGGAAGGAACCAAGTCTTCCTCAGGAGTCATATGGAACACATTCGAAGATCTTGAAGGACCTCAGCTCAAGGAACTGATGAGCAGCAACTTCCAAGCTCCCTTCTTTCCGATCGGACCAATTCACAAACATTGCGACGATCGTCCGTCGATCAAAAAGAACAAAGAAGACGATGCAATAACCCATTGGCTGGACAAGCAAGATCCAAACTCAGTGGTCTATGCGAGTTTTGGAAGCCTTGCAGGTATGGAAGAGAAGGAGTTTCTCGAGATTGCTTGGGGTCTAAGAAACAGCGAACAGCCGTTCTTGTGGGTGGTTAGGCAGGGGTCGGTCCAAGGGACCGATTGGCTCGAGGCATGACCTAGTGTGTTTATGGAGGGCATTGGAAACAAGGGAAAACTTGTGAAATGGGTTAATCAATTAGAGGTATTGGCGCATCCTGCGGTTGGAGCATTTTGGACGCATTGTGGATGGAACTCGACGCTAGAGAGCATATGTGAAGGGGTGCCAATGATATGTACACCATGTTTCATGGATCAGCGTGTGAACACAAGGTACATTGCTGATGTATGGCGAGTTGGGTTGGAGTTAGAGAGAAGTAAGATGGATATGAGAGAGATTGAGAAGGTGGTACGTAGGGTAATGATGATCGAGAAAGAAGATGGGATGAGAGAGAGGTGCTAGCACTTCAAAGAGAAGGCCAATGCTTGCTTAAGTAAAGATGGGTCTTCATCCAAGTATTTAAACAATCTTATAAGTCATGTCTTGTCTTTTGACTCATATGCTGATGCAAGTTAGAAAAAAAATTACAAAGGAGCTATGTTTTTTTTGAGCAGTAACTTTTGAATGTTAAGTTTTTTTTTTTTTTTTTCCTCAAAATAATAAAACTGTTGGTTGTTTGGGTTTTATATGATTGTTCATCCTTGTGAAAAATAGTATTACATATTAGGATGGCAAAAATAATCAAACCAAAGGCGATGGAATGTTAAATCAATTTATTCCGGTTGTTAGTGTTTCTTTCTCGACTGAAAATCTGGCCTAAATTAAGTGTTTTGACTCCAACATTATACATAAACAATTGCCTAGTTATTATTATTGTACTATAATATATAATACATAGTTTTTTGTTTCTTCCTTTGTCGGGTCCACAACCTTTTTATCCTACTGATATGGAAAGCTTTGGACTATTACGCAAGTCGTTCTTGGCGTACTGAAAATTTTAAAATCGCATAATAACAGTCAACATATCATATCCACAAAGTCTCTAACCCAAAAAAAAAGGAAGTAAAGCAGAAAAAAAATGGAAGAGAGAAAACTGAGGAGAATAATTATGTTCCCTTTACCATTTCTAGGACACTTCAACCCGATGATCCAACTCGCCAGAATACTCCACAACCGTGGCTTCTCCGTCACGATCCTCCACACTTCTTTCAACTCTCCCGTTCCTTCTCAGTACCCACACTTCACTTTTCGAACCATCCATCACAAGAACGAAGGAGAAGAAGGAGACCCTCTATCACAATCAAACGCTTCGGGTATGGACCTCGTCGCTTTCATTCGTCAGCTGAGACAGAGTTACGCTGAGCCGTTTCGGAAGTCTCTGGCGGCGGAAGTAGGCGGAAAAGAGAAGGTGTGTTGTTTGGTCTCCGACTCTGTTTGGGCGAGGAACACAGAGGTTGCAGCGGAAGAGGTTGGGATTCGCAGGTTGGTGTTGACCACAAGTGGTGCGGCGTCGTTTCGTGCTTATACAGCTTACCCTCTTCTTAGAGATAAGGAGTACCTCCCCATAAAAGGTAAATGTACAAACTTGACTTTCAATTTTAATTTACTTTACGAAAATTATTAATTAATTTGTTTTTTTCATGTTTGTATTGATCGGATGACTAGGGATTGATTCTAAATGAAATATATGTAACTAGATTATGACAAAACAAATGTTTGATTAATCACACAAAACATATGTTGTTTATTAAAAACTGTTTTTAGAATATGTGGTGATGACCGTCTCTTTAGCTTTTTAAATGATATACAGGAAATTTAGTGTCGTTATAGTATTTGACTGTATAGATAAATTGGATTTACAAAATCACAGTCTATTGACAAATCATGAGTAATCGACGTTGACTAAAGCTGCAACTGTTTCAACAACAATTTTTGTATTTGGATATGCATTTACAAGAGACTACTTTTCTAAAGAGAAAAAAAAAACAAAAAAGATAATATGTTCATTTGGTTAGAACACACTACTATAAAACGTTCACGTAAACGCAAAAAATAATGGAAACAAACAATCAAAAAAGATAAATTAACTAGCTATACACTTTTTTTGCTCAAGATTCTAGATTGGATGAGCCGGTGCTAGAGCTTCCACCTTTGAAAGTGAAGGATCTTCCGGTAATGGAAACGAGTGAGCCGGAGGAACTATACCGGGTAGTTAACAGCATGGTGAAAGGAGCCAAGTCTTCTTCAGGAGTCATATGGAACACATTCGAAGATCTTGAACATATGGAACTCATGGATTTTAGCAGCCACTTTCAAGTTCCCATCTTCCCGATCGGACCGTTTCACAAACATAGTGAAAACTCTCTACCTACGATAAAGAACAAAGAAGACCATTTGACAACCGACTGGCTCGACGAGCAAGAACCGCAGTCTGTGGTCTATGTGAGTTTTGGAAGCCTTGCAGATATGGAGGAGAAGGAGTTTCTAGAGATTGCTTGGGGTCTACGAAACTGCGAACGACCATTCTTGTGGGTAGTTAGGCCAGGGCTTGTCCGAGGGGCCGAGTGGCTGGAGTCATTGCCTTGTGGGTTTGTGGAAAACATTGGTGATAAGGGAAAATTTGTGAAATGGGTAAATCAGTTAGAGGTATTGGCGCATCCTGCGGTTGGAGTATTTTGGACGCATTGTGGATGGAACTCGACACTAGAGAGCATATCTGAAGGGGTTCCAATGATATGTACACCGTGTTTCACAGACCAGCGTGTGAACGCAAGGTACATTGTTGATGTATGGGAAGTTGGGATAATGTTGGAGAGGAGCAAGATGGATCGGAAGGAGATTGAGAAGGTAATAAGAAGTGGAATCATAGGTGAAGGGGATGGAATGAGAGAGAGGTGTTTGAAGTGGAAGGAGAGAGCTATTGTTTGCTTAAGTCAAGATGGGTCTTCTTCCAAGTATTTGGAAAGACTTGTGAGTCATGTCCTATCTTTTGATTAATTATTAAGGTTTTGGAAGTTCGAAAATTTTACAAAGGAGCAATATTTGGAAAGAACTCATCAAACAAACTTTTGGATGTTCTGACTATTTTGTTTCTTAAAATAATAATGTTGTCTTTTTTGGGGTTTACGTATATGAGCTATGTAAAAGAGTATGGATAGATAATTGAACCACTATATGTATGGGGAAGATAATCAAACTAAATTGAAACCAATGTTGATTTGAATTTTAAAACAAATTTATCGGGATTAATTTATTCTTTGCAAGCTAAAATTGAGATTTTAAAACTTCTTCGAATCAATTATCCAACCAAATCTATCAGAACATGATTCATATTCAATATATGTAAATTATCGTATTGTCAATAAAACTCGTTGGTTTGTACTCTGTATTGGTATTATTTCCAAATTACAGTACGTACATATGTGAACTCTTAACAACAAAAAGAGAGTAGAGTTGTTTTAGGTTTAAATTATTTGAAAAATATTAAGATTCAGGCATTTCTATTTGAGAAAAGAGAAGAACAAACTAAACTGAACTAAAATTGAAATACATGGAAATAAATTGAATGAATAGTTCTACTAATATTTAAACCTAACTAACGAGCCTCTACTAAATTGAATTTTAAAGCTTTTTATAATTTTAATTTATATTATCTGATTAAACAAAAACAAAAAATGAGATTTCAGATGTATATGAAGGCTGATTCGGCGCCGGACAAAACACGTGAGAGAAAGACAAAACCCACGTGCGGAAGAAGGCAAACCTTTGTTATGGGGGATAATGGCTTTGGTTGGGAAGACCGAGGACGTCAGTACTTCGCTCGTGTGAGCTCATTTAACCATCCGCATCAGCGAAACAATTGGTCGCAGCTTTTAATTTTGGTTTTGATTTTCCATTCTTCTAATTAGTTTCTTCTCTCTTATTATGAACTTCAATATTCTCGTGTTCACATTACTAAATCCATAAGCTATATATTGGTTCGCAAAAAAAAAAAAAAAAAAATGCCTACATAATCAAATTACAAATCATAAAGTTACCACTTTCATACATTCGTTGACCGGAATTTTTTTTTCCCATACAATGACCATTTAAACATATATTATATAATGATGTCACATACTTCTATGTTATACATTTAGACTTTGAACTGTCGTAACAACCTGTACAATCTGTAAGATATAAGGTCAAGATTTTGATTCGGAATTTTTCATATTTTTTTAAGGGTTTTAATTGTTCTGGTATCAAGAACTGATCTTTATTCTACTAATGAGTTATGCAGACAAATTGCATAGCGGAAAAAAAGATTCCAAACAGCGTGCATGTCATGATTATTCACAATAATGCAAACTATCTAATACGATACATTGCTCTTGTGGAAAAATCACAAATATTGTTACATCATATTATATAAGTTGAACCCAATTGATGCATGGTGAAGGCAACTAATAGACACACACATTTATATATTAGTTATTAAAACATAAAAACTTGATTTCTTAATGTAACCGTACCGGCAAGCAAATGAAAATTAAAGGGAAATATTAATAGTCGGTCTGATGATACGGCGTCAGCCACGTTCGGCCGACAATTCACTTCCCAATCAAAGTGTCATCTCTTCATTATCCATTTCTCGTCATTTTTTTCTACAAAAAAGTTATACTCCTTACAACTATAGATATGTTACATCTCTAGTCTTTTATAAGTATAAGTATAGATATGTTACATCTCTAGTCTCTTACAACTTAGAATCATCACATCTCTTAGGGAATACATTTTGCAAGGCTATATGATACTTTTGGTGCAAAGTTTATAAGATACTTTGTATGGCGTTACTGTTTTCTATTAGGGGTAGCTTATTATATGAATCTCAGTTTAGTTTATATTAATTAGTCTTGCAAAAAAACTAAACTTATATTCATTGAACCTTAAGCAGTACTGAATGAGAAAACATTGCACTTGGAAGTCAAAAGAGGAAACGGTTAAAAGGAGACGCACGATATCGATCTTCGCCAATTCAACCTTTCTTGGTTTCCATTCTCTCTTAAAGAAAAATATAATGAAAGTAAAGTTTAGTTGTTAACTCTTTTGCAACAAAGAAATAATAATATTTATGGGGGTGGCCGGTTTAAGCACTTTAATAAATCGAATTAATGTATTTTTCATTAGTCCTATTTCTGAACCCTTCACTGCGTTCAGATCGGCGCCGTATATTGAACACGACTAATAATAAAACAAATTGATCATATGTACATTGATTTGCACCAAACGACAAAGTTCTCTTTTACTAATTCAAAGCCTAATTAGCCAAAAGGAAAAGTATATTTTTAGTCACGACAAAAATAAAAATATGTATTTCTCTTTCTTTAAGTTGAGATTTCCCAAATGCAATATTTTTGATATTCAATGTTTTATTGGATAGAGAGCAAAGGGAGACATGAAGCGTGCGAACACGACAATACACAAATAGTATCCGATCGGCTTCGGTCGGTTGGTCATCTCGTTTACTCTAATATACTTTTTCTTATATATAATTCGCCAAGGCATTAGCTTATGCCATTCAATCCATAATATATCGAACCCTCTTCTTCTCCTGACATCATTAGTGTAACCAAAGAGCGAAATACATTCGATCACCTTTAACTTTCCGGATTCATTTATTTCAAGGTTTGTTAAAAAGAGTGAAAAGATGAGAACGCTTTGTCCTAATTTCGACCGAGAAGACGGTTTAGAGACGGTGTTAGAAGTTCCCATGCCGGAGGAGCTGTTTTGTTCCGACAACAACAAGACCGGCGCGTGGCAAAGCGTCAAGTCTAGTTTGCTCCGGTCACCACCGGATAACAGTAGCAGCCTCGCCACTCTTTTCGGCGGCCGCGACGCTCAGATTCAGATGCTTCTTGGAATCGTCGGAGCTCCCTCGATCCCTCTTCTTGTTTCCTCCAATCACGACGTTCTTGACCATCCCATCTCCAAACTCATCAAAAATCAATCTATGGTAAGTAAATATACTCTATTTATTAAAACAGGAATATTGAAGTATTAGACCATATCATAATATCATAGGATACTGTTAAAAACCAACCTTTTTGCAAATTATAAATACAACACTAAGCGCAAATACTAAAAAAAAAACCTGAATGATTTGTTGCGTTTGGGGTTTGCAATTGGAAATTATAACTTTCCTTGAGAAACACATTTTCTGATATTACTTTTCCTCTGTTTTTGGGGTTTAATCAACAGGAAGCAGCCATGGCAAAGTACATAGTGAAGCAATACACTGCAGCAGCTGGAGGAGAGACGGCATTGGATGGAGTAGAGAGCATGTACGCGATAGGAAAGGTTAAAATGGGAGTGACCGAGTTTTGTGCAGCGAAAACCCTAACCGGGAAGAGGAAGAAGAAGGTGGTGAGGATCAGAAACGTCAACAACGGAAACGGAGGAGAGATGGGAGGTTTTGTATTATGGAAGAAAGGCTCGAGTCAATGGAGTTTAGAGCTTGTGGTTTCGGGTTGTAAAGTCAGTGCTGGTTGTGATGGTAACGTGGCTTGGAAGCAAAGCCCTTGGCTCGCACATTCCCATGCTTCTAATGAACCTTCTGGACCACTCAGAAGGTTCCTTCAAGGGCTTGATCCTAAAACCACAGCAAATTTGTTTGCTGGATCGGTTTGCATCGGTGAGAAAGTGATTAACGACGAAGAATGCTTTGTTCTTAAGCTCGAAACGCAGCCTTCAGGGCTTAAATCAAGAAGCAAGATCGGCATGGAGACGGTGAAGCATACGGTTTGGGGGTGTTTCAGTCAGAGAACAGGACTTTTGGTCCAAATAGAGGACACTTATCTCGTACGGATCAAGACCGGTCCGGAAGAAGAAGATATGGTCTTATGGGAAACAACGGCTGAGACAATGATCCAAGACTATAAAAGCGTTGATGGGATTCAGATCGCTCACAGAGGAAGGACACGTGTCTCATTGTTGAGGCTTGATGAGAGCTTAGAGAGTCATTCAAAGACTACAATGGAAGAGAGTTGGGAGATTGAAGAAGTGGGTTTTAATGTGAAGGGTTTGTCTTCGGATTTCTTCTTGCCTCCAGGTGACTTGCGTACCAAGGAAGATGAAGAAAGTGGATTCTGTTTTGGAGATTATATTAGTCCTATGATGATTCCATTGAAGGTTAGTACAGCTTCGTGGAAACTCAAGTCCTCTAAAGTCACAGCTATTGAAGATTTTGGGGAATTTGAGTGAAAAAAAAAAGGATGAAGACGTTTCAAGATATATTTTTTTGGATTGTAAATTGATCTTCATTTTTTTTGTATATAAATGAAGGAGAAAAGTGCTTGTAAATAACATAATGAAGCAAGCCTTTTTCCTTCTTCTCTCTTGTTTATGTAATTTACATTTTCCCCTCAATCCTGAGTTTCCTATGAGCTAACGTGAAGACATTTCATAGTCCTAAGCCCACACGCTTGAAGTTCATAAACCAAGAACCAGAACTTCACACTTAATAAGAAATTGAAAAGAACAAAAAGGAGAGACGAATTTGATCAAAAAGGTCAAAATGATCATTACAGACTCTGTTTTTAATCTCTCTTCCGTTAAATCCGAATGTCAGAGAAAAACCTCGACAAGAACATCATCATCATCATCTATATATAAGCGTCAAAGCGCAAAGAATCACAAAAAAGGTGGGAAGATGAATCTATAAAAGCCCTTCTTCTGAATTTCATCAGCTTCTTGCACAGAAGAAATCTTGTCTAGGCAACATTCCATTAAACTTCATTCGAGGATCATCAAAACTGAAACTTTTCATCTTCATACTCTGTTCTGCTTCTCTGACAATGGTATTGTCAATGCCACTCTTCATCCACGCAATGTTGTTCAAATCAGTCGCAATATTGATCAGATCTTGGTTGAAAACTGCACACGGCTCTTCATAATCCACAAACTCCGGTCCCAACACCGACGACTTCCCGGAAAACTTGGCTTCAGCTTGACAAGTAAAGCAACCATGACCACATTTCGTAGGAACATGAGGTTCGTCGTAAAGAGACTGTAGAAATCTACCAGCCAACGAGTCCGGTTTAGCCGCTTGAATCAACGGTCCCTCACATGGAACTACGTTCTGATCCCTGTATCCATTTCTCTGGCTGGTTGGGTTGTATACACTGAAAGCACCAACACGAGGCACTGGTCGAAACACGTTACACTCTACTGGAGCTTGTTCTTGTTCTTGAGGTTCGTTGGCTGCATCAACCATTGTAACATCTTCATTAAGCTGTGGAGGCTCTTCTGGTGGTGAAATGATTTCTCCTTGAGTCAATGGATTAGATGTTACGTCGACGTTTTCGTTCTTGATGTAAGCGGAGGTGACTGAATTGGCCATCCACTGACCATTCTTCCACAGATCTGCGTATTTACGTCTCAGCGTTGAGTTCCAGTGGTTCTTGATGGCGTTATCTGTTCTTCCCGGTAACATTTTCGCAATCACGGCCCATTTGTTCCCGTGAATGGCGTGAGCAGAGATTATCATATGGTCTTCCTCATCTGCAGCAGATCAAACATGAAAAATGAAAAAGCATATCAATCATAAGCTAAAACCCAAGAGAGTCCTAAAAGTTCATAACTTGTCTCAAAATTTCATGTAACTAAGAAATTGGTTCCGAGACTTGTCAAGAGACTATCTATACCAAATTTCAAGGTTTTAGACTAAGTCACAGCTCACATTTTCGATGAATTGAATCAGAAATTCAATCACTGTTTAACATCAGTTCTCATTTCACTTCCACAATCTCCGCCATAGTAGAATCAGAATTACACATTTATATCACAATTGATATTCATTTGAACACAGTCGAGAAATCAAACAACCAACAACGATCCTGGAGATGAATCGCAACATTTTCAGAAGAACAACCGAATTGGAAACTAAAATTCAATTATATAAACCCCGAAAAAAGCAGGGAATCTGATATTGAGATGTAATTTTCGAGACTTTACCAGAGAAAGGTTTGCGTTTGAGGCAAGGGTCAAGCTGATTACACCAACGCAATCGGCAGGATTTACCAGAGCGACCAGGGATTCCACGAGCGATCAAGCTCCAATTCCTCGGGCCCAACTTATTCACAAGCTTCGTGAGCACCGCGTCCTCCTCCGTAGACCAAGGTCCCTTCACTTTGCTCTTAATCACTCCTCCTCCGCCACCGCCGCCGACTGAATCTCCTCCTCCGGCAGCTAACTCGGCGAGCTCGGGTTCAATCGCGGCGCTGCTGAGTCCTTCATCGGAATCGGCAGATGGTAAAGGTAACGGCTCCGATTGATGAGTTTCTCCTTCCATTTTTGGCAGGGAGCACCAATAACGAATTGGAATTACGATTTTGAAAAAAAATGAAAAATGGATTTTGGGTTTGTACCTGCTTTCCTAACTGCAAATGCTTTAGTGGGGAGAGAGGTTTATTAAGGAATAAGGACGCTTTTTTTTTTTCTTCTTCGTTGGTTCGTTTTTTTTGTTCTCTTCTTGCGAAGAGGCGGTCTTTTCCGTTGTTAAATTACTGTTGTACCCTTCTCGTTTTCCTTGTATTTTCTTCCTCGATTTTTTCCAATAACGCCCGAAAGTCTGTTATGAGTCATCAATCATATAATAGCTCAGCTTTTATTTTCCATCTTCCCATTTTTTATTTCAGGACAAAAAAAAACGTACACTTCCACGAAATTCACTAGAATTGAGATTAAAATCTGCTTGGATTTTTTTTTAATTGATTACTTACTGATATTCATCATTTTGCAGTTTTTTCGTCTAATTTTGTTTTATCTATAAATTAAAAAATGAGAGCACGAATAAATAATTTATTTTTAGACGTTATGTTTTCCAAAAAAATAATATATTTACAAGTCAGATCTTTGTAAGGGGTAAGTTTGACCATAAAACTGAAAATTCAAAGAGGGTATCTGTTAATTTTAACGATTTACGTGCGATGATGTTTTAGTAATAAAACCATGTTTAAGGCCCATCTTTATAAAAGCTAAATTGAACTAAAGCCCAACTACGCCTTTAGGGCTTCGCTACTTTAAACTTTCATGGTTTTGGGTTGGTAGCAACTGAAAATCAGTTTTAATATGTGATAGGAAGTTGGGTTGAAGTAGGAAGATTGAGAGTAGAGTGAACATGACCCAAATCTTTTTGTTTCCAACAGTCTCACGCCTCTATATTTTGTTGACTTGGCTTTTTGAGTTTCTCCTTTTGGCTAAATTGATTTATGCGTATTGTCACTATTGTGATAAGTTCTTGCATTGCATATTTGCACGTAAGAAAATATACCACTTTAAATATGTACTAGTTTTTTGTCTTTTTTTTTTATTAACAAGTTTAAATCCGTATCATATCATAAGTTCATAACTATAGTCTACAGTCTAGTCACTCTTTAGATTTTTATTTACTTGCGCTCGGCCTCATTTTTCTTCATCTAAGCTTCGAATGGTGACACAGATCAAAAAATGCAGATCAAAAGGAATATACAGATCATGCAGAAGAAATACAGATCATGATCTGTATGCAGAGCAATTGCATAACAAGTATTTCATCCGTTCAAGAATATATGATATTATATGATTTTTCGTATCATAAAAGAATTTGTTTTTTCTTTTTTTCTAAGTTTTTTTTCTCTAATTTCTATTTTTTTTATTTCATTTAATTCAGTTCTTTTAAAAGTCATATCAAACTAATTTATTTTTCTTCATGTTCTTTGTTAAATAATGCTTACAATATTATATACAAAAGAAAATTTTGGAAATAAAGTAAAATAAAATATATGATATGACATATAATAATTTAAATTTTTTATTTTATGTTATGCATATTATATCAAAATTGAGGATATTCTTTGATAGTTAATTTAATTCTTAATTTAGTTGATTATATTTTAATAGTATTTTTCTTATGTTTTTAAAATTATTTAAAATAATATATTTGAATTTATAAGAAATTATATATTTAGTTTTTTTGTTTCATGGAAAAATTTATTTTTCAAGTTCTTGAAAACATTAGTTAGTTTTCAAAATACTTTAAAGTTTGTAATATTCATAGAAATTTCCTTAGTTAAATATATAATAAGATATACAAAATTGTGTTTGATAATAAAATATATAATATAAGTTGAATACTGTTTTTTGTAATTTATTTTGAAATAAATAGGTAGAATATAAAATTAATAAGTAATAAAGATAGAATTAAAGAAAAAAAAGAAAAAAAAAAAGAGAAAAAAAAAACGGATCTGCACCTGTACGGGTGCTTTTTGGATCCTTCAGTGCAGAGCAAAAATTTGTTCTCTTTTCTGATTTGTATACAGATCAATTTAATTTCTTCTGCATCTGTTTCAGTCTGCATTAAGGCTTTGAATGGAAGTCCACAACAAATACAGATTAAATACAGATCAGATCAAATACAGATTGATCTGTATTTCATAGCCAATCACACTTTTATTTACAGATCAAGAAAATACAGATCACTCTGCATGCAGATCAATATTTTTTGTCTTTTTGTGATATTTTTCTGATCTGCAGAGAAAGAGCTAAAACCTCCTGAACACATGCAGACCTATTTTTTATTTTATTATATTCATTTACTTTTAATTTCTTAATTACTTATAAATGATAAAAAAAATATAATTTATTATTTACTTTTATACAAATAAATCCACAAAACCTGTGTTAAATTAAAATTCGCCTAGAAACATTTGTTACATGCATAACAATTTTTCATGTATTTTACATTTTTAATTATTTCTAAAAATTGGTTATAAATATTGGGTTTTCTAATTATTATTTCTTTATATATATGAAAATTAAATCTATAAGATTCTTAGTAGCTTAAGGTATATTATATAATTTATATATTATTTTGTGATTTTTTTTATATTGATTCTTTCAATAAATAATTAAATATTAATGAACATAACAATTTTTATATCTAAAAATTAAATATATTCACTTTACATATTCATATTTTTTATATAATAGGTATTTTTTTTACAATCACTATATATTTATATTTATTATATATATATATCATTATAATTATATTACAAACATAACAATTCAAAATTTAAATTTCTTGAGTTTCATGTTTCTTTTATGATAAAGAGATTCATATAAGTTAGTAAAATGAATTCATAAATGCAAAAATATATTTTTTTTTATATATATGACTAAAGATTTTAAATATTTTGAGATATTTTGTTTATTTATATATAAATATAGCTTATAAATTACAATTCTATATATAATTATGGTTAACATTAGGGAACATATTGCAAGTACATTATGAACCGACCAAAACATTTCACGTTAATTTTTTGTATGTTGTAATCGAATTTAAATTTTAGATAATGTTTCAATTTTTAAATTTCTTGTTTTTAAGAAAATTTTCAATATATATATATATACTAAGAAAACTTTATATATTATATATATATTGTAAATTTTCTTTGTTTTTTTATTGTCCAATTAAGTAAGTATGATATTTTATAATTATTTAATATATTTGATAGGCATTTGATCTGCATACATATCATGATCTGTATTTGTTCAATATGATCTGGATTTACTATTTGATCTGCAATTTTTGATCTGTATCACCATTCGAAGCTTAAAAATGTGATTGTGAATTAAATACAGATCAATCTGTATTTGATCTGTCATGTATTTATTCTGCAGTAAATCTGGACTTCCCTTCAAAGCCTAACTCTTCGCCACCAAATATAAATTCCTTAATTGTAATCGAAATTTCCACACCACATGCAATTAATTCTCTACATATAAGTCAGTCGTGCCTCGTGCTACACCACGAGGAAAATGGACGCGACGTGTGATGGAGACGTCTAATCGACGCAGTCACAGTGACGACAAAAGCGACAACGACCTTGTGGCAATCTATGCTCTACGTTTTTGGGACCTTTTTTTAACCAATACTACTTTTGCAAAGATAAACAAGAAAAATCAAACGGTTTTCAAAAGATATAGTCCTTTGATAATCTTTTGCTCGAACAACAATTTTTTATCACATTACTTTGTAGCTTTAGTTTACGGATCTATTGGAAACGAAAGTTACGTAATACACAAGTCAATGGTTTGAAATTAGACCTAAGAGAAAACGACACGAGCGTCGAGTCATACATACTCTTGCCCTAAAATTAGGACAACCGAATTGGGAAAGACAACGACATTGTCTTCTACTTATTGGACACTAAGTTAATGTTGCCACGTGCTATTAATACCTTCTTATCAACTCTTGACACTTTCGTTTTGGTTTAAATCATTTTTAAAAAAATAGAGTAAATGTTTACTCAATCTATACATATCATGCATGCTAAACTCCACAACCAAAGAGACTGATCATGTAAGTAACACTTTGGCTCTCTATGTAAACTAAAAACGAAAAATCGATTCAATCTGACAACCTCGACTCTAAATTTTTTGAACCTTGACATGTCGATATACGTTAGCAAAATTAATCTGAGAAGGACCAAAATTAAGTTGATATCTTTGTTAGAAAGTAAAAGCACCAAATGGTCCCCGTCGAAATCTTAGCTAGCTTCTGAATGATACATTGAATATCGTCATTCCGTTTCTAACAAAAGTTTTGTTCTCACACCTTTTTCTAACCAATATACATTTAGGTACATATTTACGCATGTAGTCTTTAACCACTTCGAGGATGGTCATTATTATCCATGTCTAATTATATCAGGGTGACTATCTCTAATTTTTATATCTTTGTTAGTTCCTGAATTATTCAGATTTGAAATTTCGTTGATATTAACCAATTACAAATGTGATGATTAGTTGCTGTCTTTCAATTAAATAAATCATATATATAACCCTTATTTGTCTTACCAAACTAATAAAAAGAGTACCCTAAATGACGAGGAAAGTGTGCAGTGACGCCATACCTTGTAAATTAACGCGACTTGAGAACTGAAAGGTGGAAGCATTGATGCAAAGCACGTAGGTCCACAAGAGTTGGTGCCTTCTTATTCAACTTGTCCTTGTTTCGTTTCTCCACTCAAAACTCTTCAACAATGGATGTACTCACTGCCCTCGTTTTTTCTTTTCTGAATTATCAAATTAAACTAGAAATATGCATTTGGAGGTAGTCTCTAATTGATTTAAACTATATATGAATATGACTCGCTAAGATTCGGAATTGGAACCACTGATTTCGAATTATTCAGCTACCTGAAAATCACTTGAACTGATTATTGTCGGTAATTATTAACATAGTAATCTGCAATAACATGATGGTTAAAGATTAAAACAATATGCCTACGTATGCATATATTA